AGTTAAATGAGAAAAATGAACCTCAACAAGGTAAGTCAAAATCCAATCTGCACGCCCTTTTTTCTTATTAACATTAGAATACTTTTGAACAATGATCGATGGGATGACGATGTCTCAAGTTGGATAAATAAACGATCGAACGCAAGAAGAAAAAGAATTAAGAGAGAAAGGAAAAGACATTGGCATATAGATGTTTTTTTTATCCGAAATAATATAACAGTTTAGCGGAAGAGAACAGAATTATAAGAACATGTATATACTTGACATTAGATTACTAATGGATTAGTTGGTAACAGGCAGTCGTCTCTTGATAATTCTCGATGTAATAAGATTAATAGAAGTGAAAAAGAAAGACAGAATAGCTCTGGTAAACGTTAGGGAAAGTCTTTACTCTTTTCCGATGACGTAAAGTTGAACAGCTGACGCTTCGAGTGCTCTAACGTGATGTCAAACATATTTGCTTGATTATTTAGGAGAAGTATTATCTCATCAGTCATTTGTTGAACTTGACGAGTTATTTCAATCAACAAAACGATCGTCGCGGATTAGATTTCAAAGCAAGAGTCTTGACGATTTACAATTACATCGACAAGCTCGTCGAAAACAACCTCATGATCATCACGTCTCTGATACAGCACGAACAGAAATGGATTTAACTGGTATTGGATGTCAAGACGAGGATCAATTGAACATGAATGAAGATGATGAAGACGACGACGATGATGATCACGATGATAATTCTCAACCACAACGAAGTCGCTCGGCCCCTGTGTCTCCAACACAAGTCTACGATGCTGAATTAGCTGCGTTTCTTCAATGCGAACAACAACAACAACAACTAATGGCTGATTGTTTTGTTTATAACATGGATCTCTCTGATGCAACCGAAAATTCCACTCAACAATCCCATTCTCGAACAGCCATATTCTTCGTAAGTTTTTCTTAGTGAATGTCTTTGAACAACTGAGCAATCGTAATGAGATGAAACCTGTCGAAAGACAAGATTGAATTCCGATTGTTTATGTCTTCATATTCGAGAAAGAAAGAAATCGACAAAGTCTGAATTCATTTCTTTTTACTCTTTTTTCGTTGTTAGGATGATGATTATTCTTTCGAAGAAACGTCGTATGAACCAATTGTGAATATCGTTCATTCGTGTTTGCCAATTACTGAAGAAAACGAAGAAGAACTCGAACAATTACGACGTGATGATGATGAAGAAGAACAAAAAAATCGAAACCATTTATTAAAAATAAATGATGGGTCAATACCAACTATAACATTACATGATAACGATGATCGAGCTGATATACTTGAGAATGATGATGATCAGATAAACGATAGTGAAGCTGATGTTATAATTATGAATACTCCTAATAATTTCGATTCCAATCAAGATATTGAAAAACGTCTTTCAACTATTTATGAATCTCCCAGTCCACAACCTCGAACAGAAGAAGATGGTGACGAAGACATCTACGATGAAGCATATGATAAATTGATAGTATATGATATAGCTCATATCGAGAAAGTAAGAAGACGAAAGATTTTATCGAGCAAAGAAAGAGAAAACTTTCGACATATTATTATTTTAGCCGCCTATTATCAGTCCAAAATCTCAGCCCATTAAATCACCGTGTTCATCGTATCGATCGCCAACTATTGATCGAACTCGTATACGTTCATGCTATACCGATGCATCATTCAAACCCTGTCCTGTTTTTACGAATACCGTGTCAGCTTCTCGTCTATGCGGAACATCTTCGATCGTTAATTCGAAAGTTTTCACACCTCCGATGAATAATCCCAATGGAAAATCGTCTCTGTCGCCGGTGAGCAACACACAGAGTTGTTATATTAACAAATCTCTTGCCTCTCTTCCAATCGATCAACAATCTCCACCAAAAACCACTCCGATGTCATTATCAGTTCCAATCTTACTTCTACCAAGCACAAACGAACAAAGTACATGCATGATTGATAATAACAAATTAATGCCATCTCAGCATATCAAAACAATGAAAGTAATTCAATCAACGTCATCAAGTCTATCGGATTTTATCAATTCGACACCAGCATCGACTTTAAATAATACAAGTAAAGAGATTGATTGGTTTTTTGCTTCGTTCGCAAATGTCAATAATATGCCTGACTTGCTTTCTTTTCAGTACATTATGAAGAAGTTGGAAGTATTCATCATTCGTTAACCGATTGTTCAATTACTCCGCATATACCATGTTGTATTCCAAGTCTTGATCATGAATCGTCGACAATAAATAAATCAAATGAAGATAGTCAACGACGTCCGTCATTTACTCGACGAATTCTTACCAATGGTTTATTACTATCTCATTGTTCGAACCAACGACGTACACAACCGCCTTTGACATTCAACAACCAACATCGTTATCAAACTAAACCGAAGAGTGAAGAGAAATTATCGACGTTGTCATCACCGATTGGTTCATCGTCCTCATCCTCGGAATCCAGTTCGCCATCAGGTGAAAAATTCATGTCCAGATCTGATTTTATTCTTCAACAACAACAACAGCAACAACAACAACAAAATATCTCTCAACAACGTAAAGCTTCTAGTCTTAAGACCATCTCTGCAACGGCTGCACAACAGCCCTCGAAAATTCTCTATCCAATCGACTTCGAAACCAATAACAACGATCAATCCTGGTACCAAAAACAATCATCTCTATCCTCAACATCAACACATCAAAGCAAGGTTCCCACGTCCGACTCGGGTATTGTCATAGATACGAATGTTACTCGACCAACATCGAATGCGAGTATCGAAGAAGTAAGATTTATCGTTTATTTACTCATTGAATCAGAACATGTGCATAGACGAAGTCATATTCAACTGTTTTGATCTTGTTCTTTTCCGCCAACAGGCTCATCATGTTTTCCCACGATTAATATTCGATTCACTAATTGTACTACTTCAACTATCTGTTGGACATCGCAGATGTGAATGTCCGACAAGACATAGAGAAAGAAGAGGAAGAGAAAATAGAATACGCCCTTGGTGGCTTGTTTCACACGTATAGACATTGTTTGACCGTTTGTCCTCTATTTCTTTATCAACGCTTTTTTTTTCTCTTCTCCTCACATACTTGTCCGATGACCGCTGAAGTGGATGATTGTTATTTAGAATGATGCTGATGGTATTCCTATTGATCTAACGAACAGTGGTAAATTAAAACAATACGAAAGTAACTATCGAAAGACATTAGCTGATTTAACTATTATCAAGAAGAACATTGTTGATATTGAAAGTCGTCTCAGTGAAGCCATGCGAGAGGTAAGATAATAACAATTTTCTTCTCTAAATAACAGAAGTTAGTTATTCTTGTTTAATTGCCTCCTCAGGATAAATACAAATCTATTGCATATGTAAATTTATTTTCTGACTGACTGAAACAAGTGTCTGCTTGCGGTTTTTCTCCCTTTTCAAATCCATCTGTTGTCAAATCGTGGTTACTTTTTATATTCATTTACAATTCACCTCTATCTTTTATGAGTTGAAGAATGAGAAAGAGAAATGATTACGTATGCGCGTATCATTGATAGTTTGGACATCGATACATACGCAAAGCAAAAGAGAAGGAAGAAAACTAATGATGAACAGTGCTGCTGTCTGTCTGTTTCCTGTTGTTATTACATTCGATGACGATATGAATAATGATATCGATGACTGTTCTTCTTCCATCTTTTCCTTTTCCAATGTTACTCATATCATTCCGATATACGCAAGTGATACTCATCTTCTCGCTGACAAGAAAACTTCTGATGTTTAATCTTTCGAAATATTTTCTTTTCAAGACCAGACTGTATCGGTAGACAGTTATTTGCAATGTCAATTAGTTCGAATAGAAGTTCTCTTGAAGTTCTCGTTTGTTTATTTTCATTCTTCGAATTCGTCTCGCAGTTGTTCTCTTTCCCACCGTGAAAATCAAAAAAAAATATAAGGCAATTACTAGTAAACGCTCATTTTCTTTCAAGATCATTCGACATTTACAGGTTTGCTTGCTTTCTCCTCTCGTCTATCTCATCTAATTTATTGCTCGCGTGTGTGTGTACAGATGAGAATAAACATCTTGTGACCAGATGTGCCTGGCATCTTCTTTTCACCTGTTCATTTCTTTTAGTTGGAAATCGAACGTGCTTTAGTCGAAGGTGAACACGAATTGGTCTTCAAGCAAATTTTAGACGATAGCGAAAGCGACCAAGAAAAAATCCGACATTTATATAATGATTTACAATTACTAACCGAACGTATTATGTCCGAAAAAGCATCTGTAAGACGGTTTTATCTTTTCTCTCGATGTATCAATGTCAAGATTGTTTTTCTTGCAGATTCGTAATGAAATTGAATATACACAACAGATACTGTATAAACTTGAATATGAATTACGTGAACTCGAAGAACAATATCGCCCGTCGGATGATAAGATTCTCAAGTGAGTCGTGTAATCTTTTCTTTTATGTTCTATTTAATCAATGATTATGTTGTCTAGGAAGAAAGAATTGCTGGCTGAGACACGAAGAAAACATGAAGATCTCGAATTTCAATTAATGGAATTAGAAACACGTTGTGAAGCTGAACTCGAACAAGCTGAAGAACAATTTCAACACGAACAAATCGTCGTAGCACAGAACTCCAAACTTCGACAGGTATATTTGAGTTTTCCTCTTTGAAATCGATCATTTTGGTGTTTATCTTTCTAGAATACATTGCGCGATCTGGATCATCAACAGAATGTTATCTTACATCAAGTTATTATCGAAAAAGAGAAACTCGAACGAGAAAAACAGAAATTGAAATTATTATTCAAACAAAAGAAACTCGAAGCTAACGAGTTAGAGCAAAAACTCAATGGATTATCATCAATTGTACATCAAGAAAAGAAACAGCATGAAAATGGTCATCAATCTTCGAACGGTATTATTGCTTATCCACATACCAATTTCATCTTTTTTTCTAAAAAATTTTTACGTGTAGATGTTTGGCTAAATGGAAATTCAATTATGTATCATTCATCTCCATCGAATCTTTATAGTACATTGAATTATCCGGATAATCCTTCGTCAGCCAAGTAAGATTCACGGGTAGATTAAATGATTGATCGATGGATCGTTTTTAGAGCGAATATCAAAGATAATCATCAGGCGAAATTGGACGAGATCAAAGAAATGATTGCGGTTGCTAAACTAGAAAAAATGTCAATTCTTGAACACCAAGTAAGAAATTAGAGGTTTATTTGTTCATTTTTCTAAATTCCAATGTTTTAGTTACGCGAACGTTATGATGAACTTGTTCAATCTCATGATGACCATACCAAACGTATCGAATTAGAACAAAAATTAGCTAATGAAATGCACAATCGTGGCCATCATCTGATCGATCGGCAAGTCAAATTACGTGAAAAGAATCGAATGCAGGTACGAATATCTCCATCAAGTTTCTCATCTGTTGGACTTTTTGACTTTGCAGGAACGTCCACTGACGCGTTATTTACCAATTCGCTCCGTTGATTTTGATCTACGTGCTCATATTGAAGGTGCTGGTCATTTATTAGATTCATCTCATATTCATGTGACTTCGACATCATGTCGTGGTTTTCTTCTCAAAATGGGTGGAATGAAATTCAAGACGTGGAATCGTCGTTGGTTTGTTTTTGACCGCAAACGTCGTTCATTATTTTATTATCAGGATAAAACGGAAAGTAAACTACGAGGTTGCATTTATTTTCAATCGATCCTTGAAGTTTATGTCGATCATCTGCAATCGATTTCATTGCGTTCACCGGAACCACGTGAAGCAACTTTTATCGTTAAAACCATCGAACGACCTTATTACTTAGTTGCACCAACGGTTGAATCTATGCGTATTTGGGTTGATGTTATCATCACTGGTGCTGAAGGAAATACATTTGCTGGAGAAAGCTAAACACAGTGTGAACACACAAGCCTTCATATCATTCCGTTTCATTTGTACTATATGTAATGAACAATTTTTCTTCGTTATTGGTTTTTTTTATATTATTGGTGTGTTTTTTTTTCGCTCTTCTTTATATTTATAATAAGATAAGTTCAGCAATATAAAGCTATCTTTGAAGAAACAAAAAAGAAACTGGCAAATCTGAGTTTATTCAAAGAATTAAAATGTCAGAGTAAAAGGAAAAGTACTGATTATCTCTACTAATAGAGTGACTTGGAGAAAAAGTCACACCAGGTGATAATGCTCATAATATCTAGGTATTCATTATCATAACGGTGATTTAACCTAAGGGAACGATTCTAAAATAGCTTTTTTTTACATTCTGAGTCCATCAGTCGATGAAAATGTTCTATAAATATTCATACGCCGCGATTGAATGTAGAGACATCTGTCCGAGTGATAAACTGATTTGTTCTATGTCTTTCGTATTGTATCGAATACAAGCACGTACTATGACAGTAAAATCAATCGTTCTAGAATTTGACTTGACTCATTATGATTCGTATCAATGGAGTTTTTCGATGCTTTTGATATCACATCGACAACTTCGTTCGACCGCTGTCTTCCTCAATGAAATTAATCAAACGCTACTCCTTTATTCTTTTTCTACTTTTTCTTGTTTATTTTTTAATTTCCAACAAGAATCGTCTCTTTCCTCGTCTCGTTTTCGGACAATTTCATCTCGTCTCAACTGACTACAATCAGACTGTCAATCTTCGTCAATCACAACTCTATCAACATGAAACATCCAAGGGAAGTTTTATAACTCTTTACGATATCAAACAAGATAATGAATGGAATTTTCAATGTCCTAAAACGCGATACAACGAAAACGATATTCAAGATGTAAAAATCTGTATATATGATCCTCAACATGATGAACACGTTAGCGGACAATTAAACGACCATGGAAAATGGGAACCGGTAGTCGTCCGAAGTTTTCTTCGTTTATTACGTGCATTACCCAACACACGTAGGAGACCACGATTGTCCAGCCTTGAGTCGATGTTTGCTGTTTAGATGTGATTGATATTGGCGCAAATCTTGGTTTGTACACGCTATTAGCTACACAATATGATCGTCATGTTATTGCTGTCGAACCTTTATATGATTCGTTGATTCGTTTACACAAATCTATTCAATTGAATAATGTTCAACATCAAATCACACTTGTTGCCAATGCAATCGGAACTAAACACGAGCGTTTAACATTAAATATTGTGGATAAGAACTTAGGTGCCTCATACATATCGTATTTGGATGAATTAGCACCACCGGAGAAGAAAATCGAAAAAATAGTCGACGATCAGCAGCCGGGAGGAGGAAAAGGAGTACCGCCAAAAGTCTTAGCAGAAGTAGATACGATCACATTAGATGACCTAGTATCGATCTTCCCCAGTTTTTTCAAACGAGCCATTTTAAAAATTGATATTGAAGGTTATGAAGCATTAGCATTCGGCAATGCATCGTTGTTATTCAATCGAACGGAAATTCCTGCGATCTATATGGAATTTGGCAAACTAATCGAAATCAAATATCATCGGGGAATGATGACCAAGATTGAAGATATGTTAAGTTTTTTGAAAAAACGAAACTATGAACCATATGAAGTGAATGATATTAATCATATTTTATACGACAACTGGGAATCATGGCCATGGGATGTCGCGTTTCGAAGATGTGACATTTGTCGATGTCCAGGCTTAGAAAAACTCGTTGGATCTGCTGAATGATAAAAGGTACGTACGGGTTTCTTTCGACATAATTCAAAAGAAAAGAATCGATCTTGATTGATGATGTCTAAATATACTTTTCTTATTTTTAGTTCTTTTGTCAATCCTACATTCAAGTTGTGAAATGAAATCTCATCTGTATTTGTGTATATATTAGTTTTCTATACGAATTTGTTATTGATTCCATTTGATACATTCGATTTTTTTCTCTTTTCTTTTGTAGATATTTCATGTCAACATCTTCGATTCCAGTTGCATCCGTTCAATTGATTTATACAGTTCAGCATCCATGTCATGTTGTCAATTGTGATCGTGCGATTGAAACACTCGGTGGCCGACAAAAGCTCGTTGATGTATTTAGCCATTCGAGTACGTCGCAATTAACATGTTCATTTACTCCATCGAATATCTACGAACGACCCTTACGTGCTGAGCGTCAAAAAACAACGGGGCTTTTGATTCGTTTACGACGGAATAAACGAACGAAAGTTGTTCAGTCTGTTCATGTTATTGGTGTTCTCGACACGTCGTATACATTTGAATCACTAGCCGATTTTCAGTACTTACCAATGATTAGAAAAAATGATCAGTATGAATCATTTCTAAATCGTGTGGCATTGAATAGGCAATGTTTAGATAAAGAAAATCTTGAACGACCGTGTCCGTTAATGTGCATTCCAGCAATATTCTCACGTTTTTTTGATCCGACAGATTATGCCTTTCGACCTGAACCAAAAGCTCGACCAAAACGAACAGCAACGACGATAACACGCACCAAACAAGCAGTTAATAGTAACAAACTAACAAAACGAAATGTTCGATCTTCTTCAGCACATCACATTGGATTCGACGCAACAGCAGTTCCCAAAGGTATAACCTTATTAATATTTCCGTTTCTATTCAAACATGCAATAAAAAGATTTACCAATAAACTATATTATTTAGGCCCCAAATCATCAAACGATCTTTATACAAATGTTGACCAGTCGATTATAACCCATCTTCGTCGTCTGTTCGATCAGCGACCAATATGGACTCGAAACAGTTTATTATACCATTTGAAAATCACCGAAGTTATTCTTAAACGTATTATTCACCATGTCGCCTATTTCTTTTGCAATGGCCCATGGAATCGTTGTTGGGTAAGATACAACTACGATCCGCGTTCAGATCCAAAGTCCAAAATCTATCAGATCGTTGATTATCGAGTTCGAGCAATTCTCGATCCGGAGAAAAACTTAGTCAAATCAAGAACATCAAGAGCTTATCATCGTTCATCGTTTGTTGAAATGTTTATCTTCTTTAACTTCACTCTGCAATTTCTCCGTCTTTCAGATTGATTCCTGGTCAGATGTCAGCTACATCTACATCAGTTTCAGCGTCAAATATGAAAAACTATGCAGTAAGTCGAAGTCGTATGGTTTTTTTCGAATTAAAATTTGAGATTTAGGAAGAAATGTACATGTTTAAACGGACAAGTCTGCCGGTTGCACGTTCGATTCATTACCAACTAATTGATATTCAATTAGACGAAGTTCAACAAATGGTTCATTCGAACGATGAACAAGTAAATGAAGGGAGAAAAAGAACTATTTTTATCAATGAAAAAAAAGAGAATTTGTTTCACGACAGGCGCACTTGTTTCCTCCTTCCATTAGTTGATAAACACACCTGTCAAAGTTTGATAAGAAAATTGCGAAAGAAGGGGAAGAGAACAAAATTTGAGTACATCCAAACGAATCAAAGATTAATTTGAGTTATGACACTACGCTCCCTCTAATCTCGATTCAGATAATATTGGCTTGCCTTTTTTTAGTTATACGCCTAACACTGCCGACAGACTTTTTCGTAATCTACGCTTGAATTCATTTGATCTATTCAAGCATAGATAAACAACGGAAATTACCTATTACTATTTTATCACTCGCATCTATGCCTTCGGTACACATCTGGCTATCCCGAAGTACAAATCTATTTCTTTTTTCTCTTATGAAATATTTAAGACTTGAAAGTGTGCGATTTCATCGCATATGTAAAGAGAGATTATTGTGTTTCAGGAACAAGAGTGTACAGAAAGCGATGGCTGGTGTGTTGTTGATTATCAAAACCGTGCACGAGAAATGATGTCAGCTGCACATGAGCAACTTTATCGTCAATATCAACGAGAACGTGGTATTCTTTCCTTTTTCTTTTCTTTCGAGTTTGAAACAATTTAAAGGCTTTTTTCATAGAGAATAACGCAACTGGCGATGATGATGATGGAAGTCAACAGTTAGAAGAAGATGAAGAAAGTAATGATGAAGACGATGACGACGAAGATGAAGAAGATGATGATCAAGATGAAGAAAGCAATGATGAAGAAGAAGGTGATGATGATGATGAAGAACAAAACGACTCGCGCGATGAAACATAGCACTTCGTTGTTTAGTTATGTATATATTCACTTCATATGAGAAAAAAAGAATATTAAAAGTCAAATGAATCCTTGTGCAGTCAAATAAAAAGAAAAAGAAATGCATTTGCTTTGTTTTTTTTCTAGTTATTCACTGTCTCCATTAGTGCGATTATCTTTCTTTTCTAGATGGGTTTAAATTCGACGAAATCTTCATTGACAAATGCGGAATATTCCTTAACGCTTTCATCAACCAATGATTTCTATCGGACACTGACGCCAATTCAAGGCGAATTTCATTTAAATGTTCGATCGAAACTGCGGATTGAAAAAGAAATTCGTGTGGATTTAGTTGGTCAATTGCTTGAAAACAAACGATATGGATCACGTTCTACACGAAACTCTTCTCAAGCAAACAATAATAATAATATTTTCTTAACTTATTCCTGTTCGTTGATAACTTCGCATGAAAATGGTACAGCGCGAACAATCAAACAACAACAAGTCAACTATCCATTTCGAATTCCACTTGGAAGTAATCTTCCACCTTCATGTGAATTCAAAGAATTCTCGATTGTTTACTATTTGGAAATCTTTCACGACGGACGATTGTTACCAAATACGCACAGGCAAATCACTATCGCGCCACAAGTACCGCAATTAACTGTTCCATTACCATGTAAAGTCACAGGTAAAATTTCAGTGTTAAGAAAAGATGCCTGTTCAAATCGATGTTTTTTAAGGTTCAGGTGATGTAACAATGATCTGTAGTTTACCAAAATCATTTTATTCGGGACGTGATTGTCCCATTGTTCCGCTCTCAGTTTCTATAACAAATCCCAAGCAGAAGCAAATTAAAGCTGTAACAGCACAATTAATGCAGACAGTTTCCTTAAATGGAATCAAGCGGGAAAATGAAATTTTCACCGCTCTTCTCAATGAAATCGCTGAAAACACGAAAGAGAACGAAGTGAATACCAAATGTGAATTGGTTTTACCTGCAAATCTATCGCCAACTCATGTTCCCAATGAAAATGGTTCACCTGATAATCTACCAAATATCGCTATTACTTATGAATTTCGTATAACAGCCCAGATGAAAGGTGCAACAACTCCCAATCTTCGTTTATCAGTACCGCTTGGTGTTGAATAACTGATCTTTCTCTCTAAACGTGCGTGTGATATTTTAATCTATTTACTAATTGTTCTTACAAAAAAAAAACTTTCTTTTTGTTCAATCGAGTAGCATTGGACTTCATTTAATTTAGTAATAAGTGATAAGCGCAAACAACAAAAAAGACAATGATGATGGTGTACACGTTTCTTTTTCCTCTTCTTTTTTTGTACAATAAATTCTATCGTTCTACTCGAGAGTTACACATGTTACTTTGCATGAGATTGAAATGTAAAGAGAAAACAAAACAGAGAAGAACAAGACGAGTTCAATTATGGTTATCACCATTGCTTGTTGGATGTAAATCCTTAACTTTGGCCAGAAATGAATTGAGATATGTGAATATACATTTGTAGTCAGGCGTATTACCCATAATGAGCATATCCGAAACGTCGAGCAATTGGGGCACACCGGCACGTTCTTCAGCGACACGAAAAGCAAGTTCAAAGTTTTCTTTCCGATTACTTGATGATAAACTATTGAAATCGAACGCATCTGGAAAGAAATGATGAGTTAGGGCGCAAAATGCTAAACCATCTGCCCATGATGATGAGAGATTAGTAACCGAAACATTCTGAATTAAGCGAAAAATCAGATAAGAAACTAATTTACACAAAAGAAATGAATCACTTACAGGGTAACTAGCAACTTGTGCTTGACACCAACGAAGAAGGCCCTCTTTCACATTCGATGTGGAACGAACAAGAGGTGTTCTACAATATAAAATAATTACGTACTTCAAGAACAATCTTATCGATTACCTTCGTTTATAAGCTGACGGGATATTATTATTGGTTGTCGAAGGTGCTGATGGAGGCGATGTTGCTCCCGATCGATTCATATTGATCGTCATCGCACGTTGAAGTGTTGGACGACTCGGTGTGGTTATTGTAGGTTTTGTAATGGCTGGTGTTGGTGGTGGACTTGTTGATGATTCGATCAATGCTGAATGTCGTGAATTGACCACTGGTGAAAACAATGGCGTTCGTTTGGTCGGAATAACTACTGGAGCAACTGGCCGTGCTGATGATACAGCAGCATTCAATTGATTCACCATCGATCTCACCCGATTTTTACCAAGAGAAGACGAAGATTCTAGTCGAACAAAATCCGAATATTTATTCATGATTCGAAATGAAAAATGTATACATGCACGCGCGTACACTCAGACATATATTTTACTTTTATCATAAACTGTAGTTTCTTTCTTTCGTTCTCTTTCTTTCTTCTTTTCTTCGTATTCAAAATAGTTTATGAGTGCTGAATAATATTTAAACGATAACGATTTTTAAATACCTGCGAGATTTTGTGATTCAGTCATATTAGTTCCGTTGACTAAGTTGTGTTTCTTTCCAGTCGAAGTTAACGGTGTTAATGACACCTAAAATTCGAAAATAACATTAAGAAACGTGAGAAAAGAAAATGAGCTTTCAAGTTTATTCTTTTTGTTTGTCTGATGTACGCCCTTACTTAAACATCTGCAATCTTACCTGTTGTTGAGTAGTTCTGTTGGCGACGTTATTCGGCAACGTTGATGATTGATTCGTTATTCCTGTTGGTTTTCGTATTGATGATGTTGCCATCGTCGAGGGTGTTACTGATGACGTATGACTTGTAATCGTTGTTTTCAATGGTTTTTTAATTGTTGACGAAGGCGGTTTCAGTTTACTTGAAGTTGGAACATTTTTTAATGGCTGTTTCAAACGCGATGCGTTTGTTATTGTTGTACTGGGAGTGTTGCTGAGAGTACGTTTTGGTAGTTGTGAAACAGATTTATTGTTGTTTTTTGTTAGATTACCGTTGGGAACGTTTGAATTGACCGAAGTTGTCTTTTGACTAATAAGAACAGTTGAAGCAGACGATACTGTGCTACTCGATGACGAACTACTGGTTAGCCGATGAGATGGTGGTGAATGCGTATGAGGGTTGATTGTAACGACGTCATTTATTGTCTCATTTTCTTCCGTGCGATAAATAGAAGAGATAAAATTGTTTGAGACATGTGCTACTGATGATGGCTCAATGGAATGATAACTAGAAGAACGAAAGAAAAGGAATGAAAAAAAAACATTTATGAAGAACGAGTCCATTCAAATCACGTGGTGATCATCGAATATCAAAGGACCTACTTTTCGTGAATTTCGTCTTTTGTTTCGATCGTTGGTGATGCTTGTTTGACTGTCAAATTTAGATATGTGAGTAGAGGTGTTGTTAATGGTGGAACTTCAGTTTCATTTGTTGTAAACGTATGTTTCAAAGGACTATGACGAATGCGACTTTTTTCTGCACGTATTCTCTCGCGAGCGGAGTTAAATTGTTCTTCGGTGGTATTTTCTCGAATAACAACCACTTGTTGATTGCTTAAATTCGCCTTATTCGTTTCATTGGTATGTGTACTTTTATAAAATGTTTCAACTGTGTATGTTGTTTCTTCTTGAACGATATTGTCGCATCGAATATTTTCGTAGACCTGATTTTCATCAGTCGATGAACTGCTTGTCGAATCATCAGATATCGATGTGGATGTTGAAGACGAAGAAGAAGAGAGGAGCGGTGGTGGTGGAGACTCATAGGGGATTTCTTCAATTTCGTATGTCGTTACCGATGGTTCGAAGTGAACTCGAGGAGATGAAACTGGATAACTTGGACTTAAGTCAGTTAATGACGTTAACGAAGGAAGATTCGATCGTTCTTTTCTCGCTGGAACGGAGTCAAAGACAACCATTTTTGGTAAAACTTGTTGTTGCTGTTGCTGTTCCTTGTTGAATTGAGATAAAAATGATGCTTCTTCATGATTTTCGATAATCGTTCGAGATTTTAATGACACTGGTGAATTATTGAAGTTATTAAACTTTTTGATTATACTCGCGATGGAGTCTACTTTAGTATTCTTTTCCGGAATTGATGAAACAGGTTCTAATTTTGGTAAAGATGTAATCGATGGAATGAATGTGTCCAAATCTAATGGTCGAACGAGTTTCGGTTTGCAGAACATGCTTGATGTGACCGATTTGTTCTCATCATATGAGTTTGTCATTGAATTCGGGGAAGATATGGGTGCAGTGAGACAAAAAGTAACGCCTAACGATTTCTTTGGTTCGATATTGGAAAGATTATCAATTCCTCGGGCAACTAAATTCGCGTACTTGGAGATTTTATTATTCTGTTCGGAACAGATATCTTGTAATGATTCTTTCGCTTGTTGAAGAGCATTGATCGTTGAAGTATATTCATTATTAAGACGGCGAACACTTTGATTCCACGTTGACATTGATGATGATGATGACGATGGAGGTAATGGTCGAATTAGAGAATCCGACATTCGATCGGACGGTTCGTGAAATGACGAAGACATTAACGTTGGAGATTCAATATGACGGCACACTAATGGTCGATAATTATATAGAGAAGTTGATAATTGATGATCGGTAATGTTTCCGTTCATCGCCATCGGTTCAATTGACGAGGGAGAATTGCAGTAGATTTGACTGGAATAAATTATATTGGAATTCATTGACGAAACAGGTGATAGTGGACGAATGTCTATAAGAAGATCAGACATATTCCATAAGTTGTAATGAAATTTTTTTGAAAAAAAGGTTAACAAATAATCTTGTTCATGGTTAATTGAACTTTGAACAAAGAGGACATTAGTGAAACATTACGAATTTATCAAGCGTGACAAGAAAATCTGATGTATATTGAATTGTAGATTGATAATAAAAAAAAAACTTTCGTTTCTTTGTAAGTCTACTTAGTTCAACCTTGATCTTTATCAGAAAAACGCTCGATTTCACTGATGTCTAATAGTTTGTTTATGCCTATTCGAATTATAATCATTTATATGAATCTGAGACCTCAGATATGCTTATCAGTTAATCGATAATTTACTCTTATTAATAATAGAAAATTATAGCTTTTCATCGGTGAAACATTAAATGTTATCATCTCACGGTTTTCATTCGATCTAATGAATGTCTCATTGATTATATCTTACCATATTTTGCTTGAATCTCTCGATGTTTTTCCATAGATACCGAATAGCTTTGACTTCTTTCGTTGTAGAATGGCTGAGGTGAAGGAAAATTTCTTTCATATAACATAGAATGATGACTAAAATATGGTGGTTGATCATCATAAATGGCACGATGAACAATCATATCTTTGGAATTCGAATAATTCGAATTAATCACTCGAATAAGTCTTGCTGTGGCAATTCCATCAGTAGGATTTTTAATTGGTAACGACGAATCAGTCGTCGTTGGTAATGAGATCGTATTTTGACTATCGTCGATAATTGACGATGAACTTGATGATGACACTGAAGAAGGCGGAGGAAATTTTCCTGAAGTTGAATGACCAATATTGTTAGCAGTAGTCGGATGACGTCGTCGAGGAGATGCCGATGACGATTGGTCATTACTACTGCTACTACCATGATGTTTTAGTTCTAATGAACGAAAAAATGCTCGTGCTTTTTCGACTGCACTATTCGTTGATGCTGAGTGTTGTAATTTTTTTAATGATTCTAACAAGAAATATGGAGATAGAATTCGGAAGCAAAAGGAAACAACTTACCAAGTTTCGATTTGAATCGACTCTCTGTTTTTGACATTTTTTTCTCGTGTTTAATTTCACTCTTAGTCTTCTTCAATAATGATTGTCGATATAGAGTTTGTTGTTCGGGATATTCGACCCCGTCGCGTTCATCCATATCGCCGGCCAACTCTTCCTCTACTCATCAATTTATACATACATACATATATGTATATACGTTAAGATTCTTTTTTTAACCAACAAGACGAGAACGAATATATGACAAAGTTCTTTCAACTGATGAGAAATCGATGAGTAGACGGAGAATATATGAATATATGAGAACAGCTTAATAATATATACATATAAAATAGTATGTGCATGAAGACGAGTGATGCACTCGCGACATGTACACGTATAAGTTATCCGATTGACAAGGAAGAAAAGCAATTGCTCATTCATTTAGCTAACGTGTCTCTCGAGAGAAGAATAAATGAAAGGAGACAGAATATCTATCAAAAGTTTTTTTCTCACCATTAAAGATGACTATCGAGTGGACAATTAACGTACTTTTTTCGCTAAGTGAATTAAATAAACCATTACCAAAACATATAAGTAGTTCGAGTAGAAGAAAAAGAAGAAAACGAAATTTTGTCTTTTTATTTATTTAGCTTCAAAACAGTGTCAATCGTTTAGCAAATAAAACATTGGATAGGCAAAGGATCAAGTGTAGAGTTAATACTCATCTTTCACTTCTATTTGATTAACGATGATCTTTTTCTTGTCGATAGAGAAAACATTGAAGGCGGAGATAGGACAGATTTCGAAATAAACGGAAAAAGAAAGCGATATTGATATATACAATGACCGATGTCGATCTGATTATTTTCTTGTCATCGTTCATCATTCGAAATGAAGAAAAAAAGAAATCATTTTGATCATAATCAAAAGAAGACGATTATTTCGATGAGAATGTTATAAACTTGTTTTCAACAATACACCGAACGTTGGATTTCGAAAAAATCATGATGTAATTTCTCTTATTCATGCGCATCCTACTACTCTACTTATCTCGACATGTTTTTGTATGTAGAAATGGATTATTGTTCATGTAATCATGATTGCTATCTTAATGATCAATAGTTTTAAGTAATTTTGTTGTATAAATGCAAAATGACAGATGATTTTGGATATTCATCTTATTATTTTAACATTGCGGCCAAGTTCAAACGGCTCATTGAAGTTTTGATGTTTTCGGTAGAGAAAATTTCGACAACATCCGTTTGGATCAAACGTAGAACGAAAATGCCTTTAGGATAAATATCAATTTTATTCAGTAGAAAAACAATTCTGAGGATGTGGACGAGAGTTTTATTAATTGAAATGAATATATCATCTTTACTATCACATCTATGATAGTGAATATTGTAAAAAAAGACGAAGAACAGTTTTTTAATAGAATATTTCAGTTTATTGAGAATGTGCAACAATTTGATCAATACGTTTATGAGCAAGTACTATGATTTCTTCAAGAAAATAGTGCAAAACGTTATACACAGCAGTAAATGATATTCCCGAAGATATAAATGGTCCAATAAGTGGTAAATATCTGGCACCTTCTCCAGATGCACAAGCGATTGCAGTTTCACTAAGTTTTCCCATCAGTAGTCTCCTTATTCCAGTGTCATCAGCATCGAGAAAAACCATTTTGGCACCATAGACAACTTCTAATAGGTCTTCAAGATTAATACCAAGTCTTTTTGAAAGACTTTCAATTGCCTCTTTGTCAACACCAAAATCTTTTAGGTACAAACGTATTTCCCTGATCATGAGAACTACATCGCAACAAATTGACAATCCAGGAACAGGTACAGCAGCAAGACCAGCTGAAGCTAAAGCTACTTTAAATATCCGACTTCTAATAAGAGCTCCTTTCTGCTCAACAGCTTCATGAGAGTTGGCACTAATTGTATGAATAAGTGCTTCTCGCTTTAAATCCGGTGCGTTTTCAATTAAATTTTGAACAAGTTTTGGAAAATCCCATTTCGTATAATTTTTCAATCGTCCACTAATCAAATAAACAGGATGTTCACCAGGAATACTTTTTAAATTTTCTTGACAAATTTCTTTTGTTTCATCGAGATAAACCTGTTCATTAAATTCATCGCCTCTATCTTCAGATCCATTTGTAATATTTTGATCTATTCTTGATCGAACACAGAAGAATTTCTTTTGACATTCATGAAGTTCATTAGCCAGATAACAATCATTCTCTGTGAATCGATTAGATACAAGAATGATGAAGAAGTCGTATGAGTTAAGTTTGAATGTTTTTGAATATTCTCCTATAGGAAAGTTTGGAACTCCGGGACCAGGAAAATCATAATAAACTACTTTTGGATTTTTTACATCTGGATATTCTCCTACAACCGTTGTACCTTCTGTGTTACTGCACGTTTTTGCAGCTTTTGGGTGATCTGGTGGTAAATCACGCATTGTATTGATGAAAGTTGACTTTCCTACGCCTGATGTGCCTGTAACACCAATGCGTAATTCTTTTTCACTCCATTTTTCCATGAATTCACAAAGTCATTGGTCAAAGCCATTACATCCATGACGTGCGATTTGTTGTTGTACTTCTTGATCAAAATAATTTTGATAATCATAAGTGGAAATTCTTTCAGCAATATTAAAACGAGTACTAATGAAAAAAGAACTTTTATTATCATCTTGTGAAATTTCAATTCATATGCATTTATTTACTTTGGGGAAGAAACAATATTCTGTTGTTGAGCTCGATTTAAAAAATATGATCGACGTTCTTCATTCGACATTTTCAAAACTCTTCTATAACATGAAAGTCGTCTGCGTACCTATATAAATATTGTTTCCTCGTCAAATTTGATTTTTCCGAGTCCGCTACACTTTGTTGACAAGTAGTAGTTTACTCAAGAGAACTAGTGAGTCAAATCCAACAAAATATGATTTTCTGTAAATCATGCATGGCCATTATTTCATTTTATCGTCGGAAAAAAAAGTCAATACTTTTTCGTTCTTCTATTGTCTGTTGCATTAACATCAGTAAGCATAAGATTGCAAGACATGTTGGAAGAAAATAAAACGATATGAAACAAGAACTCAGAAAAGAAAATATATAAAGAAATTCAATATTTTAATGTCATCGCTCTTCTATCATTTTCTATGAATGTGAAACTAGCACAAACAAACGATATGTTAGCTAAACACTTTTTTTACTAACATATCGTTTGTTCGTGATACCTTTAAACTGATTCATTTTCTTTTATTTAATTATAACAACTACAAAAAACAAAATTGACGAACAAAGTATATTACCGATTGATTATTCAACGAAAAATGCACAAGTTTTCCAGATGACTACGTATAAGTATCCAACGAATTAACCAGATCTTTTCGATCTCTTCATTGGTTGTGCAACTGAAGCTAATGGACTAAAAATAAACATAATTATGAAGATAGGGTAAATTCTCAACGATGCTAACTATTAAAAATCTCTTTTCGATAGATTGCTTGGAAATTCTCGATCGTTAATCTGAACAACGCAGTGTTTTCTAAAATATTTATCTGTGCTCATAGGATGTCCATTAATAATGAGCTTCTAAGTTGTATGTGTGACTGATTTCTTTAGTAGTCTTTTCGAATAACCCCTAAGAATAACATCTCAGCTACTCATACGCAAGTAGTAAAGAGTCTTGACCATCAAATTCGTTCAGATAGTTTACCTGGTCAACATAAGGTAAATGTTTAATCAAAGAAACTTACCATCGCATGAATTCTGTTTGAGAATACCAAGCACTTTATCAATTGCTATATTCATTCCCCATGTTGTCTATTTTCTATGAACTCACAGTTATATTTCTTCAAATCATGATAAGCTTAAATATGTTTTTTCCATAAATGAATGATTTGCTTTTCTTCTTCTTCGATGTTGTTGATTTCGGTGATGAACTGCGTCCTAATCTATCAAAAACAATAGTTGGAAATGTTTGACAAGAAATGATCGGTCATTTACTTTTTCACCTGACTTTCAATCTTTGTTGGTTTTATTCTTTCTGAGTTTTATTTATTAGAATAACAAACATCACATACAAAAAAAGTTCTATGCTACATTTCGTCATGTAAAACTTCATCCGTGTCAAGAATACGCATATCAGCGAACACATGAGCATGCCTTTGAATCTCATTTAATGACAAAGTATCATCACGTGGTGAATCATCAACTTTTTCAAATAGTCTATTTACTTGAATATTGATATGCGCACGATTCATTGGATCATATGCTTTCTACAAAGAACTACAAGAATATTCTGTCAATGTTAAAGTTATATGCATACAACTAATTCTTCCTTGGAGAGAATGCCGTCATGATTTTCGTCGAATTCAAGAAATTCTCGCTTTTGGGACGCCATCCATTGCTGATCTATTGCTTCCCGTTTTGTCTCACCATGTTCTCCATTTATATCATGTGCTATAAATTGGCTACTGTGTAAGAAGTATAATAGAATGCATCGGTTTTTACGTACATGGAACAATGATGAACTCTTTTTCGGTTAATTGCTGATCATTATCACGATCTAGGCACATTCGAAAACTGGATTATAAGACTGAGAAGAAACACAAACCTAACTGCGCCATGAGATTATCAGCGATACTTGTTGATGCTTGACTGACTAATTCGGGATGACGAAATGCAAGAAATTGGTCGATATTAAGATTATCTCCAACGCGCATCCAACGATTACGAATTCTAAGAAGTTCGGCAAGCACTAAAAATATTACACATTCGATAGAAACGATCCGGTTGCTGTGTTTCATTACTGACAATCGAGATCTATTGATTGTGGTGCAGTGTCCATGTCATATAGATATTTGTCAACAGATACATTTTGATTATGGAGTTTAAGATACAATGCTGCATATTCAGGCCATGTCACTTTTCCTACAATCAAAACAGAATGTGGAATACATGAAACTCTTCTTTTACCGTCGTTGTTCGTATCGATCAGTATGAACAATTGAGCGTTCTTGTCTTTCGCTTCTTTCAGATGATCTTGAACATTCTTGAACAGATAACTCACCAACTCTTCTCGCGTCACACGCTCATCATGATCAATATCAGCTCTAAACATATCCACATCAAGTCATCTTATCTCATCTCACAAATAATGAACTCACAGTCGAAAGATTTCTTCCAGCTTCTTATTTCGTTTCATTTCATCGTGTTGAATATTGGACTCGAATAGTTCATGGTTGCCTAAGAATAGTTCTCGGTGAAACTCAGGATTGACTTTGCCATGTCGATCGAGGGGTAAACCTTCGAGATGGTGATCATCTTTGAGACTATGAATGCCGAAACTTTTGAGATCTTTTGCTATTTTCGATAGATTGAAATCTTTCGGTATTTGCAGTTTTGCTAATTCCAATGAGAAATTGGCGTATTCTGAATGTATCTTCTTCGATGTCGAGTTGATGCTAGTGTTACGTACAATAATATATTTCTCATCAACCGGCAGAGTGGTTACGATAACACCCAAAATCCAAGCTAGGTATACGAGTCCTACCAGCATCGATCTGCTTGTACTTAAAAGTAACAATGCTGTGTCTACTTCTAGTCCAATCTATTAGAATTTGAATACTCATTTAGATCAGTGGTTAACGATGCTTGACGTTATGCAAGCTGAATGATAAAAATAAATATTCACAACGAACGTAACGCTACAGTAGATGCAAACAATGTTCGAATCGAGAAAGTTTGTCTCGGCATACTCCGTTTTGATCGAATGGACAAAAGTAATACTGACTCATTTTATATAGACGTCGCCAGGTAACACATTTTGCACATCAAGGCAGACGAAAATAGATCGATCTATGTTAGTTATAAAGATAACTTTGATTTTATTCAAACACCGACAATGTGATTCGATTACGAGTGAACATAGCGACGAAATAAATTATTGCGTATTATGAAAAAACAGAACAAGAAAGGGAAATTTTTCAATTACATTTCTTCGTGTAACACTTTTTCTGCGTCTAAAAGTCTCATATCAGCAAATGTATCAGCATGGTTTTGAACTTCATCTAATGATAATGCATTATCGGCTGGCGAATCATCGACTTTTGAAAATAGTTTCTTTATTTGACGATCAATATGGCCCCGGTTCAATGGATCGTACGCTTTCTACAAAAGATCGACTATTAGTTTGAAAGAAGCAACTAAATTCTTACCAGTAATTCGTCTCTCGTTAACACCCCATCATTGTCTTCATCAAATTCATGAAACTCGCGCTTCTGCTCTTCTAACCAACGCTTATCCATTTCAGCCCATTCCTTATTATTAGGATCTTCTAAGCCCGATGCTAAAGAAAGAGGAAAATAGGTTCTTCAGTCGTCCAAAATATTTTCACATACGAGGCAAAAAGGCAAATTCATCGATGGTCAATTTCTGATCTTCATTACGATCTAAACACGAGTAAAATACGACACTGTGAGAAAGCGAAGATATCGTTTCTGAAGATAAACAAACCCATCTGCGACATAATATCATCCACAATATGTTTATACGAACGACCCGCTATTTCTGGATGGCGAAATGCGAGAAATTCGTCAAGATTAAGTTCATTGTCAACATCATGATCAGCTTCTGTCCATCGATATCGAATTTTAAGAAGTTCACGACGTACTAAAACAAAAAATGAAGTAAATACATGAATCAATGGATACCGAATGTAAGACGTACAGTTACTATCGAATGATTCTTGAACAAAATCAATATCATTCAAATCTTTTATATCTGATGCATTCATATGGTGAAATCTGATATACAATGCTGCATATTCAGGCCATGTCACTTTTCCTACAATTAAAACAGAATGTGGAATACATGAAACTCTTCTTTTACCGTCGTTATTTGTATCGATCAGTATGAACAATTGAGCGTTCTTGTCTTTCGCTTCTCTCAGATGATCTTGAACATTCTTGAACAGATAACTCACCAACTCTTCTCGCGTCACACGCTCATCATGATCAATATCAGCTCTAAACATATCCACATCAAGTCATCTTATCTCATCTCATAAATAATGAACTCACAGTCGAAAGATTTCTTCCAGCTTCTTATTTCGTTTCAATTCATCGTGTTGAATATTCGACTCGAATAGTTCATGGTTGCCTAAGAATAGTTCTCGGTGAAACTCAGGATTGACTTTGCCATGTCGATCGAGGGGTAAACCTTCGAGATGGTGATCATCTTTGAGACTATGGATGCCGAAACTTTTGAGATCTTTTGCTATTTTCGATAGATTGAAATTTTTTGGACGTTGAATTTTCGGTATTAATAGCGGTACAGGTTCTGCAACTGCCGCTGGCTGATCGATCCGAGATTCGGAAGTGGTTGAATTTTTTTTAGAAGTCTTTGGAATACTTTGAACATCGGCTTTCTACATAGTGAAAACTTTCTGTAACATTTCAGAAGGAAAAAAAGAAGAAAGAACTTACATTTTGAATGACTGGCAAAGCACCTATACCAATAATTATTATTAAAAATAGATGTGAAAGTTTGATTAGTATAGATGACATTTAATCTACAAATTAATGAAATAAATGATAGATACTTTATTGTTAGATCTTTCAAAAATGAGATAGATTTTTATGCATGAACTAACTGTTCATCAGTTTCATTCGGTTCAGTATCTAAAATAGGTTGTTCACTTTCATCCACAGGCGTGGCTATGGCTAATTGAGGTGTTCGAGTAATACAAATAGCTTGTGTTCTAGAAGGAGAAAAACAACAGTTAGTGATAAATCCCAACAAACATTCGATGATAGTACAAAATGAGAATTAATGCTAGTATTCTTGTGATTGCAGCAAAAACGAAGACAAGACCAGGAAAAAAATCAATTGAAGCTTGATAAATTTCCACACATGTAATTGTACCAACTACGACATCGAGATTTTGTATCAATGCAACAAAACCAAACGCTTTGCCTAAAAAACCATTTATTCTTTCATTGAAAAATTTCAACTAATCGCATCATTTACCTTTATCTTGTTCAGGCACTAATCGTGCAATAACAGATCTTAAGCATACGGAAAAATAAATACAAAACATCGAAGATGGAATTGCTACAATGGAAACAATGAGCATCTGTATCTATTGCTGGTAATTCTCATTGATTTTTTACCTCCGAAAATCATTGCTCTATTATTTCTTGCGAATGCAAATAGAAATGGTCCAACTAAAGAAAGACATAGACCAACACAGGCGAGATAAAGATCATTAACATTCCATCGTCGTCTCATTACCGCCAAGATGATCAATGCTAAACAAGTTGCTAACTGTTCAAATGTAAAATATGCTGCGTAATGTGCGTCATCAAATGACATTTGATGTAAATACAAATAAATAATTGACGACGAGCCCATACGAAAGAGATCATAGAAGAAAAGTGCGATCAAAAGTATGAGAAATGATACGAGCAGAGAATTTTGCCTTAAACCAACGAATAAATCATGAGTATCAACTAGAGGACGCATGAGCTTTTGTCGCAAGTTAATCCTTGACGCTTGAGCCACTGAACGAGTTCGAAGGAAAACAAGACTAACAATGAGTGTGAGAACAAGAAGAAGAACATGTGTTAGCAAAATATGCCAAATGCGAGCATGTACTTCAAAAATAAATGTGCATAGTAAATAACCAATAACAACGCCAATATTCAATGATGCTTCAATCAATGCAATAGTTTGAACTTGTTGGTCTTTGTCTGTACAAGGATCAGTAGCATAACCAAAACACGATCTAAATTCAACGAAATTAGATTGTATTTTGATGATTTTAATCGCTCACGAAATCAGTATCAATGCTCCGCCGCCGAAACCATTGACAATGTTAGCAACTAAGTATAAAATTAAACATAATTGCGTGCCTTGATAAAAACTGGCAACCATTATGATTAAACCAGTCACAACTGCATTACAGATCGTTAAGACAATGGGCAGTTTACGATTTTTTGTATCAGATAAACTTCCATAAATAGGAGAAAGAATACAAGCGATGATTGAGAATGATAAAGTACCATAGAGAGTCCATTGTGAACTTTCTTTTTGAATTGATTCTTGTAAAGCATGAAATGATTGATTTTGGTCGATCTGAGCACAAAATGATGCGTTAGCTCGAAGAAGACATACGGTTGAGTAGATTAATGAGTTTGTCGCACAAACAAATAGGAAAAAAGAGCTTAAATACAGAACGCATATAATACAAATTGGTAACACAGCACGCCACAAGCCTGATGATGCTGTCGATGGTTCGACCATTTTAATTTTACTTATCGATTGATTAGCAACATTGGTACTATATTTGCAGGTTATGTTTTATGAACTGCGACTAATTTATATTGATCAGATCAACTACAAATGAGAATCAATGGTCGATAGAGGGCAGACATGTTGCAGAGGAGACAAAATTCTACTTAAAAAATAGATATAATTATGAGTTTTACTTGAAATAGATAGGTGTTCCTACTAAATACTTAACTCAATGATTCTTTTATCGAGATTACGATGAAGTTATTTCATATTTAACTGATGTTCATTCCCTTTCATACGTCATGATAAGTAGATTCGAAAATATAAACATGTTTTTTCTCTTCATTTTGGGTGAAGTAGTATTTTTTCGTATAGAAGTGAGGTAAAAAAGAGCTCTTCGCTGTTCTTCGTAAGGCTTGATTTTGAATTCGATAGTTTTTATTGTGACGTAAAGGCGGCCAGAGAGACACAGGAACGATTCGTTCTATTACTATGTCGCCCGTCAGTTCACTATTTTGTAGTACGCATAATATTGACCTTTTTCTCTCTTTTTTTATTTGGTCAACGATGAACTATTCACTTACGTTGTCCGCACTTACATAAAAAAAAGAATGACGTATAGAAATACTCTAACATATTTATTCTTTAGTAAGTAAATTTCAAATACAATTAGTCTTTTAAATCTTCATTTTTTGCATTTATTCAAGTTTACTGCTTCGCAATTCTTCCGCGTTTCATTGATGCATCCGATTGCTATTTTTGTCCAAACTGCTTGAATTCTCAACGTGGTGTACGTCTTCCCGCTCGTGCAGACGATTGGTGCTACGTAAGTACAAATTTAGAGGATTATAAAAAAAAACTTTCGAACATAGTTTTATCTCAATTAGAAAATTGTATGGCGATCCGGTCCTGGGAATCATCAAATGGTCTCACGTGGCGCATCGGCTGACTGTCGTCAAGATGCATACAACGATCAGAGTATGACGATGCCAAGTATTTTCTCTGGCACTGCTCGGTACTGTTGTCGAGGTCATCTCTGTAATTCGGTACCCAAGCGTATGGGTTATTCGCGTATACTTCTTTTATTTTTGGTATTTGTACAACTAGGAAAAAATACACTAGGATCTTATTCATACTTATTGTGGTAAAGATCTCATCGTTACATTTCTAAGAAGTAGTAGATTGCTAGGTTTTTGGCAAGTTTTTCTTTTTATTTTAAGTAGCAAATATTCGCTCACTTAATTCATAGCATGAATTGTACTAAATACAATGCACATACATCTGTATTTTCTGTTTTTTTCTTTTACGTAATGAAATCGAAGAAAGATGTTGTGAAGACAATCTTCGATGAATGTGTTTACTGCTTTTAAAGTTGGACGAGAATAACAAAGTTCTCTTCTTTTTCTACATCGTCAAGATTAATTCGACGTTGCTTCCTATCAGCTTCGATAAATGGCTGAGATGGGAGTACAGTACATCATCAGGGTTTCTAACGTTTGATTTCACTGACTGAGCCAAGTCATTCTTGTCTAATACTGATGTCGTCGAAGGCACAACAGTACTATTAATATTGGTTAGCTATAAGTATACATTAGATTCCAGCTAAGATATTTGTCAACTAAATCAGCTTACGATTGTTGTTATGAACTCGAATGAAGAAAAGGTAGAAATACCACTTCGAAAGCTACTTTACCTATCTCACTTTCGCACCTGTACCGAACTTTGGGTTGTCAATAAAAAAAAGCTCGTATCGATGCGAAGCGTGATTTCTTAATTCAAAACTGGCAAACTCTCGCCTTGAAATCTTTGCATGTTCAACTGATGTCCATTAAACATAATTACTATCTGTCTGCATTCCTCTGCAAGGCAGGTGAGACTACTTTGACGAGTTCTCTTTCTACTGCTACTGCTGCTATAAGTGAACTTTCACAATAAACAACAAAGAAAAAACAGTAATCTAGTTCTCACCAGTCTTATTCAGGTTCGATATTGGAAATGTTCGATGGATTTGAGTTCTCGGCTGTAATTTGATTAGTTTTCATAAGACATGTAGATTTTAGTCTTCGCCAGCATTTTTTTTTCAAAGTAAACGCCACTTGACGACGATATCGTGGTGATAAGATCATAAAAACAAAACAACTAAGCTGAAATAAAATCGAAATATTCAATACTAATCAAATGAGAAAAGTGAAACATACTAACCGAAATATTTAGCCAATAAAAAGATATAACGATCGCTTGAATCAATCGTGTAACTGCATATTGTAATGATTGATCTTGTGTAGTAGGGGTATTAAGTACATAGGTACGAAAAATTGCATATGGTGAAAAAAGAACAACTAACATCGCAACACGTATGAGAACAAATGCTGTCATCTGTTGATCTAATCGCCGTCGAGCTATCGGAAGTTGTCGACGAACTATACGACGTACATTCCGATATGCTAAAATATTAAACAATGCCGCAATGCAGATCGGTAATAAACCGATTAAAACTGGATAGAAGAAGTATGTTGAATATCGAAGCCAAATAGGATCTGATATAGTACAGCCTAACGAAGGCTGAATATTGAAAGATGTGGTAAATACAATGCTATGTATAAGCCAAATGCATGCAAATATGCCGGTCAGACATTGAGCTAACCGAATTGTACATATATTTCGTAAGTTGAATTGATAGTTTGTTGAGAAGAATTGATCACCAGCAGCAAGACATAGTGTATATGATGTAAACAATAATAATAGTTGGGCTGCTGCGTATCGAGATCGACACCAAATAAGACTTTTTTCAGTAGCGTCATCGCCATATAAATTTATTAAAATATTGATTGCAATAGAGAGAAGTTGATTGAGAAGATTGGAAATCGATTCAACTGTCAAATAGAAAGCTGATCGATTATTTTGAAAGAGTTTTAACTGAGTAAAGGTAAGAATATTGAGAGTATTACCAATCACGCCACTAATGATTGCAATATAACTCGAATAAAGAGAATATTGTATAGAAAACTGTAAGATTGCTGTCGACATTAATAATGATTTAATAAAATAGTTGACATCATATTTTGTTGTTTTACATCACATCTGACATTAGAATGACATATATGAAAGTTCAATGCACTTTTGTATCCTTTGGAATAAAATGTACATGCTTGGTTGACGAATTAAATTTTATAAGTAATCCTATTCTCTAATGCAAATTTTGACGCTAATAATTGTTTGAAGAAGATTGACGTTCAGGTTTTTTTTCCTTTTCTTTATTTCAATCTAAGTGCATTAGCTGACGATCTTTTGCTCGTATTCTCCGGGCAAGATATTGTGTATGAAAAACTGACTCTGTCTTACGAGCAAGACCGTTTTGTTGTCACTCTTGGCTACAATTTTTATAATAATATATGCTTAACACAGAAGACAAAAAAGTATTGGAGAGTTTTCATGTTAACCATGTTTTGATGGTTGCATCACAATTTTATCGTAGTATAAATATATATATGCTCTGAAGAATCCGAGAATTGCGTTTCAATTTGATCTAATAACATATCCCACTTTTTTAATTACGTTGAAAGTGTGATTCAGTCATTAAAAAACCTTGACAATATGAGATGAAAATAAACTCACATGCACGGAACAATCGAACTAATTATGCATTTACGTATGTTGATTGAGATAAAAAAAAATCAATATTTACTTGTCGATTTATTTATTTCATTCAGATATATTACAAATAAAGATTATTGAATTCTCCGAAATATACAGATTAAATTCAGAATTGTATCGGAATAGTTTTACAAATAAAATGAGATCATCCACTAGATGCTTGTGGACAACTTTGTTTGTACGAAGTCTCTTCATTATGTGGAATATTCACTGCACTTGTTGATTGACATGTTGCTGAAGAATTTTTCACGTTTTTCAATTGTAAACTCATGAAAAAAGCATCCTGTGAAGCAAATGTTTGATCACCATAATAATATCCAGCGATGTGTTGAATGCAACGCATACCACATTTCAAATATAACGTCAAAGCACTTGCATTTTCTGTGTTCACATGTAATGTAACACGAGAAAGATTTGATCTAATTGAATTTTTAATAAATTCATTCAAAAGCTTTGTTCCAAGACCTTTTTGGCGATGCTCTTCCAAAGTGCTCAAAAAACAAACATATTCCGAATTATCGTATGCTTCACGATGAGCTAGAAGAAGTGCACTGATCTTGTTCAACCCAAGAGTTGAATTATTTGAGAAGAACGCCAATATTGTTGTTCCGCATTGTTGAAGAACATTAAAATAATGTCGTTGTGGTGCATCGAATGATTCCCGAAGATATTGTTCAAGATTTCGGTTAATGAAATTGACTTGAGCTTGATTAATACCCGCTTTAGGTATCAATTTATACAAACGGTAATCTCTGTGATTACTTACAAATGTATACTGAATATTGGTCGATGTTTCTACGAATGAAATTGGTTTCGTTGGTAATCTAAGAGAAGAAGATACAATTGAACCAAGAAAATTTATGCATATACGATTTGTTTACTCCTGCTGTGAAGGTCTTTGCAAAATACAATTGATAGGTTGAATTGAGATGGTAATGATAGAGAATATTGTAAGAAGGAACGCTGTCATTTGAATATTGATTTTTATGTGCATTTTACAGAGAACAAAAAAAAACAGTCAATGAATGAAACGCCTTTTGCAAAGGATTTAAATATCATAACATCGTACTTTTCATCCGATTAAATGCCAAAATCGATGTTACGACAAAGTACATAGTTTCTTACTAATTGAAACGTTCAGTCTAGGAAAGAAGGTTACTCTAACGAGAGATTCTTGTGAAAAGAATTGTTTATTCGAACAAGTATTTTGGCGTGACTTTTAATATCATGTTCTTGTCTAAGTGTGTTTTTCTTTCTGTGAAAATATGTGTGTATCGAATATTTTTGTGAATGTATTTCTTTTTCATCTATATCACAGACAAAGTTTCTCTCTTGTGTTATTTCGTTCTTATCTTAGTACTGATGTCACTCAATGATATGTTTATTTCAAGTCTTTTGTACATTCATTCATCACCACTTGCACAAAAGTTTGATCAATGAGAAGAAAATCTATATTCACGTCGAATATTTCATCGGCATCGACATTGACATCTTACACACCGGAAACCAAGTCGGATATTATTTCATTTGCCATTGGTAATCCAGCAAATAAAACTGCGGCAAAACTAAGTCAATTTAATGAAGATTTATTAGGTATGGAAGATGCGAAGTTGTTCACTAAACGACATAACAGTGAATTACAACGTTGTTCGCAGTTCTATTCGTTAGCAAGTCTTTTCCATGAAACAACAACAAAAGATAAACATCGATTGAATGGAAGAGATGTTCAAAAACTGGCTTCAACTATACGAGGATTTCTTTCACGAATATTTATTTGCACTTAAATTTAAGTTTTTCAACGTTTTATCATTAGAATAGAATAATAGTATTCGAAATGTCTGTTGATTGTTTCTTCATGAACCACTGTCAATCCAAATCGTGCTCATTGATGATGGTTCTATTAAGGATTATTCGTTGAATAATAGTATAACAAAGAGATTAAATATGAGTAAGACTAAACCATTTGATATTTATACTTATCAAGAAAAAGTACGTAGATCGAAGTAGGCATGTTGTATCATAAAATGTAGAAACTTAATCGTCTATGTGATGAACGTTGATTTCGGACGACTATGAGTATGGTGTCTAGACATAATTAATACTATTTTTCGAAAATCAGTGTTTGGTCAAAATAGAATAACACATTCCTGAGGAATATCGTTTGACGTAGTTTAAGAAACAAAGTATTTTAGATTATATCGATCATATTTATAAAAACCGACGACTATTCCAAGTAGCTTGATTAAAAATACAATAGAAAGGTAGATTTTCAACGACTATTTGATCTCCTTGAGTAAACCGGTTTTTGTATCATACAAAAATCCTCGTACAGTAACATTTTGGTTGAGCATTGGATACTGTTTGTATTCGACCATATCATCTCGAACAGATTGTTCTAAATCTTCAATTGGCATGAAATCTGGTCGATCGCTCGCTGATACTTGACCAGGTACTGTTTGAAAAACAGGTAAATTGCCGACATTCGTCCCGGGCTGTAGCTAAACCAATGTTTTGCAGTAAAATAAATGAAAGAGAAAAACTGAAATGGGAAACTGTACCTTGAGAGCAGTGATCACTTGATCATTATTCGAAAAATATGTAAAACCACAATCTGTATGATGGATGATCATTACTTCTTTGGTTTGTAACAATGTTTGACTACAAACAAGTGAACGAACTGCATCACGAATGCGACCACCACCTAAAAAACTTTGATAAAATTCAATTGTTCAAATCGAAATTTACCATTTCGAATAATATGCGCTTCGCCAGGTTTTAATCCAAGCATTCGAAAAACATCTAGACGTGCATCCATACAGCAGACAATCGCTAAGTGTTTCGAAGGTGGTGCACGCACATCATAGATTTTCTCATCATAATTTCGAGCATATTCAACGTTTTGAGCACAACATTGATCAATAAATGATTCCGAGGCGGAGAGGATATTCGAGTCAATCGCAGCTGCTATAACTTTATGCATTTCTTGTTATCTCTTACCACGAATATGTTATAGAGAAAAACAAAGAGCGAAGAGAAACGTCAGAGGTCAATAAGTGCAATAATTTTGATATCCAGGTAAATTTAATGAAAAAGAAAACAAACAAAAACAAGATATCTTCCAAATATTTATTTCTTTGCTAAAGATTTAAGTAACTCATCTCCAACATCGGGTGCGGATTTTTTGATTAGATCGTCCACAACTTGTTTAGCAGATTCTTTCTTATCAAGTACATCTTCTTCTTCAGGAAGGTATGGCGCAACGTCTACTCGAAATTCTTCTGTTGATGGTGGACAATACACAGAACTTCCTAGAACGAATGGACCAGCTTTGGTTTGAGAATGTGTACACAACTGTTCGAGGAGAGCTTTAAAATTCTCTTCTAATTGTTGATTGGACATATTGATCTAAGTGAAATTCGATTGGATAAAGAAACGAACTCGATGAAACTTACAATGCCAAACCGAAGTTCGACGATTCCACGAGCTTCTTCATATTTAGCTGATTGATATTCCTTTCCACGAATGAATTTCTCTAACATTTTATCAACATTGGGATGAAGACTACCTAAAGATGAAATTTCATTTTCCTTCTCATGACTGAATTGTCAATTCAAAATTCAAACCGAATTGAGGATTAGGAAATTTATCTTTTGAGATTTTTTTCCGTAAATGTAGAATATCTGCATAGACATCTGGTGCACATAGAACATATTCATAATTGGTATCAGTTACATCACCGCGTTCAAACTAGAAAACATCATTATTCAAAACAGAACAAAAAACGTTGAATAAGTCGTACTTGTTTAATGACATCGCTGTAACCAAACATGTAAGCACCATGTTTTTCTAATAAAACTCAGAGTTCGAAACGAAACAGTCAAGAGAAGTAATCTCACCAGCTGCTTTCATGTGCTCAGGGAGCTAAAGAAGAAGAAGAAGAAGAAGAACGTTTTGGAAATGGTATGAACAAAGAACAAATAACCTTACTCGACAAAAGAGAACAACATTTTTACGCGGTCGATCTTCAAAGTAATGAGGAAATGTTACTAGACCTTTGATACTTTCAAGAAATTTTGTCTAAATACAATTATATTATTATTGTCAATATGAAATAATGGTTCGACCGACCTTTTTCGAAGTTGTCATATCCAATTTTAATCGTGCCCATACAAATGAATCCAGTGAATTGAGTATTTTTGGTTGGACCATTTCTCGATGCCAATTTAAAACTGTGTCCAGTGGCCATGATTGAACTGGATACTCCTTTACTAGCCAAACTTTATCGATTGGTTTTCTTTTCGCAAATTCATCATCATAAACAGGTTCAGCCTCAGCAGTTCGTGATCTAAAGTACATCGAATCGATTGCAAGGTAAAATCAATGTCATCTGTGACATACACCGCTTTCTTTTGCATCCACGTATTACTTGGTTTTGAATGTGTTGGTATTCGATTCCGTTGAATTCGTCTTGCCATCTTCGTCCGTATTGCTGGTTGAATCTGAATTGTTGGACGAAGGAACGATGAAGCTGTTAGACCTGACCAAAGTTGTCGGACAAGCAGACTCGTCATTCTTAGTTGTTTTGTATTTGATCTAAAACAATATGTTTTATCTGTTTTGTTAACCAAAATACTGAAACACATAAAAAGAAGAAAAAGTTGAAAACTTGGTATTATTTCGATTTGGACACAAGTGTGCAGAACGCAAAAGAAATACATTGGATAGAAATTTAGCCAAACAAATTAACAGAGTAGAAAAGAAAGAAAAAGAGATTCTACTAAACAGATGACAGTAAGATGCTGTTAGAGAAATGTAATTATAACTCGTGCATTGACTTGTTTAATCTTATTATACAAATCAGATATATTTGAGTAAGCTGAAATATGATATAATTTCCTTGATGTACATCGATCACTTTGAAGGTTGTTTTTGAAGAATGCACTTTATATATCTCACTGAATTAATCATAAGTGCTATATAGCATCTTCATCGAAATCATATCGAAATATTCAATCATTCAGTAGATCACTGGGGCTTACGGCAACGAGTACTGTAAAATTACATATAACTACTCCCAAAGATCGATGTGAAGCTAGCACGAACAAACGATATGTTAGCTAAAAACATTTGTACTAAATATGTTCCGTCCATACAAACTACACCATTTGACTCAGAATTTAATTCTGCATTGAATATGGCGGTACTTTTATTCACGGGACAAACTTTGGGAAAATTTGCATCTATATCTTTGTTCGTTTCCTTTATGTTAAGCATCCTCTAAGATGACGAAACAACAAAGATTTGATGCCATATTGTTCGAACAGTTTTCACCCCGATAAAGGGAAAAATCCAACTAGAGAAACGGAAAAAACATTGTGCTTGATTGTAATAGCGTTATTTATATGGTAAATACACTAAGAATACAAGAGAAAAAAAAGGAAGGCAAGCATTGGAATAATCCATGACTTAGACACATTTATACTAAAACATTGGTCTTTGATGATATCAATTATTCAAACTTTATTATTATCTATAATACAAAAAATTCATCATCAAATAAGCAATTCGACGAAGGTTGTTGACTGTATGAAGATATGAATACTCAAGAATTTTTTTCCCAATGAGACAAAAAAGTTGTGTATATATACTAGTTTTTTTTTACTTTTAGATAATTCGAATAGAAAACTGAAACGAAATTACTATGGGTAATAAAAATAGCAAAATAACTGGAGAATTTGAAGTTTACATCTTGTATAAGGCGCTTGGCAAAGATTGTTACACTGGTTGGGGCGATCGTCGTACTTCACATCATATATGTTTGTTAAAATCAACAAAAACCGGTAAATTTTATTATTCTGAACTAACAACAGATAATCCTATCAAGAAGGGTATTATTAAAATAAAATTTGGTGAATATTCATTTTTTCCAGGTGTTATTAATTATGATGTCATTGGTTATACAGATAAAACGATAGATGAAATGGAAGAATTTGTTAAGAACAATAATTATGAAGGAACAATCTATAATTTATTCTTCAATAATTGTCAAAATTATGCACAAGCTTTTATTCGTTTTTTAAACATAAAAGGTTCTTTTGGTCGAGCTGAATGGGCTCAACAGGCTAAAACTCCATCTGAAATTTATGTGCATAACGTTCAGAGAGAACTTTTATAAAAAAAAAAACTAAATACATAGAAAGTGATTTTTCATCTTTTTTTTGTTCTTTACAACTTATTGTATCTGATCATTATGCTATCAATATAAGTTGTCAACAAACGTACTTGAAAAAATCGTCTTTCAATATAATAAATGCGAAAGCTTCGGTTTTCATCTGAAAGTTAGGTACGCTGCAAAAAGTCTATCAGATGCAAGACAAAAGGAGCCGTAGGAAAATATCAATAGTTTTTCACTAGCTCAAGAGTCAATTGTCTAATCAGTTTTATTTTCGAATTCCAGCAAAACTTTGATGTGACATTACACCACTAGAAAATTCACAATCAAATTAGCCTTTCATGATTTAGCGTGTAGGGCAACGGTCGAGAACGCATTGATTGGTCGAGTAATGCACTCATCTTCTCATTTTTGATATCCTACAATACTGAAATGTTTTTAATCTGTTCTTAGTAACATATTGTTGACATTTTGACTCTTTTCAAGCGAAGCACAGATTTTAACAAAAAACTTTGTTAACATTAACGTATAGAAAAAAATAATTCGGGTGAGTTTCATCCAGGTCCGTCAGCTCACACTCATTCTCGTAACCTTCATTGATTTTCACTATAACCATCCGCTAAATTCAAAATCACCGTGCAAACTTTAGTGAAGGTATCTACAGCAGAAACCTATAAGTAGCAGATGGATGATCTGAATGAAATACATCCACACCTTGACTTCAGGATCTTCATTATGAAATTTTTAACCACATTCTATACTCTTTTTGACTTAAGCAGTGATAGTTGAATGTTTGAAGCCGTTGTCAATGACAAAAGTTATATGGAAGGAGTTTCATCGAGACTACTCACATGCATCTCCTAACTGGTTTGTCAATACATTTGCGATGTTTCTCTAGACCTACGAAGTCCCATCAAAATTCGGGCGCGTTTCCAGCACAGAATCGCTTGGATGAAATGTTGACCAGATCACATCCAATTCACCAACACCGACCCACTGACTGATCTGCAAACGCTCTCTCGATGTTTCAAGGAACAAAGAAAGCAACATGCAAAGTTCGACAACCTTATTTAACACAAAGGTACATCAAATATAACTTTTCTCCATCTACGAAATACATAACTATCAATCAGATAACTTCTCGGAATGAGAATTTAGTTGTTCTCCAGCTACTTGTTATATGCTTAGCTTATTAATTACTTTCACCATTTCTCAAAAAATATTTTCAACGTTAACTGTGTGATAATGCTGATACTAGTATACATCTTAGTGTTTAGCATTAATATGTCACAAGATCTTCAAATTTGGATTTCGTTCACATTAATCTATGTAAGTGGGTATGTTCTTTGCATAGAATTTGCAAAATTGTGTCTTAGTTTGTTTATTTGATCTAAAAAAATAAATTTTATTTACTTTGCTAATCAAAATACCGAAGCATACATTAAAAAAGAAGAAAAATCAATGTTATGAAAAATATCTTGGAAAAAAAACTTTTGATAATGCAGTAAGAGAGACAATTATTATTGGAATTGCATAATAGAATGTTGAACGTGGAATGCGATAATGTTGATATTTACGATCTAAATTCAGAAAGAGAAATCCAATGAAGCTCAAAAACAATCGAATCTACTTTGATTCTCAAACGTATACTGATCAATAGTATCGTCTTGTGGTTGATCTTCTGGTCGAAGTGCCACTAAAACTTCCGATGCAGCACGTCGTCCTGCATCAACTGCGCCATCCATATAACCCATCCATTGTGCAGCAGTTTCCGTTCCAGCAAAATGAATATTTTTATATGGTTTCCTTAGACCATCGACAAAATCTTTCATCGAACCTGTCGTAGCATTATGACAAGGACATCCGCCAGAATATGGTTCTAAATTCCAATCTTTTTCTGCATATTCAATTAGATGTGCAGAAACTTTTTGACCACCAAAGTATCTCGATAAACATTCTAGTAAACCCTTGCGACGTTCCTCACGTGTCACACTTGTCCATACAGCAGCGCATCGACCACCGATAAATCCTAACAGAGCAGGTGTGCCATATGAAGTTGTTCCGTCAATTAGATCTAGACAAAAAAAATAAAAACGTTTGCGGCATATTCAGAAGAATTCTCATTGTTATTTACATGTCATTGGACCAATGGAAAGACCAAGTGGTGCGAAACTTCCATCACTGACAACTTCACCACTAAGACCATCATCACGCCAAAATGCCTATAAAATTGATACGAGGTTTGAAAATTTTCAGAAGAAAATGGTTAAATTACTTTATCAAAGATAAAAATAAACTTTATATAACTACCAATAGGCATATGCTTAAGCATTTCACGTTTGTAACCAGGTAACATCGGTTCAAATTGTATCGGAACTAAATTAAATAGTTTTGTGAAGCATTGTCAAACGAGTTAAACTTACCGATTTGCGAGGGCGGAATAGCAAGAATAACTTTACGACATTGAAATTTAGTTTGATCACCAATAGTAGTAATTTCAACAATACCTAAAGTCGTACATTGAACAAACGAATTTGATTTTAAATTTTACAAACCATCATCATTTTGTACAATCTTTTGAACAGGTGTTTGCAGCAAAACTTTATCATTTCCAATTTTTTCCATGAGCTTCTCGGATATTTGTTGAGATCCACCCTTAAATCGATTAAATAAACAATTTCAGTACGATGAAATCAATCCATCTTACTTTAATCTTCTTTTCTTGTGCACAACCAGGATCAGTTAATGTCAACCTCAGAAATCCTCCACCAGCTTGAGCATACGTTAATCCAAACAAAGCATTCAATTGTTCTGGTTCGCATCCAAACACTGTTCGGACAGCTGCTACCATCAATGGATTCATACCTATCGAACAATCATTTTACCATATGTTTTAACGATTTTCATAGGCTTACTATTATGAATCCATGGTTTCATTAAATCGGCAAATGTACGTTGATCAAGATAGTTTGAATTTCGTGCATTCATTGGATTCCATGTTGGAATATTCGATGCTAAGTTTTCAAGCTATGAAAGAGATCAAAGAGGATAGTTGAAAAATGCTCATTAATGACATTTCTTACTCGAAAAACATTATAGATACTTTCAAGAAATGAAAGTAATGAAACAAATGGCATAGTTAACGAATATTGGCGAACACGACGATGTAATTCGGCAATACTTTTACCGGTATGGTATTGCGCATACGTTTCCAATTGTAACTCCTGAAGTAATGAAGTCACATTGTCCTGTGTACTGATATAAATCAAATGAAAATGAATTTTGAAAAAAATCGATTCTGTTATCTTACTCTGTAACCCATTGACCACCCAAATCAAATCGATCGGTGACATTCTCTTCATGAGAAGACTTTAAATCAACCGTTAACGTTCGACCACCAACTCGATCTTTGATTCAGATCAAATCAGTTACATAAAAAAAATCGTCGTTTTTTTTAAATTTACCTTTAGCTTCAAGAACTAATACATTTAAATGTGGTGCTTTTTCTTTCAATCGATAAGCAGCGTATAGACCGGATATTCCTGCCCCAACAACAATCACATCGATGATCTCTGCTTCGTCCGACATCGAAATTCGTTTCTTTTTTTTTTAATCTAAAACTAAAACTCATTAATGAAAAGTTCATCACGAAGAAAGAAAAATATCATTGCATGAAAGCAAATAATGCAGAACCATACGCAGCATCGGAATGTTCATTAAATTTTACTTGACATTGCACTCTATTTTGAAGTTCTCGTTGTAGAACACCATTTCTCATCAATGCACTACCTGTTCCAGTGATACCGTTGATTGTCAAAGAATCATTTCCTAACATCTCGAATAGATTCTTTATAATCCAATGGCAAATTGAACGAAAAACAGAACCGATATCATTTAGTTGAGACATATGAATTGAACGAATGTTTGTTAATGAAGCGGACATCGATGGATCATGACGTTCACCAAAAAGAGCAGCGGAGATATTCTCGATGATTGAAGTTGACTCAAGTCCTCGCTGAATTAATCGTGACCAAAGTGTTTCAAGTGATAATGACGAAGAATCGCTGTTAATTGATGAGTTCCATGAATGAACGAGATCAACAAAAGTTGAAAGAACATTTCCACCATTCAATGAAGCAGCAACTAATAAATCTTTAGATTGAAAATAAGGAACACACATCGACGATGGAAGCTGATCGCGATTCGATGATTGTTTATCAGTAACTAAAGCCAATTGTGCTGATGTCGATATGTTAATAATTCCTTCATTCTTCTCTGGTTGACAACTGAATACTGAGCACTGTAAATCACCGAGAGCGACATAGATGGGAATCTTTTTTTTGTAATAACCAATAATCGTACCAGGTTCTACGATTTCCGGTAGTAATCGATGCTTAACAGGCCATTGATTATCGATTGCACCCCAACTAGTGGCCATTTGAGTTGATATTTGTGATTGATTTGCTACTTCATCATCGCAGAAAATCGTTGCAACATAATCTGCAATAGTTCCTGCTCGATCATATTTCAATAAATTATCTTCTTTGCCTTTTTGTTGTTCGATTAACCATAATAAAGTTGATAAACCATAACCTGTTCGTAAATGTGTTAACATTGATCCGAGTGATGAGAGAAATTCAGTTGAACATCGTTGATCTTGCCAAGTAACAAGAGAAGAAACAATCGTACGTGGTGATTTCGATGACCAAAGAATCAAACCATGCATTTGACCACAAATTTGAATTGATTTTATCGATGAATCGTCTTTCAAATAAGGCGATTTTTTGAAAAGTTCATTCACAATATCAAGAATTTTTACAGGAGATTGTTCGTCGTACAAAGGAAATTCTTTTTGAACAATATGAGCATGATGAGGAAGTTGTTCCGTGAATAGAACTGAATGTTGTGCATCGCACGAAACAACACATATTTTACAAGATGTTGTTCCGATATCTAGACCGACAGAAAACATCTAAAACAGAATAAGATAGGTTATCAATTCTCACACAATAGAAGTCATCTCAATCCTTTACGAAACAGAAAAGAACAAGCTATTTCAAGTATGCTATTATTTTTTATGCCTATCATTCGCTGATAAGCGAGAAGGTATAGACATTCTGCATTAGTTTACAACAAAATTTAATCAAATTTAGGCTCATTATCCTCTAAATATTTAAGATCTTCGTATACCTATAAAATACAGTCGAATGCAAATGGATAGACTGTAACACCCATTCAACGACAGGTATGACAGAGGTCAGTGTCTATCTGAAAACTCCTTCTAGATACAATTAGTCAAGTATTTTGATACGTCAGATGAAGTTTGAGCTTACTTGTTACTCAACTTTACCGTAGCAGAACAAGGAAATGAGATTAGCCTAAAGTCAATATTCGATATATCCGCTTAAAGACGAGATTAACACAATTTGTTTCATATTTTAAATACACATAATAAATGAGAAAAACACAATTATTACAAAATCGAGCTAGAGCTCGGAATGATGTGTAAAACTATGATGATATTGCTTCGATAAGAGGCACAACTGCAAGGCGAATATCTGGTTCAATACGATGATGTCTGTTGAAATGAGGACAACATCTCTTGATAAAGAATTGTCTCGTTTGATGACGAAATCGTGGCGAAATAAACAAATATATATAAAAATTACTCTGAAAAGAAATAATGACGAATTCATCTACACTGAGAACAATTTCCATCACTTACTGAATAGCTGGCATACAACAATGAATACGATATCGCGGATGCTAACTGATAGATCACCAACTTGTTTTCATTTTCTTCGTTATCATTCAAATTGATTTCATATAGAGTTGTGCAAAGAAATGGAGAACCCAGTATAAGAATAGACAATACTCGTGCAAGAACGATGACTGACATTTGACGATCGAGTCGGCGACGTATCACTATCATTCGTCGCCGCATATGCCATTGAATGTTTCGATAAACTAAAAGACCTAATAAGCCGATAAACGTCATAGGAAGAATGATAATGAAAATTGGATAAAAGAAAACTTTGAAATAGGTTTTCACAACCGGATTGTAAATGGTACATCCGAATTTACCGTTTTCAGCGAATATAATGAAAACGATATTATGTGAGATTGAAAAACAAATATTGAAGAAAGTCAAACGATGTGCTAAGCGAAGTGTACTCATTGCTTTCCATTGTCGTCGTGGATTAGTCGATAGATACTGATCAAAAGCAAGAAAACATGTTGTGATAAGTGAACACAAAGCCAATATTGAACAAGCGGTTAGTTGAACTTTACACCAAACAGTCGAAGCATCGATTGGACTTTCTTCGAATAGTTCACCAGCTATTTTAAATGGAAGATATGCAAAAATCAAACCAATATCAGTAATCGATGCAACGATTAAATAAAATATACAATGATTCTTTCGACATGTCCGTGCAGTTGAAAGTATTAAAATAATGAGAATATTACTGATGCTTCCGAGAATTAAATTAATTATACTGCTGTAAAATGTATAGTTTTTGGTTAGATTTTCAATCTGGTAAATAATCGGCTGTGAGGACATAACTTGTCCCCGCGCGTTTGAGTGCAGATAGTTGACAGAAATGTTTTACAGATTTAATCTAACGGTTTTAGAATGGAATAGAAGAGAAAAACTAAATATTATTCTAAAGTATGAATAAATATGAAACAATGACTTTATCGACATGTTTCCGGCTGTAGAAATATGTATTTAATGATTAACATGATATGAATGACTGCGGCCAGAAAAGATAATCGTCATCGAGTCGCAACTTTTATTTGGCAACTAATTAGCCCTTGTACTACCACTCTTCGTTTTCCACTTTTTATGCACATAAATAAGCTATTCTATGATGTTCGGATATGGTTGTCTATCTCATCTGAAAATCACCCCTATAATTTGAAACTTTCTATTTTTCCACTACGAAGACCGTTATACGGCACAGCCGCTTTGCATCCATTCTCTGTATGACTCAAAAATATCCTACGGTGACTCGGACTCATAGCAGTACTACCAATCTCATTTAAAAACTTTCTGTAACAAATGCGAACCCAAATAATTCCTGGCGTAGTTACATTTACCACTATGTGGATCCAAAATGACACAGGCTGGGAGTACTAAGGTTAAGAAGTTCTAAATAGTGTTCAATGAATCATTCATACAGATTCGATGATGGACATAGCAACACGTTCAGTCTCTGGTGAAATTTGCGCGAGTGTTCTTCCACAACAGATTTATGTTAATTGATGCTAATATATTTTTTTTGTGATAAAATGTTTCACCTGGTGGCGAAACCGTGGCAAAACAAGTCGAAATATATGAAAACTAGTCTACGAAATTCAAGATGTCATGTAAGGTAATTAACTAAAATAACTTACTGTATAATTCGTGTACAGTATCGAGACCACAACTGTACCTGATAAATGAAGAACAGTTTGTTCTACTGGAATTTGTCTTCGAATAACTCGACGAACATTTTGATAGGCCAACAAACTAAATAAGCCATTGACTATGATTGGAAGGATGCTACTCAGTATTGGATAATAAAAATACGTAAAATAGACTTGTGCAATATGATTGTAGATACTACATCATCCTATATCAGAGTAAATGCTGAGCCAACTTAACAGTGCTCGTTTGTCGATGATTCGTGAAAAGGTATTGATCAAGAGCAATACAACACATTGTGAAAACAGAATATAAACCACAAGTGTATATGAACATCAATTGTATTTTACACCAGATCCAACTCGGTCCTACCAAATTCACATTTTACGGTAGAGGCCGCAATGTTAAATGAAAAAAAGTGAGTAAAACGCCCATATCAGTGATTGAACTGATTTTTAAATAATGAGTACATCGATTTCCGCGAAATATCCCTCCCCAATCGAAAATGAGAAATTCTAACACGTTGCAAATCGTCTCAATGAAGGGATGAATTGTAGTTGTAGAGAGCATACAGTATCTGTCCGTCGTTGTAACCGAGTATACTGTCTGCAATGATGACATTTTTAACAAGATCACTTTCACCCTATGCACTTGCTGCATTTTGAGGAGAAATCTGACTTTTATTAGATTATATACGAGCTAATCGAATCACATGTTAACACATCTACTTTTTCGACGAATAAACTAACAGAAATAAATGGAATGTTAGTTGTTCTTTAAAGTTTCAGTTTTCTGTTATTTTCAGACGAGTTCTTTCAGTTCATTCAAGCATGTTTCTATTTATGAAGAGAGAAACCTTAAGAAGAAATATTTTTGTCAGCATATCCATTCAACTAAATATACGGTTGACGGCATATATTAGTAGTCATGTTAGTTTCGCATTTGTATGTACCTTATTCTCTGTGGAGGATTTAATTCTAAAAATAATTTTAGAAGGACTTATGTTACTGAAATTCTTGTTCGCGTTGTTACTTGAAGAACAGGATTTTTTATTTAATGATTGTTATAAAATTACATGGAACAGCTGACAGAAAATTATATGTAATCATGAGACAAATAATTGAAACATCCAGTCTACAAATGAAAAATAAAATAAAATTCTATAGTTTGTTTCTTTCTTCCTGTATTGTTCGTCTAGTACATATTAATCAACACGCGATCATGTATTCTTATTATTACGTGCTTCTGAATTATGACGTCCGAATGTGAGTATTACATAGTTAACATTTTGTTCAAAAAGAATACATGAGTAAATATGCAAGCACTTCGTACTGATTGGCAACTGAGATCCGAAGATTTATCCGATAAATACTGGAGATATGGATAATAGATGATACACTGGGCATAGTCAGATTCGGAGCTTACCATAGATAAAATGGCGAATTCATTGGTATACTAATAAATCAAATTTAATGCTGATCGTTGGGTTCATCAGAAGATGTCAATCATCACGTTGGGAAAAGATTAGCACCTCTGATATCCAGGTACTTAAATTAACATATTAGAAAAATGTTGAATGGGTAAATGGGAAAGCTTCGAGTTTAGATCAAATTTGAAAGCAAATTTTCTTTCGAAAGCTTGTAATGAACAAATTCGATGGACGATTGATATGATGTAAACAGAATTTTTCATTGCTAGTTAATACACCAGATGTATAATATGAAATCACAAGTTAAATGACGAGAGAAATTCACTTATCACCGATCAAAAGTGAATGTTACATACAGCCGCCGTTCACCGTGCGAGAAACACCAAAAGAATCAGCTAATAAATGTTGATTACCAATGCCGATTGTTAGGAAACGAAAAATGGAACTCGGGATAACTATTGCAAGAGGAGCGAGGCATATCTTTGAATAAGCATGAACTTTATCCTGATACTAAACAAGTAGACAATAATTCGTTTGGTTTGAAATGTTTATTTACTTAGAAGAAAACCTTACGACCCATGTAACCGGTGCCTACATTATTATTTAATTGCTGCTATTATAATCATTATAATGGCAGCAATTAAATGATAATACAACCACCGACTTCATGGGAAGTGCAGAAAATTGCCACTTTCTTCTCCTTCACTCAATATATCCTCATCATTTCACACATTTCAGTGCAGTCTATTGTTCAACTAAATAGATTCAAGAGCAGATGCACGACCACCACCACCACCAGGGTTATTCTCGGGTGCAATAACTTGATTATTTACTGGGCTGATTATTCCTCGATTACACACTCGTGTCATTTGATGCCAAGGGTTTTTCATAACAAAATTTTTCACTTGGTGACGAAATCGTGGCGAAATGATCAAAAATATATAGAAATTGATCTAAAAAGAAACTCCCAATTGTTTAATTGTTTTTCGAAATGAGATCAAATGGAATTCACTTACAGAATAATTAAGGTACATAAATGAATATACTACTGTTGCTGATAAATGAAGAACAGCTTGTTCTACAGGATCTTGCAGAATATTTCTCGAGTTAATGTCAACTAGACTGTAACAGAGAAATGGCACACCTAATATGATAATGCACAATACTCTGGACAGCGCTAATGCAGTCATTTGACGATCCAATCGACGACGAACTACAGGAATTTGTCTTCGAATAATTCGACGAACATTTCGATAGGCCAACAAACTAAATGTACCACTGACTATGATTGGAAGAATGCCACTCAGTATTGGATAATAAAAATATGTAAAATAGACTTGTGCAATATGATTGTAAATACTACATCCTCCTATACCATAATTAGCAAAAATTAGAAAAAGTATTCCATGAAATACGGCAACACTCATATTGAAATATGACAAACGCTGAGCCAACTGAATAGTGCTCATTTGTCGCCAAGTTTGTCGATGATTTGTAGATAAGTATTGATCAAGAGCAATGCAACACATTGTGAAAACAGAATATAAACCACAAGTGTATATGAACATCAATTGTATTTTACACCAAATCGGACTCAATTCTACCAGTTTTATCCCTAATACCGAATCTACAACTAGAAATGGAAGTGTGGCCACTAAAACGCCCGTATCAGTGATTGAACTGATTTTTAAATAATAAGCACATTGATTTCCACGAAATGAACGAATTTTTGCGAAAATAATAAATTTTAATACATTTCCAATTGTTCCGATGCAGAGAAGAATCATACTTGTGTAAAGCATATAGTATTTATCTATCGTTGAGATCAACTGTACTGTTTCGAATGTAGACATCTTCATTACAACCGTTCTTTACTTGGCAGTGTCCGAGTTCTGAGGAAAAGTTTGACTTTTATTAAATTATATACAAGGAAATAAATGGAACGTTTTGTGTTCTTTTGAATTTCATTCTTTTTCTAAAAACAAGTTCCATCGATTCACTCAAGCGTGTTTCTTGTAAAAGAATTTGTGTTTTGAAGAAGAAAATTTTGTCTCAACACCTAGTCAAATAGATATACGTACGTCTGGTTGAGTATACCAACAGTGACGTCATTGTGAATAGCAGAGAAATAAATATTTATTGCTTGGATGTTACAAAATCACACGGAACTGATCAACAAATACACATTATCATCAAATGAATATTTGAAAATTTGGTTAATTTGAAGATTCTGCAATAGACACTACTTCACGGATTATCTCAGGGACTACTTGATCTTGATTTCTTTCAATATTGTTTGTCCTACAGATACTACTCGAAATGACATTACAATTTTTCACTAGAATAATCAAGTGCAAACCGACTTGTAACAAATGTTAAAACCATCGCTGTCATTTGTTAATCTAAACAACAACGAACAAGAGAAATCCGTCTACAGATAATTCGGTGAACATTAGACTAGGCGAATGATCTTAGTATAACAGTGATTACTAATAGCAGAATGTCGAATACATCTTCATCTCTTTGTTAACTACCGTACATTCCATAGATAGAGTGATTTCTGTGTAAATGATAAATGGAATATTATGTAAGATGAAGTCATCATGAATTGATCGAACGACTGGAAGCAGTTTTAAAAGCGATCAAAGACCGAAAAAGTGTGAAGTCGTATATAAAAACTTGCACCAGAGAAGTATAACGTTCGTGTTTAGTCAACACCAGTGAGATAAGTGTAGAAATATGCCGAAAATGGTACAGCGAACAATGCAATACTCAAAATAAATTCAATCACAAAATAAAAATCAGACTGGTTTATTCTAAAACACCATAAAGTCATAAATACAATAAAAGTAGCTAAATTTCCAGTTATTCCAATGACAATAACAACAATGTTCCTATAAAACGTATATTATTATCCTAAGGCACGAATCGTAGATACGAGCATTGAGCTCGTCACAACTTGTGTAGACAACAACAACAACTCAAGAACATTGACGGAACGTATTTCTATAAGATGAAACTTGTTGAGAAAATACATGTCAGATTAGTCTTGCGTTAACGTGTGACACAAGAGAGGAAACGTGTCGATTATTGATCAATTTTTTATTTATCAAGAGAAAAGTAGATGTTCTTTACTATGAGAAAATCAGTGGGTTTTGATAAATGGATGAGCAAGTCTAAAGTTAAATTCCGTTATGTTTGATATTAGAAGGAAAAATGATATTGTTTCCGCAAACTCATGATAGGACCATGAGTAGACGCACTTTGCCAGCGTCTGTTCACGTTTCACGAAACAACGAAAAAGAAATTGTATATTCATGCATCAGCAGAAAGGTGTTATTTACATAATTGACACTTGAAATACATTATCAATAAACTAGTAAGTAAAGGTTTATAGAAAATATGTTGTCACTCATTCAGACCATTTTGTAGAAAACTTTGAGACGAACAGATGCCGAACGTGTCGTTGTCTTTAGCAAATGTTTTAGTCTAGTTTTATAACAGTACATTTAGGAGTAACAAAAAGTCCGTCAAATTTTGCTTAATGACCTGAAATATGGCAGAAAAGGCATTGTTATATATTGAGTGATACGTCTCCCAAGTCTGCATTCATTTATTAATTTGATGATGTTTTCTTCTAATATATTTAAATAAAATGACACAATTGTTCGTTATAGTGATTAAAAGTAATGATCATCAAATATCCTCACTGATCCAATGCATATTTTTCGTATACTGACTCCTCGGATAACTTTAGTATCATTTGAATCAAAAATGTTCAAATGTTTGCTGTACAGCTCTCTTGCAATTAAGTACATCGGCATTTAATGTTTTGCGGAATCGTCTTCGTCGTCTTGATGATCGTTTTAATGAATCGCATACACTGTGTATGAATTTACTTACAATTCATTATTTCGATGAAGTAGAAAATCATGTAAATTTGACTTACAACATGTTAACTTAACGTGTAAGAGATCTTTTCATTTAAAGTACTCCAAGTAGTTTGAAAATGTTTCTTATTGTTCTGTAGTATTAAAATTGATGGAAGAAATTTGCCATCGACAGCAGATGTTCAATATACCTCTACTGACTTTTTAACTTCAGAAATCATTCCTTATCTGAATTTCTGATTAGAGTAACAGTTAGAAATCAGAAACTTCTATAGAATTTTATGAATTAAATCAGGTTGATTAACATTCCTTTGTTGTTGTGTGTCATCCTGACAGACGTGAACTTCACGTTGTTCCTTCTGGAATCAGCAAAGATTTCTATGTCATGCGACAACCTACTTCACAGTGGGCGTTGCATGAATTAATTGCGACAAAATTCACAAATTTAATTGAGATAATCAATTAAAATATTTGGGAAACTCGTACCCTCATCCTCAAGACGAATATGACAACATTTCAGGAAGTCTGTTTTTTAACTATACAGATTCAAGAACGGACACAGGGCATGGGTCATTCTCGGGTGTAGATTGGTTATTTACTGGACTGACGACTTCTTGATTACACACTCGTGTTACTTGACGCCAACGTTTTTTCAAAATAAAATTTTTAATTTGATGCCGAAAACGTGGTGAAATTATCAAAAATACATAGAAATTGATCTAGAACGAAAGTTCGGATTCACTGACTAGTTTTTCAACATGACTCCACTTACTCCATAATTAGCATACAGCAATGTATATGTGATTTTCACTATAAAACTAAGTATAGCTCTTCCTCTTGGATCTTGAAAACTATATATGGTGTTTGCTTCAACAAGACTGGCAAGAAGAAATGGAACACCCAATATGAAAATGCATAATACTCTCGCAAGAGCTATGGCTGTCATTTGACGATCCAGTCGACGTCGTACTATTGGAATTTGTCTTCGAATAATTCGACGAACGTTTCTATATGCCAGTAAACCCAATGTACTGCTGATTGCTAATGGAAGGACACCACTCAGTATTGGATAATAGAAAAAAGTGAAATAAATCCGAGCGATCGGGTGATAAATAGTGCATCCAATTATACCAATTTCCGCAAAAATTAGAAAGAGGATTCCGTGAAATACAGCTACACTTATATTGAGATATGACAAACAATGAGCTAGTCTGATTGTGCTCCTTTGTCGCCAAATTTGCCGATGATTTGTAGATAAGTATTGATCAAGAGCAATGAAACATATTGTGTAAAGAGAATACAGACCACAACTATATGAACACATCAATTGTATTTTACACCAAATCACGGTGAGTCTTACAAGAATTTCGTTGATTAAATAACCCACAATATTAGATGGAAGCATAGCGATTACAACACCCATGTCGGTAATTGCGCAAATTTTCAAATAGTAAGCACATTGATTTCCACGGAAAATACGTAGTTTCGTAAAAAAGAAAATGATTAACACATTACCGATTATTCCAGTGGTCAGAATAATGATGTCTGCAGACAATTCGAATATTTTGCTTATAGAGTAGATAAATTGTACTGAATCCAACGTTGAATTCATCTCCATTGTCGCATTATTTTCTTTGGCCATTTGAAAAAAGTTGTCTTCTTACTCTATAGACGGATAGACTAAAATAGTAATTGACTTTGTTAAAGCAAACGGATTATCATGTGACTCTTTCTCCTGATAATATCTTCAAGATAAATTAAACTCTGATAATCGGTGCCTGACGGATTAAAATGATTTATATAGAAGAGGAGTAAATTAAGTAACGAAATACATTAGGTGCAAGTTATTTTGTTTATGTGAAAACAAAGCGAAAGTTTGATGAAAAACTCTTGTTATTAGACAATGACTCTGGTATTGATACTCGAAAGAAAGAAGACGAATACAGCAAAATATATTCGCAAAGACAATGCAGACGATCGCAATGTACCCGATTTCGTTTATGTATATTGATTGATGGTAAAAATTCTGCTTTTCTCTTTAAGTAGATTTCAAATACATATCACGTCCTTCAGACAAGCAAAACCATTTCATATGATCATATTAGTTAATGATAATTGATGCACGAAGTGATCAATATTCAGTAGATGATTATCCTCTTCTTTATTCATATTAACTAATTCAAAGTGTCATAAAAGAATGAATGACATAAGCACCGGCTTATTCAATCTGATATCATTTGTGTCTATTTCGATACGTTATTATGTTCAGAAATCCCTTTAAGTAATCGCTTTTTTCACCCTCTCTAATAAATCTAAAAGTGTTCTAACAGGCTCATTGAAATGAAACGGTAGACGACTTGACATTACTCTGGTAACAAAGCCTACAAATTGAAAGTTAAAACTGAAATATTTCTCCAAATATATTCATTAATGACTATAGTGGTAAACAATTTCGAATGCAAACATCTTGAAGTGAATAAGGAACTTTTTCCATAGAACTTCAATCTCTCTGTATAGATAGATCATGGATGTTCAAGTCGAATGGACACATCATGACGATAGCTATAGATACGATTACAAATATGACGACATCACAATTCAAGTAGAAGTAAACATCGGTAAGGATTGAATGCGGATAACAGCAGAAACTATTTATCATAAAATGTCACCACTGAACTTATACTTTATCATTTTAAAATCATAAATTTAAAATTAACGAAATCGTACATATTAGTTGCTAAACGGAAATTCTTCTAAACCAATCAAGATGAGTTACCATCATTAAACAGAAATTGTCCTGATCACCAACAACTGTTGCTAAGAAACTTCGAAGAAGATTTTGTGGAATTAATTCATCAAAGTTGGCTTTTCCCATCTTAAATTATTACGGATAGTATTCGCAAGTAATTAAGAAAAATAAAGATTATTAACACTTAGCTTAACGTATAATACTTAAACGAATGAAGAGTTGCTCTCACTTAACCTTCTATTTCACTATCGATTTCAACTAAAAAAAGTAGATAAACTCTCACTGTCAACATAAGTGCAATAGAATTGAGGGACACACGACAATTGACTGTATATAACTGCGGAAAATAAGATAAATGAAAACAATCGGCACGATATTATTCTATGCTGTTGTTTTTCACTTAGTAAATCCAGATACCACTGAACATTTTGTTATTATTCGATCGATGGATTAAACACCTTTATATACATTCCTTTTCTAAAATTCGTACGATAATCAGATTGAAATCTTCCAGTTTCTTTGTTTCGACTCTTTATCTTGAATAGTCAATTATACACGAGTTCTTACGCTATTATTCTTACACACTATATACAGATCATTTTACAGAGTTATAGAATGAACGTCATTATGAGAAGTATGTTAAATCAATCTTAAATAAATGTACAGATTAGTAAAAAAAGAAGTGTTAGAGTTCATTGTGATTCGTTTTATGCCAGATTAACGAGGAGAGTGACTTGTTTTTAGTTGATGAATGAGAATATCTAATCTTTAGATGTATTTGAATGGAAAGTATAGAAATGACGGAATGAATATCGACAATCTCTTCTGTTTTATAAAAATAAACAAAACATTCAAGATCAATGTGATTTTTTTTACATTAAAAACCGAACTGAGAAGATATGAGTTGTATTCAGTCATTGCAAATTTACATTTAGTGCTATGCTGATTCTACACCACCAGACACTTGTCTAAGAACTATCTCGGGTGCAACTTGATTTCGACTATGCCTTCGCTGGTTTGCATGATGGACACTGTAACATTTTGCACAACATTTCTTCATCATACCGTGTTTTACTTGACGACGAAAACGTGTTGATACAATCAAAAATAGATAAAAATTCACCTAAACGATGAACAATCAAATATTAGTCATGTCTACTATTTCATCCTACCGCAAAATTTAAATATAACAATGAATATGCCAATAAACCGATTAAGCCAGTGATGACTACTTCTAACTGATTCTGATCTGTTTCGTGAAGATTTAGTGTATAAATGTTGTAGATAACGTATGGTAAACCAAGTAAAATCAGATTTACGATACGTGCTAAAACCATTACAGTCATTTGTCGATCTAATCGACGACGAACGACAGGTATCTGTCTTCGTACAACTCGACGAACATTACGGTAAGCTAACAAGCTAAACGTAATCGTAGTGAGCAATGGTAAAGCAGTACTTAAAACTGGATAGTAAAAAACAGCATTGTAAGTTTGAAGAACAACATTCGTCACTGAACATGAGCCAGATTCTTGAATTTCCGAAGTAATAATTAAGGGAATGCTATGAAGAATAGCAAAATAAGCGATGCAAAGAACAGATCGATGAGCTAGCTTTATTGTACTAATTTGTCGAAAACTAGGTCGAAGATTTGTTGCCAGATATTGATCGATTGTCTGGAAACAGATTGTATAAAGGGAACAAAGACCAAATGATCCGGATAGTCCAGCTTTCATTTTACACCAATATAATGAAACACCAGCTAGATCAATATTACTTATACAATGATAAATATTTAGTGGAAGAATAATAAGAAACAGTCCAATGTTTGCAATCGATTCCGCAGCAAAATAAAAAGCGCATTGATTTCCTCGAAACGGTCGAAAAGTAAGAAATACAATAGCATTCGAAAGGTTACTAATCATTCCAATGATAAGAAGAACAGAATAACTGTACAATTCATACGTATCGCTGACACGATGGATTAGAAGTATCAGAGATGTAGACATTAGTTGTAAAATCCAAAAATCATATCTCGACAATAATCTCAAATGCAACTCAACGATAAGAGATGCGATGAAAGGTTTTATGTTAGTCTTAATAGTTTGGAAAATAAAATTTATCTTAAAAATGTGAAATAGTCCATAATAAGACTTTTGTCGGTAAACCATTACTCTCAATCTTTATTCTTGTCGTGCGCACAGCCTACGAGGAATTTTCAGACGGGTTTGTCGCTTATTACTGCCGCATCAGTTTACTAATTGAATTGTGCACGAACCTTTTCACGGGAAAATGGTCCAATTTGACAAATGAAGATCAAAAAAATTTCAAAAACTGATGTTCATTCTGTAGGACGAATTCGATTATGACGAACCAAAAATCCACGATTACCAAACACGAAATAATCAACCCAATCGAAAAAAATGAACGAACTTTCCCATTTCATACTGAAACCATTACAACCTTAATCAATTATTGCACGATATTTGATTGGTCAAAAGAACTATTCAATGAATATATTAAATATATCAGATATATTGTCAAGATGACATTAAAACAAACACGTGAAGCACATGCCTTTACGGTTAGCTGTTGATCTAGACATCGACATACGATATATCGAACATTTCGTTAATCTAAAACACCAATGAAACTTGTGAACAGTACTGGAATATCCACATTAATTTCGAAAAAGATTCCGTCAATAATTGAATGAACAAGAGACAAATTTCGATATAGATAGCAAATATCGAGCTAATTTTCATGTGTTAGTTTGTCTGAGATAATAGATAAGACTTGCAGATAAAAATTAATCGAAAGAAATCAAACAAACGAGACAAATGAATAACTGTAAAAAAAATGTGACAATATTGTTTTTATTTTTCACCTAATTACAGAAGTGGTTGATAAATCAGTTCGTAAACTAAGTGATAAAAGACATCAATTGAACGATGTTAACAATCGATTCGAACGAAAGATTTTTATTTGGAAAGAAAAAAGTCAAATTTACAAAACGACTTAGAACTCCAAGAACAAACAGAATAATAGTAGAACATATTGCGAACTGTTGAGTGATGCCCATTAGTTCATCAAAATGAATTTTAATTCATTTGTTGAGAGAAAAAGAAAAACACGTCAAGATTCACTTGATCAAGTTTTTTATTGCAAAAAGAAAGTCATGGATATATGTTAATTATTAGGTGGATTTGTGTACTTTCCTCATGGTATATTGGGATTTCAAAAACCTCCATTTGAAGATAAAATTCAACAGGAGAAAAGTATCTTTGCACGGAAATGTCTTTATTTCGAAATAAAACGTACAAAACAAATACTTATTTCAGTAATATATCGAATACAATTTTCCGTGTATGTTTTTATTAGTTTAGATAACGAAGAGGACTCAACTTGTCATGTATTAACACTTGATAATTTTATATGCGAATCAAACATTGATCAGGCATGTCGAATTTTACACACACTTCTCTTTCGACACGCAAACATCCACTTGAACAAAGCATAACTATCATCACCTTTCAACGAGTTAATATTTCTGACAAGGAGAAAAGAAGAAATCTACTTGTGTCCTTCAACTAAACTCTGCATTGTTCTTTAGCACTAACTTGAGAGTTATTTCTCTTTTTCTGTCTTTTGATCATGATTTGTCATGTTCGTGTTAGTCATAGTGGTGGACAGCTTGCGTTTGACATATTTTAATATCCGTCAATTAATAAACGATGATGGGAGAGCAAATATATACATAAACACAATTCTCGTTTAGCTCAAACGACAGATAATCGTGTTCAATTGGATTTTATTAGAAAGAGAGAGAGCGAGGTGTTATCTCTCTCTCTCTGTCTTTTTTTCTTGCTTGCGTCAATTGTTGACTGAAGAACGGAGAGAGAACAACTGGAAAAGAATTAAACGATGATGATGATAATTTTGATTGATCGATCATTTTTCTCTCTCTCTCTCTCTGTCTCTCTCTCTTTCTCTGACTAGATTTCTCAACAGTTAGTTTCCTGTATTAGAATCATTTATGCTCTTGAACGGATAAGTGAAAATCATGACAACATTTTCTATTGCTTCGATTCTCGGTGATGAAAATCCAAAACACGACAAAGAAGACAATGATAGCAACACAAATACCATTGATGAACAACGACAACATCAACAATTTCTCTTGAACAATAGTGTTCAACATTTATACAACATTTTCTGCAAAAATGCTGCACTTGCTGTTCGATTGAACGATCAACATCAGAACAAAACTAATCTAATTCGATCGTTTCCTCTTGAAGCATCATCACCCTCATCAACAGATTTTTATTCTCTACACAAACTTAGTTCGACATCTTATCAAGGTAATGATCATCGAATGAAAACTCTTCATTTTCCCTTCTTGTTCTCTTCCTCACTTAGACATCGAGTTCATTAATTGCTTATTGATTATGATAAGACGCGAGTTTTCACACATTGCTCGTTTTCTCATTTTTTTTTATTGCTTTCGTCGATGATCAGACGCGAGAAAGAGGAAGTCTGTATAATTGTTGACACACATGATCAAAAGTCAATTGAGCGCCCAAGATATATTTGTTCAACTTATTACTATGATCGAGAAATTGATGTGATGATCAGATGCATCTGAGAAATGATGAAAGAAGGAAATAACACCGTCGGAAATCTTCTTGTTGTAGGTTCACCAATCTCGTATTACGGCAAATCTCGTCGACCACGGACAGCATTCACTTCACAACAGCTACTTGAATTGGAAAAACAATTTCGAGAGAATAAATATCTTTCGAAACCAAAAGTAAATAGAATTCGATGTTTTTTTCATTTCATTTTCATTCGAATTTTCTCGTTTCTAGCGATTCGAAGTAGCCACATCATTAATGCTAAGTGAAACTCAAATTAAAATCTGGTAAAGACCAATATAAAGAAACTTCTCCTCACATATACTTTTCTCGAAAACATTTAGGTTTCAAAATCGTCGAATGAAATGGAAACGAAACAAAAAACTACCTTCGGATGATTCTTCAACATCAATGGTTATTAAAGATGAGCCATTCGATACTACGGATTCACCTTCATCATCAGCTACAATGAGTCCAAGCTAAACATTTTTTTCTTTTCTCATCATTTGCATGTCCTTCTTATTTGTTGCAAAATAAACTATACAACAATGATATGCTTCTCTATTCGAACTTAACGTTTAAGATTAGTTTATTTTCTAATTCGATGAGTGGATGTCTGGAATAAACGTCGAATGAAATATGTTTGAAAAACACTACAACTAATTATTAGAAAGATGTGGATCATTGCCCATCGATTGACCCAGGCGAGATTTTGTTCAAGAAGATAGAGATCCTTTTGATTAAGCATTTCCATTTCCATTTGTCGTTCACGTGAAACAAGAATATGATGACTAATTGAATCTAAGGCATTCTAAATACGAGAAATTTTCATCGTATGCGAGTAAAGAAAGATTACAACGAGAAGTTACATGAGCATTGATTGACGAATTATCGAAATGTTCGACTTCTTTAATACTTTCTAAGATTTTTCCAATATGATAAACATGAAAGAATACCGACATGTATTTCACATAAGTATCCGTCTTCGCGTGTGTCATACAAATATCAATCACAGCTATATAACTAAATCAATGGGAACTATTACGAAGAAAAGATCAATCTTACTTGTGTCGTTGGCAATTATTTCTAAATGGCCTCGTTGTGGTGTCGTTGAAACTGAGATTATACTTCCGTTAATTGCGTTACGAAAATATGCAACGATAGTGCTATCGTGATCATGTGCGTTTAAAATTTCGTACATGAAATAAAGACTTGTTCCATTGTCTAACGATTCATGATAACATTCTTCTGAACCAGGTTGAAGCCAAAACTTGAAACGCATTTCTAACAAAACAAATCTCTCCTGAAAATTAATAAGAGAAGGAGAAAGGAAAGATCACCTCGGAGATGCTCAGAATCAGTCGTTATGGTACTAACGAAAAGACTACTCAAGAGAACAAAACAAGAGTAGATCGATCGCATTGTTCGTGATGTCGTTGGAGTTTAGTAAAGAATAATGAGTATGTACGTGTATATCATATGTCGAAAAAAAAAGACGAAGGAACGAAAAGAAGAAAAAGTGAAGGATAATTGATCATCTATTTACCCAAGGATTGGAAGATTTGTGTCTATTCTTACCAATATGGTATCAATGCACGAGACATAGGACACAAAAAGAGGAGAAAGGAATGAGTGAATGAAAAGATAGAGAATTGTGTTAAAAGTGTACCTAACCTGTTCGAAATTCAACATTGACTAAATATCAATCTTATTGCCTTGATGTGAACAAATTTTCAACAAGAGAATTGGCGCCTCGTTTTACTTGTATGTATCAATGTATATTTTTCCAAATAAACAAATCTTCTTTTCAATTCTAAGGTATATCGACATTGGTGAGTGTACTTTTCGTCTTATCCGATTGATAAAATGTCTCATCGTCGTCATCGGCAGTCCAAATACTTGGAATTGTATTGTTGTTTGTCGAATGAATTTCTTCTTACTTATCCTCAACCGCAAATCTTATCATATGATGACAAGAAGAAGAAGAAAAAAACGTGTCGAAACACAAATGCATTCAATTCACTACCAACAAAATACGATTCAAAAAGTGAAGGAATCAAATCAACGAGAATTATGTCGAGAGAACCTCCGAATCATCAAGTAGAAATTTATATGAAAAAAGATTCATCGGACAAGGCAGATGGGGATAAACAAACTAAGAAATCTGCACGTAAAGTATTCGATACAATCCATCAATTGAAAATCAATGATGATCGTGAATTGCGATTATCTGTTAGTTGTTAAAATGAAATTTTTTGTTGATCAACATCATTTTTCTATAGAAAACATTAACTCGTACGTCAACATGGAATAATTTTCAAGACAATAGGACAGCATCATATTATAATCATGTTCAACGAGAACATTTACAGCAACCTGTCATGTTATCACCATCGAGAAACAAAAGAAAAATGAACTCTTCTGAAAGATCAAATAGTTTGGTTTCATCTATAGAATCACAAAGTCATTTGTCTGGTTCAGACGAACGAAAAACTTATTCAATAGAAAATGTAGTAATTGATTATGAAAGTAATCAGTCGTTGAACGAGAACATCAAATCTCAAAGTGAACATATCGAAGAATTTCAACCTATGTCTAAGATTTCATCGATTATACTCAATGATATTCTTTTATCATCATTGTTTCCAAATGTGACTAATAATCCTCTCGTCTTCGCTAACGATGATATGAATAAAACATCTTTGATGATATTTGATGACGATAATCCAGATATAACAGAACTGATAATGATTGATCAATTACCGAAAAAAATCTATTCACTCGTTGAATCTATCGAAGAATTATGTATTCTTATTCGAAAACTATTACAATCTCAATTAAACCAACGAAACATCACCTCTCTTCAAATCAGACTTACAACTCAACTAGCACTTCTATTAACTTATTTAGTCATACCTCAACACGAAAAAGAAACTGCTGATAAAGTCACATCGACAGATGTAACCTTTCAAACAGCCACGATCGAAACTCAAACAGATTTTGAACGAAAAAATGCATCTAATAATCAACAATCAACTTCTATACAGGAACCATTGTCACATATAGAATTGATATCAACTAGCGGTAACCAATATCGAACAAATCTTTCTTCATTTCTTATCTATTTCTATTAGTAACCATACATTTACCCTCACGTCATCTTCACTACGCTCTATCCGATACATTTGTTCATCGTCTTCAACGTTATTCCATTTCTCATCCCAGAATATCTTCATTTTCGGAGACTTTCATCCATCATCTCCACCAATCATCATCATTACCAAAAAACAAACTTAAGCGTTTGCTGAAGTTTGTCGAACTGGAGTCTTCAAATACATTTCTAGAGGCAAGTACTGAGTTTACACCTGATTTTCAAATAACAACGATGAACAGTTCGAAATATGATGATCACACAGAACAGTTTGGAATCGACATAGGAAAACTTGAAATACTTCCATCAGATTCCTTACAGACGAGTAGATCTGTGAATAAATTCAATATTGACGAAGAAAATACACTAAAGAGTTCAATTACCGAAACGAATAGTCTTTTTTTACATAATACTACATCATTATCACATGATGAAGATGAATTCATCACGCCAACAGTCAACTGTCAATTACTGGAACCACTGTTGAATTCACATCAGCTGCAAATGCCTATCTTACTAAGAAAATCAAATAGCATCGATTCGATTTACGCGAAACAAACAGCGCACATACGATCGAATCGAAGTATTGTTGGTAAACGAGTGATGCTTAAATCCATTTCAAGTAAATCTCTCTACTGCGAAAGTATCTGTCAATATTTTCTCGCTTCATTCAATTAGATCACGAACGAAGGAAAACAACTTCAATTTTGAATTACAATAACAACTACCATGAACACGATTATCGTTCGAAAACTTCGTCTCTATCAACTATTGCAGATAAATTCGATTCAAATCTTGCACTTGCTCAAGATTTACTCGACATGCTCGATTCTCTTAATGATTATTCATCAACAACGAATGTTAGTTCACTGCACATGTATATTCAGCAATTTCTTATTCAATTTGATACACGTATTTGTATGGAACGAAAAAGAAGAAAAAGCAAAGCGAAATGTGATTTGATTAAAAGGAAAATAGACGACAAACTCGAGAAAACATATGATAGAAATAAAGAAAATATTTAAAAATAGTTGAACCATTTTCTCGTACAGGTTTCTCTTCGTTCTTCGAATGAAAAATAACATCCGAAACGAAATTATTACAATCTAGATAAACAAAGCAATTACTCCACTTTCGTACGAAAAAATTCGTAAATGGTTCCGAGGCATCTTCTAACGGTTCACCATAATCAGCTTCAAATCCTTCTTTCCACCATGTATTAGGCGTGAAAAATAACCAATAATCACCACGAGCAATAAGAAATGCTGCTAATTGTTGTTTAAGATCTTTACATTCTTCCCATGGATGATCACATGCACCATTGTACATAGCAGGAAAAGTAACAGGAACATTTTTCATTGACATTGCCGTTCTCATTTTCTCGGCACAAACGGCTGGCTTATCATCACTCGTTGGAATAGTAGGACTTAACCATGCTTGCCAAGCATGTTTCTTGTATTTAAGACCAAGTTCCCAAGCTCGATTTAAAGATACTTGTTGGGCTGCATCAACCGATTTGCGATATTCTTCAGTATAATTTGGATAATTTTGTCGTTCGTCCCAAATACCTCCATCATCATCATAAAAGATTCCATCGACAACAGATTGATTAAACGCACTGGCGACATAAGAATTGACAAAATAATCTTGTACATCTGGATTTCGGTGATCCCAGCAAAATTGATCCATGCGATAATTGCCAACTTTAGTCGAGTCGTTGTAAATAGTTCCATTTGGCAATAAAACGAACCAGTTTGTCTTCGAGGGATCGTACATAACTTTCGCACCGTTATCGAATATATTCAATGCTAATTCGGATTGACGATAGACAAAGACACGTGTTTGAGGATTAACACTTTTGATAATTGCTGCTTGTTGAGCTAAAGTTTCTTCTCGATGCATTGGAAGACCATAATGATTAGCCCAATCAATTCCAACGACACCATGTAAAGCAGCAAATGCAACAGTAGCATTGTCGTAAAATCCTTCACTTGAATAGAAATAATATTGCGTAGAGAGTTGCATATTGTACGTCGATGGCCACGGAGGAAGCGGACAAGGTAATCGCCATGATATTGGACATGGATCAAGCTTACTTTCGATTAATATTATGTATTGTAAGATGAAAGTCGTGATAATAAAATGAAAAGACATTTTTATATGTTATCTTCAAATATACAGGTAGTTCTGTTTGATTATGTGGGTATTAAAAAAAAGAAGTTGAGAGTGCCATTTTTTTTCTTCTGCACAAAAATATGACCATGTGGTTTAAAAGTTAGAAACAACAACTGACAGAACGCAAAAGAAAAAGAATTCAGGCTTGTAACAACAATTTTTTTCTCTTTGTCTTATATTCTACTGAGTTCGAGTAGAATGGTGAAAATCAAAGAAATATTACAGTTTTACATTGTCTCATAGGAAAGAAAAAAAATGAAAATGTAATGCAGAATCTAATTTTACTATATATGTAACAGGTTGACTAACATACACGAAATCAACCTAGAAAAGATTGTGTATTAATATATGAGTAGATAAAGAAGAATGAGTAAACATACAAAAACAGATAACTAGATATTTTATGTCATTCGAAATGCTTATAGTCATGTTTTACTGCAACCAATAATACATATTTGGCACTCATAGAATCACATTCCGGAAGCAAAAATTTCTTGAGAGTGAGCGTGTTTTAGGCAACAGAAGAAAATGAGGGTGAAGGAGAGGGCGTTGTAGGGTACAGAGCACAGAGGCAAGTCGAAATATCTAACAGCTAGACAGGCAAACTATAGTCCTGCAACTTCTGGTTTCCAAACTTTCAAATGGCACCCTAATAAGCTTAGTAGTTCAAAGTTTCAGTATCGGAAATGCTGAACTAAAAGATTTAGAAGTCAAATGAAAGTTTGAATACTCGAATCGAGTTAACGATTTCTACACTACTCATTTTCTTCGACCACTTACACATTCAACAATGAGTCTTCTCAAGGAAATGAGTTTAATACTTTTTGTCAATTATATCTTCGTTAATTATGTTTTGTATTTGTTTAAATAAGTCAAAGCAATATGTCGTCATACGTGATGAACAATTTCTATTCTATTTTATATCAAATCATGACATAATCAAGCGTCAACAACAGACAAAATAGCAGGTCAAAAAAATGAGAAAACTTGAAGAAATTCTCATTAGTTCATATATTCCTTCGAAATAAATATGGGTATTGCCGAAGATATTCTTTTCTTCACGGAGAACTTCTCATTGTATTTTGTTTCCGTAATTTTCGTTATCGGTGGAATCGGAAATCTTATCAACATATGTGTTCTAACATTTTTGAAACTTTTTCAATCAAATCAATGTGCCTTCTATCTCGTTTTTGAATCTGTTGTCAATACATGTCAGTTAACCATTCTTTTCATTATGTATCTTCTACCAATTGTCAATGGATTCGATCCTGGAAATATTTCGATTGGTTGGTGTAAAGTAAAAGCCATGGTTCCTCATGTATTTCGATTACTTTCAACATCCATGGTATGTTTTGCGGCATTAGATCAATTTCTCTCTACAAATCCTCTATTGATCATTCGACGAATGAGTTCACTTCGATTAGCTCATCGTCTAACAATCATTGCCATTATTATTTGGTCATTACATAGTGTGCCCTATGGAATCTTTTATCAGATTGCTCCTCCCAGTGGTTGTATTATGAATAACTCTAGGTTAAATTTTTATTATTTATATTTTTATTATCCATTTCTACATGGATTCTTACCGATATTCGCTTCGTCTGGATATGCTCTCCTTGCTTATCGAAATGTTCGCCGTTTGATTCGACGTGATATGGGTGCTGAACGTCGTCGACTGGATCGACAGTTAACGGCGATGGTTTTCGCACGAGTTATTTGTTTCGTTCTGTTTTCAGCTCCTTACACTATCTATCGTATTTATGCACTGAATGTCAGTGTTAGTCGAGCTAATATGTATCCATATGCGATCGATCGTCTATTATATACAATTATGGTAACACTGGCAAATCTGAATTATACTGTAAGATATTCATTATCATACTTTATAGAGTTAGGAAAAATTTTTTAGATGAGTTTTTACATATTTTTTGCAACTTCATCACGATATCGTCGACAAGTGAAGCATTTCTTTGTTAAGAAATGTTGGTTAGCATTGAAAAATTTATGCACTCTTGAACCAAACAGAATTCATCCTCAAACTTCAAGATCGATTGCTGCCGATAGTGGATGGGAATGATACGACCATCGAAATAAACTGAAGCAAAGAGATGCTTAGTATTATTTGTTTTGAGTAAACAAATACCTGCTAAACTATCGATCGATCACCGAAGGGCTGCATTTGCGTATTGTCGCAGTGTTGAACGACGAACAACGTGATACTTTTTAATTGGGTTTTCAATTTGTGGAATTTTTTTATTCATCGAGTTGTCGCTGTAAATGACCTTTTTTGTTATTCAAGATCATCTGAAGTTCTAACAACAATCTACACATGTAAACGAGGACAACAAGCAGATATCTTTCGTAATGAATAATGCCAATGCCAGAACACTCTGTTTCTCCTCTGTGGTAACCGATTAAGGCTTTTAACCGTTTCAGGGAAAACATGGAATTCATGGCGGAAGCGCGAATTCAGAAAATCTATGGATTAAAAAGAAAACGTATAGAAATTATCCTTTTTAAGTTTGAATATTATTGTTATTCTTGTTACTTTTACAAAAAAAAGATCGATACCAGTTTAGAGCTGCAAAACAAATGTAAAATATAACTCTTGGTTGATTCAAGATACAAATAGCACGACAAAAAAAAGCAAGTTGTCTGACAGGACAAGTCTACTTGTCTCATTCACACGGATCTTCAACTGCTAGAGATACAAATAACACGAAAAGCGAGTTGTCTCAGAGACAAATAACGCAGGTTTTATCATCACTATGTTCTTTTGAATAATTTTGTTATATATTCGTTATTAAACATTGTTCCATTCACTAAATTTAGTTGAATTATCATTATCATTAAAACGAATAATTTCTATATAGTTATTTCGGACCAATAGAATTTTGTATATGTGCCTCCGTCACGGTTTCCATGTTTTCCCTTAAAATCGGTTACGATAACGGACTTACGAAGCAAAATGAGGAATGAGACTGGTTAGAATGTTAACCAATGAAAACAAAGAATGGGAATATATATTTATCTTCATCTTCACAATATATATTTGATTTAGATTATAGATGTATTTGTTCCTAGTAAAGGAATAATTCATTTCGGTTCTTAAGAAACAGGAATCAATTTCATTGCTAATGGAGTGACAATCGACGACGTTCACATCGATGAAGATCATTCGTGATGTAAACTTGAATGCTAATACAGAGGCGACTTCATTTCGCTTCTTCTTTTCCTTCTTCGTACGAATCCATTTAAGCTAGCGAAAAACAAGATCCATTCGTCTACGATCCAATCCAAAACCATCATTGATCACTCCATCAAGTCTTCCACAACTGATTTAACTGAACTCATTGGAAACTTTTCTGATATCTGCAATTGAATCGAAAAATCGTGTTCAAAATGCTCGTGAACGTTTACGACAGTGTGAGAACTTATGGTTACTCAAACGACAAGATATACGAAAACTATGGCTATTGACATCGGAACAGGATGCTCTCGTCAAAATCTATCACAACATTGATGAATTAAAACATGCGCCTGTTCGTTTACAATTCTACTTGGACAAGCATCTATATCATTACACAATTGAAAGATGAACGATTAAGCTTCGAACATCAACTACGGTCAGAATTGATCAATCGACTATTCGAAAAGCCATGTCGAGATATTCTTGGTAACAAAAATGTCACCTCATCGTCAACAAATTCTTCGTTAACATCGAACAAAAATGATCATAATTATTTATCTCGAATTCGTGAAAATCGTCTGCTGAGAAAACAACTTGATCAAGATTTTGAGTTGGGGAAGTTATCATTTGAGTCCCATTCGGTACCCATCATTCCTGATAAATACATGTTAGTTGATATTTGCCATCAAGCATCTGATCTCTGTCGGTTCTTTCGCGTTTAAATGAAACACTCGAACACATTCAAAAACAATTACATGAACAATTCCATCGAATTGTACAACAAACAACACAGCACATCGTCGATAACAATTTTGTGTTACATTCGAACAATTCACATCAAAATCTTCTTCTTAACAATCCTGACTGTTTGAGAGATTTGTTAGAAACATGCTATGAACAATTCAAGATTGTTGTGAAAAATATTGGATATGTTTTGAATGTGTTGAAGTTGATACAAGAACATCAAGCATCAGTGCAACTTCAACAAGATGTACATGTTCAAATTCAAGCAGCAGAAAACCATCCAGGTATGTCAAATGATTGTCCCTCCCTCCCTCTCTCAACTGAGATTTGCATTGTAAATTTAGATCTTAAAAATCATCAACGACAGGTTGTGTCATCCGTACCAAATACTATCCAGTTTGAAATTCCGTATCTCTTTTCAATTGAACTCGTTTGGGAAACTCTTCAACAAGTTCTCAGCGAAGTCTTAAATGAATACATTGACTACAACAACACATTAGATACATCAGCATTGAATTCGTTGTTAATACCGAATGGAACTGATTACAACAATCATCATTCAGTTACTGACTTTTCACAATACTTAACGAAAAGAGCTCCACCCCGTCCACAACAAATTCCACGTCTCTTCGAATTCTCTCAATCAGCACAGTTCAATTCATTAACTTCGTATTTACAAGATCAGAATCGCTTTGCTATCAAACCAGAAACAACAGCAGTTGCCACAGCATATAAACAATATGTTTGCAAACCAAACTATCGAAACATCACTGCTGTTCACGATATTCTACAACGAATCATCGAAGATATCGATATGAATGTCAAACTGCATGCAACGAAACGTATTCTTGACAGGTTAGTTCGACGTTCATCTCATTTACATATTTCTCGTTGAAGATCTATTCATCTTCATCAACGATGATCGTCTTCTCTTTTCTTTTTCTTTCTTAAGGAAACTAACTGAATTCATTCGTGATCGATTCATTGGTCGTGTCATCAAAGATATTTGTGAATCTGCTCAGCTGTCTTCCGCATCATCTATTGCTGATCAAACTCGTCTTGCTGAACTAGTTCCAGTTGTTCTGCAAAAACAACTTCAACTATCCATGCCAATTCTACAATCCACTTATCTGATATTCAAATCTTGTGAAGAATTATGTGCTCTCGTCAAGTGTCTTCCACCTTATGCAGATGACTTTTGTCAGGCTATCATCGATCTTCTATTCAAACATCGAGAATCGAGTAATAAACTCTTTCTGAGCATTGTCGAACGAAGTGATTCACCTGGAACATCAATCTATTCGAATGAATGGGTTAAAGACGCCGATATCAATCGACATCTCCGAACAATGCCAGCATTTGATACATTTATCCGAATGGCGAAACAACAAAACTCCAGCAATCACGATAATCATCAAGATGACAACGCCGATAATATTCGATTTCGTCAAACAAAAGAAACAGAAACTTTGTTGATCAATTTCAGCCAAAATGAAATGAACTTGGATGACATATGCACGAATTATAAACATGTGAAATTATTAGCAAATATTCACGAAAGTCTCGACTGGTTATATTGTAAATTATCGTATTATTTTGATATTTTGGACAGATGTCTAAGCGATACAAAATATCTGGATGCATTGACACAAACAACAGGTAAGATCGTATTCAATCGAATAGAAATGCCATTTTCATGATCAATTTCTAGTCTCATGTTCTATAAAAAGGTAATTGTAAAGTAACTCGGGAATGGTCTCTATCATCTTAACTGACTTGTGAAATAGTTTGTTCTGTATAAAAGTATAAAAGTAAAGAAGAGAGGTATTCGGTTGTCGAAATGCAATTAACCTTTTTCATGAGCGAGAGATCATTCGAAGTAAACAAACAAATGTCTATCGACACGAAATACTCAGACAAAGCGGGTCATTCAACTGATGAAGATGATGATTGCTGTTGAAATCTTTGCATGAATTAATGACATCGACTAACATGATTTTGTGTTTTTCAGTTACATCTGGTTATTCTTCGCGCACATTGAAACAAAATCTTCGTCAATACGAACAGCTGAAACTGTCTCGTGTTAATTTGGAAATCTTCTCCAATGCAATGAAAACGACATTAACATCGTTGCTATGAATTGTTTTATGGAACGAAACCAGAGGAAACCATTGCTGGCATCGAAGAACGTGGATCAGAACATGCCGAACAAGATTACATCCACTTATCATGGTTGTAGCATGGAAATTTTCTGACAAGCGATAGTGGGAACTTCGATTTGAATAAATACGAAGAAATGATTCGCAAAGCACTACATCCAAACAAAGTTGTGAATGGACAAACGAATGCAAAACATGAGAGAATATTTGTGTGTTGTGTTGTGTTGGTTGCTGGATAGTTTGACAATTCAGATAGATTCCACTCAAATGCTGTATATTTATGAACGGAAATCTCTTTTTTTTTGTATTGTAGATTGAAAGATTACAGTTTTACGAATGTCAAAGTTTATCGATATGTTTTCTGGTGCACCGATAAAGTATATTGATGCTAGAAGGTTGGCAGAAGAAAATACATTCGATGAACCCAGGTCAACAAATCCGATGCTGGATCCGATCGGATCTGAGCACGGGATTGATCGACCTGGGAAGAGAAAGTTTTCGAGGTTTGTGAATATTGAAAATCTTGGAGAAATATTTCTCGTTTTACGTATATACTTAGTTATTGCATGAAGCTTTACAAATAAATGATCGATTTTGTAATTCGTCAAAAAATACGAATATGGTTTCTGATCTTACATCACTTTCATTGGACGAAAAGGATGCTCTGGTGGAAATACAAATACACGAGTTAAGAATTAATAGTTGGAAAGGCAGTGCAAATAAATTTGCAGGTAAAGGTTGTATTTTGTGAATCTCTTTCGATTAATACGAAACTGTTAGTTGCAGGTTGTGAATATCATAGCATCCCAGGACGATGGTTCCTGAAGCAGGATTCCATGAATTTCCAACAAAATCCCTGAGGAAACTCGCTATTCCTGAGTGGAACCATCCCGAAAAATGCCAGGAATCAGACGGAGAGATGCAGTAACTGTTTCCGGTCCAAACCAGACAATTCCGGTCACCGGATCCGCTCATCGGGAATACTGCTTCCATGAAATCTCCGGAATATCACGGAACCGGCCGTTTCCGCGCCGGATTATCCAGCCTGGGATGTACTGATAATTGACCACTTTTTTGTCGATGTTTTGTGTCAACATTTAATTCTGTCTATTTTAGTTGTGGAAGAAAGTTGTGGAGCTCTATCAAAAATGGGATATCAGCTGAACGCAAGCACACAAATGAAGTTAAATCATAATCTGTAAGTTTTATTGTGTCTTGCATCATCCCCGTTAAATCTATACCAACTCGAACTTTTGTTTTTAGTAAAACCATTGTGCAAAATACGTTAATTTCTTGTACGAACATGATCGAAATACTAAACATCAAAGGTAAGTAAACATATGAAAGAATAAGTAGTCGTTGTATTGATAATCATGCTCACTAAGTACATTGAGTAGTCGATAAGTTCTTGCAACTCTTGATATCTCTTTAGAAAGAGTGCAATTATTCACTCTCTTTATGTCATACATTTGAGGTAGTTAATATGAACTAGGATAAAAAGCTCTATCGTCCTAAGTTATCCTATTGCTGTCTCGTTAAGATAGATATTCACAAAAAAGTCTTCTTTGCTATTAGCAAATTCTGACTACTTTTTGGATCCTATAACTTGAACGAATTTACCAAGCAATAAACAAATTAAATGAGACAGCTTTAGCAGATATCAGATTGAGTCTTAAACCCTAAATATTGGATGAAATATCATTTGGATTTACGTATGATCAAAGAAACTAATGATTTATAAGCGATTTTCAATAATTACCGCATAGGATACCGGAAGATACCAGAGTCATGTTTACTATCTAGTACTTCTCATTGTATGTGATAATACTATACATAGTCTCGGTAATATTCGTAGAGTCAGGAAATGTTCAGTATTTTGTTTTTTTTCTACTCGAAAAAATCAGTTCATTTGAATAAAGAATGACGAAAACATTGGATGTTTTTTAACTCTAAGGACATAGCAAGAGCTCTATATTTGTTCATTGTTTGTTTTTCACACTCTTCAGAAGGCATTTTAAAATGTACATTAAATAAGATACGGTCAGATGACTATGCGACAATTGTCAATTGTTTTCACGGGTAAAAGGTTTTACTTTTTTAGATATTCAACTTAAGAAAAAAAACAACTAAGTTAATGTTTTCTCATAATTCTCTCTCAGAATAATCTTTCTCAGAAAGTTCGACCTAGTATAAATGCGCGTGAGAAAGTCTGCCATTTTGAGTCTGTTGGAATGAAACTGCTTCGTCCGTGAAATAATTCATTTCTAGATGAGTTAAAGTGCTGACAATCGTTTTTCGAGACAGCTTATCCTCATGAACTGATTTTGTGAAACACGACCTGGAAGGGAGTGTTGAAGGTTTATGGGTAGAAATTTGGACCCATCCCCCCCGGCACCCTCCTCCCCACAGACATGTAACCGACAGAGCCGAGAACCCCGTCACAGACCGTGATCGATAGCATCACCGTCTGGGATGCCAATGGCGTCGTGTTTCACATTTTTGTTCCGTAGGGATGGCGCTGAAAGCTTTTCTTGTAAGAAGTAACCTCATAATTCATGTTTCTTTTATATTTCAGAGTGAAAAAACAACGACAAAGTCGTTCCACATCGAAAACGTCAAGAATACGTAAAACAGCCTCGTCAACAATCATACCGCTTTCAACAGATACAACAACATCACGCGCTGCAGAAAATACTGTTCAAACATCCAATAGTTTAACTTCACTCACGTCGATGTTGAACAGCATCAATGATCAGCTATTCAACGTGGATGTATCAGTGTGAAGCTAGCACGAAGAAACTGTGTATAAGCTAAAAACTTTTTTCCAGAGTTTGTCCGGTCCATAAAACCTAGTCCATTCGATTCAGAATTTAATTCTGCATCGAATGGTGGTATTTTTATTCACCGGACAAATTTGGGGGAAAAGTTTAACCACATCTTTGTTTGCCTCATATAGGTCTATTTATGTTTCCGATCATTTTTTTCCCAAGTTTGTCCGGTGAATAAAAATACCACCATTCGATGCAAAATTAAATTCTGAATCGAATGGACTAGGTTTTATGGACCGGACAAACTCTGGAAAAAAGTTTTTAGCTTATACACAGTTTCTTCGTGCTAGCTCCTTCGTGCTAGCTTCACACTGATGTGGATGTGGTTCCTTCACAACGATAATCACTTGAACACTTTCTACTGTTTTCTCTCTCGCGTTTTTTTGTTGTTGTTGAAAAGAAGGGTGTATTGCAGAGCAAAAAAGGGTCGCTCTTCCCATCGGACTTCATCTCTTTTTCCATTCGGGACGAACACGGTTCCTAACAAACACAAGTATTTTTCTGATAATATTGATGGGAATCATCTATTTTATTGACGAAATATACTTCGATAAAAAACAAATTCAAGAAAATATTTATTTCTATTGTAGATGCATTTTCTTCTCACAAAAGCATAATCAACTTCATCTTTTAAGAAAAAGAAATCAGTCTAAACAAAAATGGACCGACAATCGACGACGTTCATATTGATGAAAATCATTCGAGACCTAAATCTTAGTACGAACACAGAAGTAACTTCATTTCGCTTCTTTTTCTTCTTCTTCGTACGAATCCATTTAGGCTCGCGAACAACAACGTCGATTCGTCAATGAACGCTTTCAACGATCCAATACCAACATTGATCGTTCCATCAAGTCTTCCGCAACTGATTTAACCGAACTCATCGCAAACTTTTCCGATATCTACACTTCAATCGAACAATCAAAAAGTCGTGTTCAAAATGTTCGCGAACGCTTACGAGAATGTAAGAACTTATTACTACTCAAACGACAAGACATCCGTAAACTATGGTTACTAACATCGGAACAGAATGCTCTCGTCAAAATCTACCAAAACATCGACGAATTAAAACATGTACCTGCTCGTTTACAATTCTACTTGAATAAACATTTGTATCTTCATGCATCTTTATTATTGTTAAAAGCAAAGGAACATCAAGAACTGCGTCTGATCAATGCTTTAATTGACATCGACACACAGTTGAAAGATGAACGATTAAGCTTCGAACATCAACTACGAACAGAATTGATCAGTCAACTATTCGAAAAGCCATGTCGAGATATTCTTGGCAACAAAAATGTCACCTCATCGTCAACAAATTCTTCGTTAACATCGAACAAAAATGATCATAATTATTTATCTCGAATTCGTGAAAATCGTCTGCTGAGAAAACAACTCGATCAAGATTTTGAGCTGGGAAAGTTATCATTTGAATTTCATTCATTAGCCATTATTCCTGATAAATACATGTTAGTTGATATTCGCCATCAAGCACCTGATCTTTATCTCGATGTTCTCTTACAGTCTTTATCAATTCTTTCACGTTTGAATGAAACACTCGAACACATCCAAAAACAATTACATGAACAATTCCATCGAATCGTGCAACGAACAACACAGCACATCGTCGATAACAATTTTGTGTTACATTCGAACAATTCACATCAAAGTCATCTAATGAACAATCCTGATTGTCTTCGAGATCTGTTAGAAACATGCTATGAACAATTCAAGATTGTTGTGAAAAATATTGAATACGTCCTGAATGTGTTAAAATTGATTCAAGAACATCAAGCATCAGTGCAACTTCAACAAGATGCATATCTTCAAATACAAGCCGCAAAGAATCAACGAGGTATGGCGAATGATTCCGTTTCACCTTCTTAGGCTAATTCTCTTATTAAAAATTTAGATCTTAAAAATCATCAACGACAGGTTGTGTCATCCGTACCAAATACTATCCAGTTTGAAATTCCGTATCTCTTTTCCATTGAACTCGTTTGGGAAACTCTTCAACAAGTTCTCAGCGAAGTCTTAAATGAATACATTGACTACAACAACACATTAGATACATCAGCATTGAATTCGTTGTTAATACCGAATGGAACTGATTACAACAATCATCATTCAGTTACTGACTTTTCACAATACTTAACGAAAAGAGCTCCACCCCNCTTGTTCTGTTTCTTGAAATTCGTCTTCATTGCTTTTATCATCTTTCATTATTATTTCGTAATGCTTCACATTATGCATCAGTCATCGATACAGATCCAGATGAAAATATCATGACATTGAATCGTGATCTAACACGTTTACAAGAAACATTACATTCAGCATTGAACGAAAAGAAGTTTCTGTTTCTTTTCCAAGGTCTTGGTTTTGTTTTAGCTACGATCTTAATTCGTTCGGCACCACGGTTTGTTCGTATTAGTGAGTCAGGTGTGACGAAAATGTGTCGAAATATCTTTGCCATTGAACAAACATTAACACAAATTCGAACAGTTGGTGACGCTGAATTGATGCGTGCACATCGTTACTATGAATTATTGTATGCAACAAAACCAGATGAAATCATTGGTGTGATCGAAGAACGTGGACCGGAATATACTGAACAAGATTATATACACTTATTACAATTGAAACATCGAAGTTTTCCGGCGAGTGAAAGTGGAAATTTTGATTTGAATAAATATGAACAAATGGTTCGCAAAGCACTTCATCCAAACAAAGTTGTGAATGGACAAACGAATGCAAAACATTAGAGAATGTTTAGTTATGCTTTTCTTCTTTTGTTATTTAACGAGATTTTTATGATTATTAAGATTTTATATAAATTAGAAGAAAATTTGAAAAATGCTTTTTTTTCCTCATTATTATCATTGTATTTATTGTTAATTTGATTGACATTCCATAAAACATTTAATTAATGCAAATCGGTTTCTTTTTCTTTCAGATCTGATATGGGATTCTCTTTCTATAGTGTAATTGAAGCAGCTCTACTGTGCATTAATGCAGTAGCGATTCTGAATGAACAGAGACTTCTGTCCAGATGTAAAAGAAACTCGAATTGAAATCAACGAATTTTCTATTCGTTCGTCGGTTTCTTTTTTAGTCGGTGAAAGTGGAAATCAATACACGACTGGTTACGCTGATGAATTTCATCAGACCGGAGGAGCGAAACAACAATTACTTACTTTAATTCGATCTGTTCGAACAGTGATGCGAGGTAAAATAATCTGATTTGTTATTCCAATCATCGAATGAATTTTGTTTGATTTTAGTTCCATTAATTGCTTTTAATATTGTAACGATTCTGTTTCTTGTTTTATTCGGTTAATAATTGAATTGGTGATCGGTTATTTCTTTCTTGTTTTCTTGGTATATTTCAGATAATGTCTGAAGCCACAGGTGAATCGTCACTTCATTTAGAAGAAGATGTAAAACGAGCTATCGTTCTTCTCGATCGTCTACGTACAACGAGCGAAATTCCTGAAGCGAAATTACTTGAATTACAACGTATCTTCCAAAGCGATTTCTTTAATGCGGTTCTTGAAGTCTATGAAAAAATTTATGAAACAGTACAGATCTCTGGTTCGCCAGAAGTTCGAGCTAATGCGACGGCTAAAGCCACTGTGAGTTCAACTGAATGATTTGCATTGTAGGATCACTACGTTTTGTTCCTCGTTAGGTTGCTGCTTTTGCTGCTAGCGAAGGTCATTCACATCCACGTGTTATCGAATTGCCCAAAACTCAAGAAGGTCTGGGATTTAATGTAATGGGTGGCCGTGAACAAAATTCTCCGATCTATATTTCGCGTATAATTCCAAATGGTGTTGCTTGGAAGCATGGCGGATTGAAAAAAGGCGATCAACTATTGTCTGTTAATGGTGTTTCAGTTGAGAATGAATATCATGAGAAAGCTGTTGAATTACTCAAACAAGCGCAAGGCAGTGTGAAGTTAGTTGTACGCTATTCGCCACAGGTTTTAATCGAAATGGAAAATCGGTTCGAAAAACAACGTACAGCACGAAAACCACCAGCACCAGCATCAACTTCACCTACAAATAAATAACCTTTATTCAGATTACTATATATCTATCATGTGTTTATTCTTCTATTCAATACCTGATTTTGCTTTCTCCAATAGTTAAACCTCTTCTTCTTCTTCTTCTTATTTTGCGTACCTTTAATCTGTCATATAATCTCGTTGTTCTATTTGTCGGAATCGAATAGAGAATTGAATACTTATAATAGAAATTCTGTATCTTGCACTTATTTTAGACAAAAAATATGACTGAAACGACACCAACAGTTAGTACTAAGGTAAAAACGCCTTTCCGAGATTTACTTGCCCGATAATGAAATGTGCATTTGATTTTTTAGCTCGAATTTCTGGTGGATTTTAATCAACAAGAACAAGCCGATCGATTGCGAAAACTACTAACTGATCGTAAAGGTAGACAAGACATATTTGCACGCTTCGCATGATCACAGAAATCTCTTCTAGACATTACACATATTGATATTGATCCATCATCGAAACGTGTTGTACTGGACACAACAGAACAATCATCAAAAATTCAAAAATTAATTGAACAGTCTTTGAACACAAATGCTGTGCTTTTAGGCACTGGTAAGGAACAACTTTGATTTTCGAAAGTAGTTATATCTATATCATGGACTCAATAGGAAAATCTGCCGGTGCAGCCGCTGTTTCTGCGCTTTACAGTAATATCAATCGACCATTTGAACGTCGTGTTCATGGTTTAGTTCGATTTATTCAGGCTGATGACGAACAATGTATCATCGAAGGGACGATCGATGGTCTTTTACCAAATTCACCTGCGAAGATTAATATTCATGAATATGGGGATCTCTCGAACGGATGCGATAGGTATTCCTCATATTTACCTAATGAATGTGTTCAGCTCCATTGTTTAGTTGTGGCGACCATTATCAACCGTCGAAACCTTCTAATGGATCAAACGGTGTTCTTGGGCAAGTGATGACTGATGAAAGTGGAACCGCTGACTTTCGTTTGCTCAGAACTCATTTACATGTACCCGATCTCATTGGGCGATCATTCGTAGTTCAAACTTCTGATTCTCAGTAGGTTTTTTTTCTGATAGGAAAATAGAAAACTGATTTGAGTTTTTAATATAGACGTGTTGCTTGCGGTATTATCGCACGATCTGCTGGCATTTTCGAAAATACAAAACGACTCTGTGCTTGTTCCGGTGCTACGGTTTGGCAAGAACGACAAGATGTTAAAAAAAGTTTTCAATAAATTTTTAATAGTATCGTTTTTATTTACATTACAGCCACAGATCTATTTTTACTATGTGATCATATTTGTTTTATTTTGAACAAATATCAAAAAAAAGTCAAGCGCTTTCCAAAAAATAAAATAGGAACGTTAACATACATTTTTTAAAAATAAGCATGCAATGCCGAGATGTATATTGATGATCGAATAATGAATTGAAAATACAATCATTCAGATTACGAGGATCACCTGAACAATGAAAGTTATGGCGATCTCTTGAGCGGATGTGATAGGTATTCCTTATATTTACCCGATGAATGTGGTCAGTTTCCTTGTTTACAACCGTTGAAATTGTCTAATGAGTCAAACGATGTTCTCGGTCAAGTGATGACTGATAAAAAACGGAACCGTTGATTTGTGTTTGCTCAGAACTTGTTTCCGTGTATTTGATCTTATTGGACCATCATTTGTAGTTCTAATCTATGACTCTCAGCGAGTTCTTTTGTTTGTGAGACTGTCAAAGAAAAAGAATACTATCTTTTTGCGTAGACGTGCCGCTTTCGATGTTATCGCGTGATGGGCTGGCGTTTTTGTAAATACAAAGCGTATCGATACTTGTTTTGCAGATACTGATTGGCAGGAATGTAGACCAGAATATACTGGATAAAGTTACATACACTTATTTCAATTGAAACATCGAAGTTTTCTGGCAAGCGAAAGTGGAAATTTTGCTCCGAATCAATACGAACAAATGGTTTGCAAAGCACTTCATCCAAATAAAGTTGTGCATAGATAAACGAATGCAAAGATTAGAGAATATTGATGTCTTTTACGAAAATGAGTAAAATTTGGAAAGAATCACTTGGACTAAGATATTTTTTTCTAGATGAATCTTTTCTACTGCAGAAAGGAAGGAATTATTCTAAAAGTATCGAAAGTTTGGAGAAAATTGTTCTCTATCGAAGAACTTATAAGTACGCAGTGCAATGTCCAAGAGTAATAAAGCAAATGAAAAATCATGCGATGAAGTTCATGAAAAGTCGAATCCCGGAAGATAACTCTGGAAGCCGTGTTCCGTCTATTTCTGGCAATATACCTTCAGGAAACGGTCAGAATCTAGCTGAAAGAACTGGTGATCATTTCCGTTTATCGGTTACAGGTCAGCACTGTCAAACTCGAAATTTGAATTCAATTATTCAACTATCTGTTTAACTATTCGAGTATTCAACACTCTCTACATGGAAGAACGTTTTAATGACAGATAATAAGCTTTGATTGTTATTTTCTGGGAGTTTTTCTATACGACTGGTTGGAGCTGTTGGTTCGTTTTAGTTTATTGGCATCTATTTCATGAATAACAACATTTGATTCTGGAGGAGTTGCGCTTGATGATGAGGGCTTCTGATTTTCCAATCGAGGCTCAACAGTGATAGGGTTCGATGAAACAGGAATTGGTTCTACAACTGAAAATTACGATACTGATCACAAGTAGGAAGGCAAAAGATAGTTCGTACCTGTAACTGTCGGTCTAGATGGTGTTAGAAGAGAAATATCTGACACATGTATCATTGCGATGATGCTAGCTGGCAATGATCCTATGAAAGGAGTAAAGTCAATGAACTCTGTAGTACAAAAGCGAGAAAATGTACCGATAATGGATCGGTTCGAGGGTGTATCTGGCGGCCGACAACATGGACAGATTGTATCATATAAGACTTTGCATGTGCCAGATAGGAATTGTGTGATTTTATTTGACATCCATATGTTAAATTGATGAATACGACGAAATAGCCATGTTTTCTCGCACAATACACAACAAGCACCACATAAAGCAACTGAATGAACAATTGATTCAGGTAAACCTGTAATTTTACTTAAAGCCGACGTAATAAGTGACGAACACGGTGCATTATAATGTGTAATCCATGCAAGTAGAAGAAAAATTACAATAATAAATGATATAATATAAACAGCCGATGCCAGAGTTGTGAGATCATCGACAAGTGATGATGGAAGTGGAATAGGTTCATTTTGAAAGAAGTTTGTCGAACCATCGCTTGTTGAATTATCAGCTTGATCAATATCAAAGGATGAAATAGAACGTATCTTGCGAAAAAGATGTACCTGATCAGAATTCTCTTGAATAGATTGTCTTGGTAAAAAGATGAATATAACAAATAAGAAAACACTGAAGTCAGAATACATCGAATAGTTCACATTTTCGAAAATACATGGAAAAAACAATCAAATCTTTTCATTCGATAAAATAAGGAAAGAAGCGCTTTATCACATAATAACTTCATTCGAAAATCTCAAGATATAGAAGAATTCATACGTGACAGAAGCGACCGCCTGGAAGGGGTATTATTGCTCGTTGACACGAGCCGTGATAATAATGTCCCGAGAAATTAAACTACGTAAAAAAACGTTCTTCAACTTCAACAATAAGAAAACTTTAACGTAGCGTGTTTAAAAGGACATATAAAATGTGATAATTTAACTAAAACGGCAGTGTTTTGAGTAATTCGAATTAAGAGTTTCTCTATACATGAGAATGTGACAATAAGTCAAGATGTGGATGAGAGTGAGAGCGAAGAAGAACACTTATATTTATGCTTACTCTCACTCTAGAAAAGGATCTCAAACGGAGAAATTTGAAGCGAGCCGAGGTGAAAGATAACACCTCAACTATATTTTTACAAATATACAACTTCAGTAGAAATAATAAAAATCACAGTCAATATTTCTTTTTCTTCAGATATCTTTATGAATAAAAATATTGTAAATAGCACGATGCATACGTTCTGGGTTGATCGATCCATATAGTAAAAACTATATTATATTAGCTAAGTAACAAGATATATCGTGCTAGAATTCAGCAAGATAAAACATCTTGATCAGTCACATAATGTTTCTTTGAACTGTAGAACATTATCTTCTGAATTTCCATATGTTTATAATTGCAAGATTTAGTCGAAAATAGTTGAATTATTGTCAAAGAAGAATGGAAATGTAGATTAAATAGAACATGTTGTACCTCAAATGGTCAATACCGGCAAATTACATCTTAGTTTTAATAAAAGAAATATACATGTCGCCAATTTTTAACAGTATCTTAAAAAGCCGAAGCGAAGCGACTCAAGGCAGTGAAAAATCGCCTCGCTTCAGACACTGATTTAGAGTATATCGATCTTTCTAACTGCTATGTTTCTTCAACACGTCAGACATTCCGTATAAACATTTCTTCATTGACATCCAGCACTCCGACTAGTAATCAATAAAACTTTGTTAAAATTACTTTGAATTCATCTTCAGTATCATCTATAAGCAAGTGTTCATGAAAAGTTCTCTGGCCGATAATTAAAATCATCAGTTTATTGAATACTTGAGATTATCCATTATCGCCGATCTTCTTTAAAACTTATTTTTTGGTATTTGTCTCGCTTGTGATGATGAATTGATCCCAAAATAGAATTAGGTCATGTGGAGGAAATCGTTGAATTATCATTTATCGCCCTTGGTGACTTTTAGCAAACGATCAGTAACCATTAGATCCGATTGCAATATGAGCGATCGATTGAGGACATTCAATGATAGCAAACAATTACAACGGACACTTCAACTGTTTCAGCAATATCGAAAACTTAACAATGAAACTCCATCAAGTTCGGCGAACACACAAGTTTTGAAAGCATGTGTCCATCTCAAAGATATTCGAAGCGAGAAAGCAATTTATGATCTTGTTTCATCACATACAAAAAATAACCAACACATAGTGACATTAATCTTCACTGCTTGATAGCAAAGAGATAAATAATTTATCTATGTACGGTGCGACGATGAAAGGTATGTATGTTGAGTATCCGTGTGTGCTCTATTCGGCATTTTCCAGGTTATATCGCAAGTAATCGAGCGGAAAAAGCTGTTGTGCTTTCCAAACAGATCGAAGTTCCTGATGACATCGTTATAAATATTTTGTTTAACGCTTGTGCTCATCTACGAACAAAAAAGCCATTCGATCTAACAAGAAACGTTTATAAAAACTTACCAACATCTTTTTATTCAAATGAATATGTGACCACTTCTTTATTGGATGCATTGATCAAATGTAGAGACATGTCCACAGTAGAGATCGTTTTCTCGAAAATGAGAAGATCGGCGATCGCTTATGGAAATCTAATGAATGAATTCAATGACGAAAGGCAAGGGAGGAAAACATTGAAACTGTTCCATCGAATGAAAAGTAAAGGTTTCAAAGCGGATCTGATTGTTTGCCTGTGCGTTATCAAAGCTTTGGCGTTCATTACTGATCTTTCACTTATTGAACCAACAATCGTCAAAATACATCAATCTATGTTTCTTCATAATCAGATTCGAAATACCGTGATTGACATGTGGATGAATCAGGAAATATATTTTTTTGTTTCATATTGCAGAAATCTCTTTTGGTAGGGTAAAACTGGATGTTTAGAGAAAGCAAAAGAGATTTTCGAAAGATCTTCTGAGCGAGACACATTTACATAAACAGCAGTGGGTATGTATTATTGAATTTATTGTTTATTGAAATTAAATACGACACAACATGTATATATTTAATTAGTTGTTACGGACTGAATGGAATGGGCATGTAAGCTCTTGAACTTCTCTCTCGAATGCCAGAACAGCTCATTCATGAGGTAACTTATATTTGCATATTGAATGCATGTTCACACTCTGATCTTGTTGATGAAGCTCTCTCAATTATTCAAAAGATTCCAGTAAAAACAGCGGTAGTCTGAACAACTACGGTATGTTGACAAACATAGTTGTAGACGAAGGAAATGAGGTTTTGCACAATCATATGTGCTTTTCGATTAGACTAATTGTCTTGCTCGTGCATCATTGTTTGATCAAGCACAAGCGTTGATCGAAGAGTTCGAATGTGTGCATTCACCCGTCATAGACATGCACAATGAGCGTCATCATCTGAGTGGACTCCTTAGTGAACGACAACAGTGTGAATAGTATCAACACATTGATCTTATTTCTTTTCCTTTGTTTTAGTGGCATTGTTATCGGGTGCGAGAAATGATAAGAATGCTCAGTTAGCATAGAATATCTATAATCGAATGAAGATATTGTTTTCAATCACGAAGAATTCCTTGGCAACAGCTGAAGTTCTTCTTGCAAATACTTATGCATCGTCTGTAGTTGATGGAAAAGTTATGTAAGTTCAAACACAGCTGACAACTTCTTCTTCGAAGTAATATGAACTGATTTGATGGTAGCCACTTCGTGCTCGTGACAGATCTCATCCTCGATCAGATGAAACTTATCGTGGAATGCAGAAAATGTGCGAGGACTTAGTAGCACACGGTCACAAATATGATTCGAGTCGGATAACGCGAACGATGACTGAAGATGAAAGTGTCGAATCGATTCTCTGTGGTTACAGTGAACGGTTGTGCCATGGCATGGAATTTTGTAGTCAATCCTCATGTGTAAAGAATTCAAATCACGGAGAACTTGAGAATGTGTGATGATTGTCGTATGCATTAATACGATATCTGGTTTAAGTGATTGATTTGCTGAATTTGTGTTTTAGATTGAAGAACGAAATTGATAGTTGCGAATCGAATCCATCACTTCCACAAAAATGGTCAATGCTCATGTAACGATTATTTCTGCGAGCTTTTTAATTCTTATTTGCGTTTTTGTTTGCCGATTTAATAAAATTATACAAAGTTAGAAAGAAAATCTTCGAAGATCTGAAGTGACTGCACTCTCAATCTCAAGATATCCAATGAATAACTATTAGTGACTGATGAATGCCTTTTTGCTTAGCCTAGGTCAATTTGAGATTTGCATAAAACTTTCACTTCGATAAAATAAAGCAGGAAGTGCGTGTTATTGAAAAATACCGTCGTTCGAATATAAAAAACTCATCAAAGCCGGAAGAGGTCGCTGAAATGTAAAGCGCTTGACAACTTTTACAATTCTACGATCAATCTATGTTTTCATCAGAATTTCGTTGATTCGAAATGTCAAATATTCTTTTTCGTTTTCTATCAGCGACCTCTTTTTTCTGATCAAATCAGCTGTTGGTAGATGCGAATAAGTTCTACTCGGTCTTACTGGACATTGGACGTAGTATAAAGAAAAGGAAGAGAAAAGAAAAAGATGAAGAAACAAATGTAACCATGACTTTTCTTCCGTTCTATTTTGGGAAATTTCAAACTTATCTCAATTTCAGATCTTTGAATCAAAAACTGCAAAGCATTTTCCAATGACTACAACATCAGATCAACAATCAGAAATGACTGATGAAAATCTTGCTATCACATCCGATGAACAACTTTCGCAGATAATCGACTCAATTAATCTTTCATCTGCCTGTGAAGATTCAGCAAATGGTGATTCACAAGTTCAATCATCGACGGCAGCTACTCGAACATCAGGGCAAACAGCTATTGGTGCTAAGCTCGTTAAAAAACTTGAAACACTAGGTGCATAGATAAACTTTCATTGGTTGAAATACGAATTGTGCCATTTTTAGCTGCAACTTCAAAAGAAAACAGCGATAAAAGCTCATCAACAGCAGCAACGGCCAACGATGCATCTTCATTCGTAATGAATGATCCCGAATCACGTCGAAATATCACTAAACTTGCCAGTGAGTAAAGAGATCTCTTTGATTTTCGGAATTCATTGCAATTTCTCGTTCATTAGAAAGCATTATGAAAGGTTTAACAGATTCAGATACAGAAAAAAATCTCTTGACATTGGCAACAAAAGTCGCTGAATTACAGGAGCAACAACGAATGTTATTGGCAAAAAGTAGTGAACTAGAAAAACGTACTACAACGTACACACGTGAACGTGATCATATTTCACTTGAAAACAGTCGAATAATAGCTGCAAAAACGAAATTAGAAAGTCTCTGTCATGAACTCCATAAGCATAATCAACAAATACGCGTAAGTAGCTCATCAAAGCAACTTTTTTGCAACGATTAACTCTTTTACTTTTTTTGCAGGAAGAAAGCGCACAACAGCAACGTGAAGATGAAGCGAAACGTCGCGAGTTAGCAACAAAATTCCAAGTAAATACTGAACATTGAATTATACTTTGCGATTGATATGAATTATTTAGACAACAATTGATGAAATTGCTGCTCAACTCAATGATTATAGCGAAAAATCGACCGCATTACGTGAACAAAATACTCAGTTATCTGAACAACTACCCAATGTTGTGAAAAACTACGAATTACGCCAAAAGGTAACATGGATACTTTTCGGTACATTTCTTATTCATTGATGTATTTAGGAACTGGAAACTGCACTGAAGAAACGAGAGTTAGAATTACGTTTAACCGAAGCAACGTTAGAACAAAGTAATACTTTATTGAACGAACGAAACGAATTAGTCAAACAAGAAAAACAAGTGGTAAGAGTTGAAATTTACGAAAAACCTCTTGTTTGAGATCGCACTTTTCAGAGCGAGGCGGAACGGTTATTGCTAAATAAGAAATGCGAAGAATTGGCAGAATCGGAAAAAACATTACGTGTTCAAGTTCAAGAATATTCTGATCGATATAAAGAATTTCAAGGTGCGATTCAATCAAGTAGCCAAAAAGTTAGCTCATGTCATGGCGAAATTGAGAAAATGGGAAAGAAAATCAAGAAATTAGAGAAAGAACGAGGCGATTTTCAACGCCGATGGGAAATTTCTGAACAAAATCAGAAAAAAGCATCCGAAGATGTGAGATTTCGTTCCCATTCATTCACAGTTTCTTGCATTCTTCTCTTTAGTATCACCTTTTGGAAAAGGAAAAACGACAAATCGATACAAAACTTGAAAAATTCGATAAACTAAGTCGAGCTTTACAACAAGAACGAACTGAGCTACAAACAACAATTAAAAATCTATCCAAATCATCAAATGACAATGATCAGTCGACTGCCGTTGCCGGTAAGCTGCTTCATTACACATCAAATCAAACTCACGACAATATTTCTCATAGATTCATCAGAAAAGGTTTCAAATGGACATCATGAATCACAAAATGATTCAATGAAACCTATAAGTACAGTTACAGATGAAAATACTTCGAATGCTGAGCCAGCCAATCTCTACGGTTCGTGACTTTTCCATATCAATCTTAAATGTTGTTTGATGTATGTTTTAGATAGTGAATTAGGTCGTATTGCGAACACAGTTGATTGATATTCGAGATACGATTAATTGAATACATGCGTTTTTTCTTCTTTCTTCGAGTTGAGTGCTGTTTTCTTTTTTTTATTATTTGTTAAACTTTTTTGTTTGGCTTTTTTCATATGTATTCTTAACGTAGCTGTGACATTTTCTCACGTTCACCTTTCAATTGATCAAAATATTAAAAAAGAAAACAAGAAATAAGCATGGAAGAAAGTCTGATCCTGATGAATAAAATTGCTGTCAGAACGAGAAGTGTAGAATGAATCATTGAATTGAGTCGGATAACGTCAATTCTGATCGATCATACAATCTCAACAATATTTTTCTTTCGAAATTAAGTATTTATTTTCTCTCATTTAAGGCTGTGATTTGAACGACACTTCTCGAGTCAAATTTCACCCATTTTAACGATGAAACTATATTGTTATTATGATAACATTTCCATTAATGGTTTTATGTATCGAAATGGCTTCAAATCGCGCCATACAGGAAGTTTTACATCATCTAATGGCAAACTACTCAATAATCAGATTGAGATTTGAATGACTCTTATCTCCTGAAATATATCGTTCATATTGAAGTTTAAAAACATCTGCTGACCTTCCAGCATTATATTTCATGTATGAAAAAATATCGAGCGGAACGATGGGTTGTAAGCCAAACTACTATGTGGATAGAAATCCGTTGATTAGGACTATATACACAGCTTCCTGTTAGATTTATATGACGATTGTCATATGTACTGTTGGGTTTTGCTGTTTTCATATTTATTCATGTGTTTTTAGGAATTGGATTAGTTTTATGTCTGAACAAAATGGTATTGATATATTTTTGATCGACAAAACGTTTCTGTAGCATCGATTTTATTAAATAATTCACATGTTTTCTTTTCTTTATTCCAATCATATTTGAGAAAGAAACGTGAATTTATTTTAAAACTTTATGTTGCTGTTGAAGGATTTGAACAGACTCGCCACATGCATCTTCTAGTAGCTTTACAATAGCTTTTAATTGACGATTTCTAGCAACTGTACACTGAATCAGACTTGGAAGAACAAGTTCGGTTTGTGTTACTACCATTTTTAATAACGGATATCTAATGGACATATCTGTACTTTGTCATGAATTATGAACTTAGATTGCACTTATCGGTTTTCTTTGTATTGAAGTTAATAGAAAAAAAAACAGTATTATGTTTATAATCACGTCCTTCATCGCTTCACGGCCCAATAATTTCTATAAATATGTCGACTATTTGGTTATTCTCATTTCATACAAACATAGCCATCATGCAAATCTCCGTCACTCTATTAGCACTAGTATTTCTTCTCTTCATTTTGGCAGATGCTTACCAAATTCATCACAGTCGTAATTATGATCGAGATACTTTGGTTCAACAGCTTCGTCATCTCCTTGAACAGGAAAGTGAAGATGATTTAATGATGAAACGAAAAACTCAAGCTGGTCTTGATCATCCTGAAATATTAAAAGAATGTCAGAATGAATGCAAATATTTACGAGTAGATGCAAGTGTAACTGATGAAGAATTGCGAAAACCATACAAAAAGTGTCGCGATGAATGTGTCGACGAGAAACTCGCAGAACAAGATTGAACTGCATTACATTAATAAAAACTTTTCATTTTTTTTCATATTTTATCTCCATATTTGTCAATAAAAACTTTATCTTAAAGCAATTCTAAAACGAAACGAAATGTTTGTGTGTAGATGTCGCTAATTCGCTCAATCTTATTGTGCGAAGATTATTGGTTAATTAGAATAAAGACCGCTAACGATCATCAATACATTGCTCTGCTATTGTTCTCTCATAGTTTTTATATTTTTTCCAAGAAAATGCCGCATGGAAAGAAGAAATCGAATTCCCGAACTCCAAAAGTGACGTTGTAAGTTCAACTTTCTTCACCACCCTATTCTCACTTCGCATATTTTCAGTGCTGTACCTTCTCCTATGAACCATGAAGATAGTTGTGTTCTTGATCAATCGACAATTTGTGCCGAATGGTACCGATTGTGGTCATCATTTGGTTTTACTGAACATCAATGGTCATCTCGAGCATTGAAAGTCGAAGAATATACTCGAGTAAGACTTGGAAGTCATCTCTCCGAGTGTTTTCAATTGTATTTTTGCCTTAGAAATTACTCGAAAGTAAACTCTTGACATATAAAGAACAACTAAACAAACGAAAAAAATTGCTTAAACAGTCTCTTGAAGATTATGAAGAATTAATATCTCGAACAGGTCTTCCATCTGCTGTTGATGTAAGTATTTCTATGAGAATTGAAAGTTTATTTGTGATTCGATTTTGATCCTTTAGTCATTGACATTCGATGAATTAAAATTACGAGAACAAGAAGCATATATTGAAAAGAAAATGCAAGATTTATTAGTTCAAGAAGGTCAACTAATTCATCAACGAAGTGAACTAGAAACTCAACAGAAACAATTGTGTTCATTGCTCAATAGTTCACCAATTGAGTTCGATGAAAGTCGGTTTTTTCTTCGTCATTTCTTTCCTCGTCATAGAAAAAGTCATATTTGTTCTTCAGACGTGCCGATGTCACTTGTTGAAATCAATCGCAAAATCGAAGACCATCTGAAAATGCTTACTGATCTGAAGTCTCTTCGTCTTACTCAAGTTTCTTCGTATTATCAAAAGTTAAAACAATATTCCGAACAATTAGAATGGACACCAGCACCTTCTTCATCGGTTGAATACCTTCTCCTTGAAAAATATGATCATTGCTTGACAGCCGATTGCCTCAATCAAATCGAAACGACAATCCATGACGTGAGAATTTCATTGATTCGTGTTTTTTTTTCTTGTATTTCAAACTTTGATTTAGTTGGAAAACAAAATCGAAGAGCAAAAAGTCCGTTTTACTATCTTACACAATCAACTGGGACGTCTCTATGAACGTTTGAAAAAGAATGCGGAAAAAGATTATTGCTTAGCGTATAAAACCGGTAGTGAAAATGTCAATGCTTTCACAATTAAACAAGTAAATCCCATTGGATTTGATTATGAGTTTTTTTTTTCTTATGAAATCTGTTCTTTAGCTTGAACACGAAATTGCTTGTTGTCGTGAAGAACGAATGCAAAATGGCAAAGAATATCGACAATCAATTCGTGAACAAATCGTTGATTTATTGGATAAATCACATTTAGGTGATAATGAACGATCAGTTCTTAAGAATTTAGATTTGGGTAAGTTATTCTTTTAAGTCTTGTGTTCATCATCTTTTCGTTTGAGTAGACACGTTATCGGCGGATTTACTCGATGCATATGATGCTGAGTATGAGCGTGTTGCTCAGTTGTATGAAAAACGTCGACCAGTTATTGAAGCTTATGAAAAATGGTTAGCATTTTGGAATGATTTTGTTGCATTTACTGTAAGTGATCTTTCGTTTACGTGAATTGTTGTTGGTAATCGATTTTTTTCTGTATAATGAAGAAAGCATCAACAGATCCGGGTCGTTTTCGTATTCGTGGATACAATGCTGAAACTGAAGGACGAAAACGTAAAAAATTCCTTCGAGAATTACCACAAATTGAACAAGAGTTTCTAAATACTCTGTCGGAATATGACGACACAACATTTTGTATCGACAATATACCAATTCGACAGAAATTTGATGAAGCGCATCATCAAGTGCCATCATCGGCCTTACCAACATCAGCTAAAACAGTGGCTGTACCTCAACTTTCAGCTATGACACCTGTTCGATCTCGTACACCAGTTGCTACAGTAGATAAGCCACCTTTTCTCAGTTAATTTTCACTCGGTTCAATCTCTTTTAGCCTCGCCGTGTAGCCAATAAAGCATTAAACGTTCCAAATACAACAAATCGTTCTGCTAAAACACCTTCATCAACAGCTGCTGGACGTAAATTATTAACAAAAGTCGCAAGTAAAACTGAATGTCAACCAAAACGTGCCAAACCACGTGCTCCACCAGTAATCCACGCATCACCTCCACATCCAGTCGCGCCATTACCTGTTCATCCACCAGCATGTACAGATGATCAAGCTCTAGATTTTTCACTCTTACATACAATGAAAAATATCCACGGTCAAATTAAAGTACGATCGAGATCAACAAGAGAATCAAATGTCAATGAATACTTTCTTTTCAGGTTATGACATCAACTCCTAATTCATCATTTGATATAATCGAAAATCGAATTGGTGGAAATGTGAAAACAGCTCATAACACCATTGGAAAACGAAAATCCAAACGAATACCTGTTCCACTGATCGTAAGTCTTTAGTTTCTCTCTGTATATCTTCTTATACTAAACTCTAGATGATCCAACGAGCAACTGAAGAGTTAGCGGTTCTCATGCCACACGATTCTTAATCTCCTGTATATTGAAACTTTATTTTACTTAATGTCTGTTTGTGTGTATTTATTTCGAAATGATGTTAGATATATTATTTTATCTATCAAATAAAAACTAATTCACTTTCTCAATAGGAGAAGACAACAAAATCCTATTTTATTGTTAAAATGCAAATACCATCACCGATTTCAAAAGAAAATATTCGCGCGGAAACAGGAACCGTCTTGACTGGTACTTCAGATTGGACATCATCGATAAAACTTTTCAACATTCCGATTGTAGTTGAAGAATTGAGATATTGACCACCATAAAAACGACGGTAACTCGTTTCAAGATCTTCAATGATATATAAACCACCTGTACGAACAAGCGGAGATAGTGTTATCAACGATGTTCTCTGTTGGTTCATTGTATGTCCACCATCATCAATAATAATATCGAATTTGTTCATTTTCGACTTAAAAGTTTCAAGAAACATGACATTTTCTTGATCTCCGTAATGAAGAATAACATTAATCTAAAATATCAACATTAAATTTGAACATAGAACGAAGATCGTTTACCTGTTTACCTATCGTAGAAAACCATTTTTCACCGCATTTCATATCGATTTCAAGAATATGTATCTCCGCTTGATCTCCTAGATATTCTCGCCAGGTACGAGCAGACGCACCAATCGCTTGAATCATGTCACAACCCAAACCGATTTCCAGTAAACGTACTGATGTATCTCGATACTGCGAAAGGTATTTTTCATAGAATCTTTCATAATGATGAAGATAAACTTTATCCGTTTTGAACTTCATTCCAATACTAAAAAAACTCGTTCGATTTAATCTTCCGTTCGACTCGGTCATTTTCATTGTTTGACAATTGCGATAAAAGACGAAGAAAATAATCATCTGGACAGTGCAGAATATCAACAGTAACTGATACTTATGAGAAGCCATAATTTCCAACATAAAAAAAAAACAAACATTTCATAATATCATTCTAAAACACGTGCACAGCCACTAATGTAAAGCAGAATTGTTTACTCAAAGTCGTAAACTTTTAGTGTGTAAGTAAAGTTTCAGAATTAGTTTGTTCCCATACGTCTTTACTTCTTTCGTCGTTCTGTTGTTATATTTTATTCTCATAATAAATATATCGATAATTTTACTTTCTCTATTCAAGTTCATCTTTGATTCAATATTAAAGAAAAACTTTTCTTACTTCTCTACTGGAAATCTTTCTAATTCTACGCAGAAGATTTTCTCTTTTACAAAATCTACTTCACTTTTTCATTAAATATCTTCGTCATCATCGCTAACAACAACAATCACTTTGAAAAAGAAACACAAGAAAAAAAGAAACTCTGCTTTTCTCTCTTTGAGAAGAAAAAAAACTCAACCGGTGAATAAAAACATTCACACGTGTAAAACTCTTCTTTCAAAAACAATCCCAATGGGTTGCACAAATACGAAAGTTCATGGCATAGCATCAGATTGGCACACATTCGATCAATTACCCGTGGAAATCCTCTATAGAATCTTAGATGAATTGGATATCTCCACGATATTTCAATCTGTGTATCACGTGTGTAAACGACTTGACGAGATTTTATATTTATATGATGATTATCATTTAAATTTGAAACTGATCACGTTAAAACATTTACATTTGATTTCATTACGAATTCGTCCACAACAGATTACCAAATTAACTCTTATCGATGATGAGACAAATCCCGGATTACTCGAACTATTCCTTACGAAATACTCAATGAATTCTTTAACGCGCCTTCGCTCGTTAACACTCATGCAAATCAATAGCGAAGAAACCATCAATCAAATTTTAATTCCAATCGCTGATGAAACTTCATTACTGAATTTCTCTTCTATAACCCTAATTAACGCTGATGAAACATACAGTGGTGTTACTATCGAATTACTCATGGCAGTTTTAACCAAACCTTCACTTCGGAAAGCTTATCTCGATATATCGTATAGTCGGACAACATCAACTCCATTACCTTGGCTAACGCAGAGTTCCGTAAGACATTTAACATTGATAGGTACTTGTGCAGTCAGTTTTCTTCGGAATGTGTTTATTCACACACCGCAATTGGAAACGTTGATAACTGATGATTGTGAATTTTACTCCGAAAACGCGTTAGATGGCAGTTCAGATGAAAACGATGATGATGATGATGATGATACGGATGATTCCGAGGAAGTTGAAATCGAATTGAATGCAAATGTAAATAATGAAGAAAATCCGGTGATAAAAAAAGAAAAATTCGCTACGATTCAATCGACTGATTGTTTGAAATTTTTATCGCTGACATCTTTATCATTTACCATGTCGAAACTCCAATGGCTATTAGATGATATTCCAACATTAAAACAATTTCATCTCATCACAATGCCGGGTTACGATGATGAATCGATTTTAGATGGTTCGCGTTGGGAAAAGTTCATTTCGAACCTTGAGAAGTTTCAATTTGTTTTTTCTGTGAGTATATCCGATTCTCCATCATGGAATATCGACACATGTCTATCCTCATTTGGAAGTTCGTTCTGGACTGACAAACAATGGTTTATTTCAATTGAGAAATATGATGATATGATTTTACTTTATTCATTACCCTATCTCGATAAAAACTATGTGTTCCTCAATGCACCACCTTCGTTCGAATATCGTTCAACTGTGAAAACGAATTCAATGTTACAAATTGAAGCGATGAAAAACGTTCGTAATTTGTACATTGACACATCAGAACCAGTTCGGAATCCTATAGAAGTGAGTTATCGACAATTCATTTTCAACTATTCAAACTTTCGTTCACTTTTAGAATCTGCGTCATCCTCGTTTTTGTCATATTACGAATATGATTCTACACGGTAAATGGACAAAATCAGACTCGTTCTTTACTGGTATTCAAACTGTTGTCGATCTCTCAGTTGTGAAAGAATTGAATAGAACTGAACGTATTCCAACAGCTGACGCAATTACCTTGTTGAACCTTCTTTCAAATCTGCAATGTTTACGAACTAATACAACTTTTCTGGACGCTTTGAATGCTGCGAAGTTCTCTTATTCGAAATGTCTTCAATATTTTATCATTGATTCCGAACACAACGAAGATGATCGTCCGGTGAATATCGAACCATTTTGTACCATGTTCCCTCGTATTCAACATTTGAATATTCCAGTTGACAGTGTGGAAAGTTGCAAATACGTTCTTGAACAGTTAAAAGACGATCTCGTCAGTGTTGTTTTCCAAATACCTGACCGTGATGGTCTCGATGATTCTGACGATAGTGATGACGACGATGATACGGTCGGTGGCGAGGACAACTCAACTGTTGTCGCATTTGCAGAATGGATTAAAGACTTACCAAAAGAATATCATTCTTTTAAGAGACAACGATACGTACATATCTCACTGAAATAAATCCATTTTTTCCCTGTTTATTGTTATTCTTTCGTGACAGTGATCAGCGTTTGCTTTTTTGCGCATAGTTAAAATCCATTTTTCTCTTATGTATTCAGGAGAAAAGAAATGCTAAGTTCTGTTAATCCGAACGATTGTGCTCGTTAATTTCAAGGCAAAATGTAATCGAAGAGATTTCTAGTCATAAACTTTCACTTTCACATTATCCGATCGTATTACACTTGTCAATATCGATGAAATTCGACGATGGAAGTCATTTGTTAATTGAGAACACATCTGGTCTTCTTTTTTTATCATCATAATCTGTAAAAAATCGAAAACTGATTTGCAATTGCTGGTGAATTAATATTCCTGATAGATTTTTTTAATTTTTTAATTGGCGTCTTTAGANCGTAATATACATATAAAGAGCTGTATTCATATTCATTCGTTCACCTGTCCTTCGATTGCGCTTGATTTGCTTCTTGTTTCTTCTTCACACATATAGATCTACCTATTTACCGATCATCATCATCATATTGTTCTCATTTACTTTTCATCTCTATTTGTACGTACTAATAATAACAATAATGATAGTGGCCAAACTAGTGATTTGATCTAGCAAAAGATATTTCGTCGTATTTGTACATCTAAACCAATGCTTAACCAAATTTATTTTCTGCTTTTCGTCTTGATTGGTATATCAACAGCGTTAAACATCGAAGATAATTCCATTGATGATGTTGAATTGACAAGTGATATGTAAGTAAAAACAAAACTCTAGACATGTGTAGATCCAAGATAAATGTTGACATTGATGAAAGATCAGCGTTGACGATGATAACATCAAAGAAAATTTGACAATCGCAAGAATAGATTAGATGAGACATAGTTCTGTTTGTCTGTATTCTTTTCTTTGTGATACAAAAGAGAGAGAGAAAAGTCTTGAATCATAAAAACAACATTGTCTTTATCTGTGTTTGTTTTAAAGGCCAAATGTTTGTTCAAAAATCGAGACACGTATTGTAACAAAATTAGTTCCATGTCTGAAAAGTTACGAACATCTTGTTAAAATTTGGTCACGAAATTGTTCCAATGGTCGTCGTGTATGTCCTGTCTATGAGCACAGGTATGACATTGATCTATTTACACTATATGAAAACAAAAGTTTGATTGGTGTTCTGATGATTAATGTGTCTATTTAGAACGGAGTACTATCGAAGTGAACAAAAAGTCACAAAAGAAGTCAATGTAACGATTTATCATTGTTGTCTTGGATGGACGCGACTTGTTTATGATTACGGTTGTCCGATCGGTAAGAATTCATTAAAATCCTATTAAAATCATTTGAAAATAATCGACTTTTCCCCCCTCTTTGAAATCTTTCTTCTCGAAGTCGATGATTGAGTAATACATTTTGCAATCTCTCATTAGAAACGAGTATCCCACTTGATTTTTTTTTGCATGTTAATACTTTTCGGGCGAACAGAGAAAGAGAGAGAGAGAAAAATGATCGAATATAATATATGGTCAGTCAACGTATTGTGTATGAGGACAATAGGGGATATATACATCGATATAGTTATTGTTCATCAGAGTTGATTTATAAAATCGATGACCATGAACTTACTTGGGGTTTTGTTTTGCATGTTGTGATTGAATGCAGATGTGGATGAAGTTGAAATCTCTATGTTTGGAAGATTGATTTGTCGAAGAGATTAGAAGAAAAAGAATGTTGAGATAATTAATGTCTAGTCGTGTAGTAGAACAAATTCGAAGGTCAAAGATGTTCGAGAGATGATTATATATTATTGCGAATAACAAAATGTACTATGAAATTCGATTTTCATTGAAATATATGTCGATTTACTCAATCATCGAATGAAAGTGAAATAAAACAGACGAAGTATTCGTTTGTTTATCTAGCAATGCAACCAAATCGAGTACAACGCAAAATCCCAGTTCGTCATCAATTAGCCATGATGAATAGTAAGACTTTTCTCTGCATTCGTTCGTTTTATTTCCTGTTCTCATGTTGAAGATCGTTGTCCGCATAACCGTTTTGGTATGCATTGTGAATACTCGTGTTCTCAATGTATCTACGGCACGTGCAATTGGCGTATGAAAACATGCGATTGTCAAATCGGCTTTTCTGGAATGTTTTGTAATGAAACAACAATGATTGAACGGATTGATCAAACACATCGATGTCAATTATGTCACAAAGGAAATACGGCTTCGTGTCATATGGAAGTAGGTAGGCCTTTTTATTTGTGATATTCATAGAGAATCGTCGAGATCGAGTTGAATTTCAATAGAAAGAAAGAATATTTGATTAACATAAAAAAAGATATTTTTCTTTACGTCATCTCTTAGACTGGCAAGTGTCAATGTTTACCTGGTCATCAGGGAATTCGTTGTGAAGAAGGTAAGACATGAAAGAGGAAGAAACATTGATTTTATATAACGCTTTCTAACAGATAGAATATTAACATGTGAGTAGATTGTATTGAATGCTTCTTTTGTATGTGTGCATTGTGATTAAGAATTATGTTAATAGATTTTGATAAGAGAAACATGAGATAAGACTTTTTTTTTGTAATAGATTGTCCAGTGAATTACTATGGCCGGGGTTGTGTACATCGTTGTTTATGTCAAAATGGAGGCAAATGTGATTCGCGTGATGGACATTGTTTTTGTTTGCCGGGATTTACTGGTAGTCGATGTGAATCCGTGTGTCCACAAGGCACGTTCGGACATATGTGTTTACAAAAATGTCAATGTGGAAGTGAAAATATTTGTAATCCTCGAACAGGTAATAACAGAAGAAATCAAGTGAAATTAATCTTATCGATCATTCAATTTAAAGGTGAATGCAATGGATTATTCTGTCGTGGCGATCCAAAATGTTTAGCAGAACAAGAAAGGAAATTTACATATGTAACCTTATGCCCGGAAGGTTATTACGGTCCACCACGATGTCGACAGAAGTGTATGTGTGTGAACAATGCTCAGTGTGATCCATTGTCAGGTCGTTGTCTTTGCCATTCGGGTCATATCGGACGATATTGTGAAAAATGTTCGTTATTGATATTCATTCTACTTCGTAGTCTAAGTATTGGATTGTTTTAGCTTGTGAACGTGGATGGTATGGTCCCGGATGTATTCATCGATGTGAATGTCATGATGAAGGGCCATGTGATACTCGAACAGGCGAATGCATTTGTCGAATGGGTATGACTGGAAAACTTTGCGATCAAGGTTTGTATTGACAATGAAGGATGTTACTTTTACACATATCATCTATGTAATTTAGAATGTCCGGAAGGAAGATATGGTCAGAATTGTACAGAAATATGTCAATGTAAAAATGGTGCGCGATGTAATAAAGTAACGGGCTGTTGTTCGTGTCCAGTTGGGTATTATGGTTCAACATGTCAATTTCGTAAGGAGAAGGAAAAATGTTGAATTGAGAGAATATATGACACGATGTCTTTTTCTTACATGTAAATTAGAATGTCGACCATTTACCTATGGATTCTATTGCTCAGAGACATGTAATTGTTCCACAGAAACATCCGATGGTTGCGATAGTAAAACGGGTAAATGTCGTTGTAAATCTGGTTTCTATGGTGACCGATGTGAAAAGTGTAAGTCAAACGGTGGCAAGCTTCTATAAACGATTATTTTCTTCTCATTTCAAAGCTTGTCCATCGGGACAATGGGGAGAAGAATGTATTAATCAATGTGATTGTAATGGCAGCTCATGTGACTCTCAAACAGGTACATGTATCTGTTCACCAGGTCGAACTGGTCTTCAATGTGAACAAGGTAGATTGCTTTTTTGTCTTTCAAAGTTTGAAATCCAGAGTGTTTTCTTTCATGTTCAAGAATGCCCAACGAATACATTCGGAGTTGCTTGTAAACCTTGTTTATGCCAGTCTTTTGAACTATGTGACGTTGTCACAGGAGAGTGTCAATGTCCGACAGGCTGGAAAGGTGATGCATGTCAATTTCCAGCAACAGCAAACGGGCCCGGTTTGTATAGAATCACGAAAGATATGCTTCATCGAAATTCGAGTTTGATGTTCGTTTCAGATATACCGGAAAGAGGCGATATGTACAAAAAAGATAGTTAAATCAGATGGAAATTGTGTCATATCGGTCAAGTTTATTTTTTTATATTTACTTCTGTAAGTTTTCAATTGTTTTCTTTTGTGTAGTCATTTCAAAGAAAAAAAATAAAAGAACAGATACATATATAACGTATATTCACCCTGTAAAGAGATACTTTGTGCGTAATGCAGAGTGATAAAATCGAATAGATATCAATGAAGTTTGTCTCGGTATAATTTTCGTCTCGAGATCAATATCATCTACGTATTAACACTCTCCCATGAACAACGGATTAGAGTAGTTAAATGATTATGATGAAATTTATTGATTAATCTGAAGATTCACTTTGATAAAGTTAAGAAGAGCGAATAAAATATGCGTCAAGCGAAATGAGATATGCAAAAGCAGAAAAAAGAGATCACCAAAATCCATTGCCATCGGTTTGCCAATCGGGATAGATCGTTTCCAAATCGTCTTTGGTTATAATACGTTTTTCACGAATACGATAGAGTTGCTCAAGTTTTTCATTCACCGGCTGAGTTGGCAATGGACGGAATTGTGCTTTATAACGAATATTCGTCAGATCTGGACGAGGATCTGAGACATAATAAATCGCGATTGATTTGCGGGAATTACCCTCGGGACATTTAATCGGGAGAGGTAAACCGTGATACGACACATCCGATGTGCGAAAAAGCATTGCTGTATTAAAACACGGAGTTAATTTCTTTTCGCATTTTGTAAAATCTTCATTCCATAGTTCAATCGCTCCACCATATTCTTCTTTCCAATCTTTAGTAAAATAAATAATTAAATTCACTCGGCGTTCTTTGCCTGTTACAGGATGAATACTGTAGTCTAAATGCATATCGAGTTTACCACCGGGAACGTGTTGGTGAAGTCCAGCACCGTGGAGATGCGGATCGGCTTCTAAATTATCAATTCCGCTGATTTGTTTGATAATATCAACGAATTCTTTAGTTTGTAGCAGAGCAAATAATTGTTTGAATTCGGGTAGTGAGGAGAAATCGGTTAAAGCATGCTTCTTCTCGATTGGATTGTGATAGACAATCCACTTATGATCATCGCTAACTTTTGGAAATACTTCGTAAAGTGCATCGGCGATTTCTGGTTTGAAGAAATCATTGATTTGAACATTCGGAAATGGTTTGGCATCATTGAATTCTTTGTTCAGAGTTTCGAGATCATTAGTCCATGAGCCAAATGATTCAATACCTTTGCTGAAAAGTCCACTGTTCCCGTTCGTTTCTGTTGACGTGGATTGATTTACGTCCATGTTTACCTAAAATAATTAAACAAAGAAGACAACAAAGTTTATGATCCTTTTTGATTAGTTTCATCGATTGCGATCGGAATCAAATAAAAACAAGTGAAGACGAAGACGAGGCAAAGAACATTATTGAACGGGAAAGTGCGTTACTACGTGGTCTTCATTCAATAAAGAAAAAGAAGGAAATGAAAACCGATGATGCTTCTACATTCTCGTTTTTATTCTTGACTAAAAAAGTTGTCTCATTTTTTCTAGTTTTTCAAAAGACAGACAAGCGGAACTGTCAACAAAATTACTATATTGTCGAAGTAATAACGTGCCAGAAAATGCGACTTGATTATTCTCGCATAGAGAATCCACATTATCTTTGCATTTCAGAAGACTTCTGAGAAAAATTTTGTTCGATTTAGTGTCTATCGAGCAACAAATGCGAGAAAATTCATTTGAATGAGAATGTAGAAATGAGAAATTACTTTGAAAATATTTCTTTTGAATGCAAAACAAAGGAAAATCGTTATGAGAATGGGAAAAAGAACTTTTCTTTAACATACTTTTTCTGTCTACTATTTGAAAAATTTAATGCAATTTTTTTTTATTCTTCAATCGTATTTCTTATGGAGCACTTAAAATAACGACATTATTTTTTCTCTCTCAGATTTTTCTCAACAAGACTTGAAGAACGAAGCATGAGAAGTTTTTTTAAGATAAAAAAAAATCCCTTGCAGTTGCCTACGTTTGGGCGATAGATCAAGATTTTAATAAAATATGATGATTCATTGCTTATTTGAAAGGCATTACAAAGGACATGAACTCACTGAGGCACACATTGTTAAACATAGTAGACCTCCTATCCTATATATATCAAGATTGATGCTGCGAATAGGCCGGTACCGCTGATTTGGATTGAAAGAAATGTATGTTGCCATTTGGCAACATGTTGTTAGACAGTTCTGCGTTAGTTCTTTGAACTTGCGAATGGATATGATAAGATACATATAGAAAAGATGCAGAATATGTGGTATTAACATTTGTTTCTTGTTGTATTCCGGTAGCCGATCGGAAAGAGTTAAATTCCTAGTCAGTAGACGCGTTGTAGTTATGAAAATTAATGATATTTTCCTAATCCTTCGTTTTATTCTGGTGGTTTTAGAAAAGATTACTGAAGGTGAAAGTGAGTTTTAATCTTAATTCTAGTCCGAAAAAAGATAGCATTGGAATTTTTGATGTTATTTATAGCTTATTAGAAAAATAACAGGAAATCTACAGAAATATCCGTTTTATGATGTCTTCCAATGTTTTGTTGTGATTTGCAATGTTCCAATTGTAATTAAATATTGACCTAAACCATATGTGAACATAACAAATAAGCCCGCGACTGGTATCTGTATCACAAATCTATTAAAAGCCAGTATAGTATCTGACAAAACGAAAAATACAGCTCCGATAAAAACCGACCAAAAGCCAGGCAGTTTCTGATCACGCAAATACGAGATATACGCCATACCAACAATGATAAATATATAAAAAACGACAGGTAGAAGTAAACCTTTGGTTTCGTCTCTATCGACTTGTAATTTCGGACATAAAACATAAAGCATCAGTGCAATATATGCTAAAAATGGAACCATGGCGACTATCATTGCTGAAATCGTTAATCGTCGTCTCAATTCTGGTCCTTCATGTCGTAGTCGGACTACGAATGAAATAACATAACTGATGTGCGCAATTAAAAATGAAACTAAACCAAACACAAATAAATGATTTCGACGTTGCATCAATAAAATATCGCCTATACACGAAGAAATCAAGGATATTACTAAACAAAATCGTTCGGCGGATAAGTTATGATGTCCATTGAGAAAAACTAATAATAATAATACAGGCATCAACAGTGGTTTAGATAACCAGATAATGGAATAGTTTTCTGTAATTTCACCGTAAATTTCCGCCATAAGTAATGTTGCGAAGAGTAATGATAAAGATCCAACGTATGCCATGATGATTTTGTTATGTAAGAATGTCGAGAAAATAAGAGAGTTTTGAATGTAAAGAACTGTTTCTCGTTGGTGAAGATAAGAGTCAGTATTGACGAATGAGAAAAGAATCGATTCATTTACTATGCCATTGTAAAGTTAGTGACAGAAAGAGAATCAAATAAATAGTGATCGTACCATGAACTGCATGGCACATGTACCATAAAGAGCAATATTTGCTAAGTAATTTGCTTTCGAATCAATTCTACAGAGAAAATCAAAATATTGCACAATCGTAGATAGCATTTATTCAGTGAGACGATGTTCTTACGCAAATATTTCGTGTTATCATATCGTTTTTTTATCGCATTTATGTAAAATTCTTCTATATAAACTGTCATTATCTTTCATCGTGGTTAAAGCATTTGCTAACGATGCATCTTGTCGTTTTTCTCCTTTTCGTGGTCGGTTGTTCGTGTGATCTAAGAGTTTTAATTGATCAAAACGGAGGTTATAATGTAACAATCAATAACCAATTGTGGCTACGTTCAGCTCGAACAGCAATTTATGCTGATAGTCGATGGTATTCAACAGATAATCAATCACTGCCGTTAGTTGATGTACGTTCTGAGCAAGGTACGGATCCTAATTTAGGTAGTTGGAATGAAACACGTTTGACTTATAATCTTGTTCGTCCTCAAAGTTCAACATCGATTGTTGCTCGTATCCGTCAGTGGAATATCGTTTCGGCATATACGTTTCATCTGGAAACAGGTGATCAAGCTTTAACAAATCAAGTAGTGTTGGATATGGAACAGGTTCGAACGGTATTTCCATCGTTTCATATTGAAAAAAATGATATGGGTGATAATCGCGGATATTTTACATTTGGAGGTAAAATTTCTGTACGATTTTGTTTCTTTGCGAATGAATATTGAATCGTCTTTCTAGGAGCTATGGTTGGCGAAGGTGATAAACACGCTGGTAATTGGAATTCATCGAGTAAAGTGATCAGATCCGGAATGCAAAGTGGACCTGTCGTTGTCTTCAATTTAACCCAACGTGCCGAAGGTGATATGATAGTCATCTCTCCATTTTCTCATTTTATGGCTAGTTCATTATCACAACGAAGTCCAGTTTCGGATAATATATTAGAATATGGTGTGATGGGTTCTATGTCAACCATACCTGCGAATTATGCACAATCACTCATTATTTTCTACTCACCGCGCGGTGTCAATGCAGGAATGCGCGAATGGGGTCAAACCATGCGCCAAGCATTTAATCGAACTACGGAAAACCGTCGTAATGATCTTACAATAAACTATCTTGGATACTATACTGATAATGGTGGTTACTACTATTACAATACTGAACAAGGAATGAATTATGAAGCAACGATGATCAATGCCAAACATCAGATTCCACTTCCGTTCCACTATATCCAACTAGATTCCTGGTGGTATTACAAAGGTATTGGCGAAGGTGTTTCCCAATGGACAGCGCGTCCTGATATATTTCCAGATGGGCTTGTTTCTTTACATCGTCGATTAGAAAATATACCTCTAGCAGCACATAACCGATATTGGGCATATGATACAGTCTACAAAAATAAATATGCTTTTGCTCTTGACGTTGGTAATGGAAAAGCCTTACCGATTGGAAATGATTCATTCTGGTTAGACTTCTTTGTTGAAGCCCGTAACTGGGGTTTAGTTTTATACGAACAAGATTGGCTTAATGTTCAAACAATACAGTTTCTTCCAACACGCACTAACATTGATATTGGCGAACAATGGCTCAAGTCCATGGGTAGTGCAGCCGAACGCGTGGGCATAAACATTCAATACTGTATGAGTTTACCGCGTCATATTTTACAAGCTTTAGAAATCCCGCGTGTTACACATGCACGAGCATCAGATGATTATGCCGTTCATTTAAGAGATCCACAGAAGTCGCAATGGAATATTGGAATATCGAGTATGTTCGCCGATGCAATTGGTTTAGCACCGTTTAAAGATGTTCTCTGGTCAACATCAGAACAACCTGGCTCACCTTACTCAGCAACTGCTAAAGAACCTCTTCCAGAACGAGAGATTCTCATTTCCACACTTTCAACAGGCCCCGTCGGCCCAGGAGATGCAATTAAATATACAAATGTTGAACGAATCATGAAATGCTGTCGTCAGGATGGTCTTATCTTGAAACCTGATCGGCCATTGACAACAATTAATGCATTAGTTGCTGATTGGGCTTTATACGATGGAGTTCCCCAAGGTGAACTTTATTCAACAGAAACAACGATGTAAGATTTTTCTGCTCAATTTCTCTCTTTAAAAAATAGTATTGTCTTTGTAGAAATGATCGAGAATTTTATATCATCTTTGCTTCAGCTATGAAACGAAATTATGTTGTTTATCCATCAATGATTGGCAGTGAATCTGGTGTCATCTGGTCGTACGATAACACAGATGTAGTCTCGATTTTCGATGATACGCATCCTCTTGAAGTTCCTGCTGATAAATGTGGTGATTTAGCAATCTGTGTTTGGTACGTATCACCTCAATGGCAATTCAATGATCCCATTCATACAAAATATGCTTTTCTTGGCGAAAGAAATAAATGGACAGCAGTCAGTCAACAGCGAATTTCTTACATCACAACCAACACCGAAAAAACACAAACCACAATTACTGTTCAAGGTGCAAAATCGGAAATAGTCCCACTTGTCGTTTATCATTCAACTTTACACTCCGTCAATGTCAACTGTTCAATATCAGCTGATAAAGGCCAAGCACAACTGGTTATTACCCCGACCACTGTTACCTGTTCGTAAAGATTTTAAGAAATCCGTAAAGCACTAAGACAAAAATCCATTTATTTACTAAAAAAGACAAGTATTTTTCAAGATTCGCTTCTGTGAATGAAATCATTCTTCATTTTCCTTTTTAAAGAATAAAATCTAGACAATCAGTGGAATGTGTGATCATATGATCATAGCAGTGGGAGTTAATACAAAAAAAAAAGAAGAAGAGATGTAAAGAAAAACAAGATAACTGCAGTTAACATCAAAGAGAAAAGAAAAAGCAAGAAAAATAGCTAGAAAGTCAAATATGTTTAACAAAAAGATCCAGAACAATATTGCAATAGTTGAATATCGTCTAAATCGTAGTGAGAAACAGGAGAATTTAATAGTGTAGAAGAAAACCATGTCACAACTTTTTCAAGGACTCAAATAAACAATTTCGACATTATTCTTTTTTACAGGCAGAATACAGAATGAATATAGACAAAACTGGCGATAAAGAGGCAAAGAATCTTTATTTATATATTGAATAATTTACATGATTTAGTTAACTGATCTTCGTTTTGGAAATACAGTATTGATCGGAGTAGCGAGTCTAACAAGTGAGTCAAGTACAGCGTTCGGCGGATTAAATGATCGATCCATCAATCTACCAAGTGCGCGGACAAAGTCTCGACAGTTGTGTTCTGTTGAATCATAGTTTCTTTTTCTCCATAAATCCTCCATTTCATGGACAGCTTCCAAAATCTCACCCAAAGTCATACTAGTTTCAAACTTGTCATCATAATCAACTGTATTAGAATCACCCATTATGGCAGCACAAGCCGTTTTGATGCCGCGCTTTTTGTTAAAATATTGAATAATGATCCCTTCATCTCCGTACTCGATTGTACAGTAGAATTGTTCACCTTTGAGAAGCCATGCCCAATGTTTTTCACCAAAAGCACGTCCTATACCACGTCCAAGAAACTCAATGTCCACTGAGTGGTTCATTCTTTCGTATTCAGGTAACATATCTTCAATATTATTATGGTCTAAGCAGACAAAACCATCACCATTAGCAGTAACTTTACGGCAAGAGGTGCTTTTTGATCCTGATGATGCGGATACAAACGAAAATACTCCAGACAGCATGCCAGCCATTTCGGTTTTTAATATATAACTTTTTCCAATTTCAAAATAGAATTTTGCGAAGAGCAGTACTTTTATCGCTCCTATTAATATATATTCAAAATGAAATAATAGATCACCGGATTGGTTTGATTATGTTCAAAACTTTGTTTCGATCAACGATGAATTTTGATAAGACCGAGGTGAAATGTGAAAAAATGTATTGCATGAGAAAATACATATCTAAGTGCTTATATATACAAGATGTCCAAACAGACAAAAAACATCATAGGTAAACTACCATGACAAATTAGGAAAAAACCTATGCTTGTGTTACCTGAGTAATTTATTGGACTTGTCTTTCTTTTCTCTACGCAAAATATTTCCTTTCAGCATAATTTTTTATACACATATTTACCTGTATTTGACTCATTTATAATATTAATGGTTTCTTTTTCCCCTCATTAACTCAAACCTATCGATGTTGAACTTGATGAGATATCTTCATATCCTGACACTGACAACATCTATGTTTTTGTGATATCGTCAAATCATACGACGAATAATAACCGTAAGATGTATGATGATTCCGTTTTCGTTTCTTTTTCAGGTGTGATATAGTTGGATACGAACTCGAAAGAACAAGTCAAAGCAAAAGAGGAGTTTTCTGGTCACGAATGTAACGAACGTTAAAACGTGTAATTAGCAAGATATAGTAAAACAAAAGAAATAAGTACTTAATATTGATTAGAATACATATTCAGAATGTATTAGATAACTAAAAAAATGGAAAGTATGACTTGATTAAATTAATACAATTTTACTAAAAATTAATTGATGCCAATCCATTGATCCTTTCTTTTCAAGTGTTTAACATTAATATTATATACATGAAACTGTTCGCTTAAGTTTAATTCGAATTAGACCGGCATCAATTCTTATTCTTTTTTGTTACATAGAGACTAGTTCTAGTACGATATGTTTATGCACCAAAATGACTCAAATTTGCTGAGTCACATGTTTTTTTCTTTCCTCTATTTTGTGACACGGAGGTATTTTCTTTCTTATTCTCTCGCTCCTTATATAGAATTTGTTTCTTTTTTTTACAATCATTTTCTATGTCACTTAAATATTTCCTTGTATTATTTTCCCCTTAAATCGATGTTTAATTGTATTCATTATCGGTGAAGATTATGATTTTTTAAGACATGATATTTGCCACTATGAACCAATCCAAGCGATTCGATTCCTCGCGCAAGTTTTTACACAACTAACATTATCTTCCATTTTTTTGTGAATCTCAATCAGCATTCGATAGCTTGTTTAACAGTAGATTTAAAATTCATATTTTATTTATTCAAAACGTGTGAAAGCTTTTCAAAATCTATTCAAAATCAAATTTCCAAACTCTCTATAGGTCTTTACCTTCGTAAGTTATATCCCTGTTTATCTCCTTTTCTATAGACAAATGAATATCGATAAGAAATATTCGAGTCATCCTCCAATTATCTCTAAAGGAATATTGCGCACAGATGTGTCATAGAGGTTTTATTCCAATATTTCAACATGTTGCATTTGTCTCTTGTCTGTAAGACATGACTCATAAGGGATTTTTCTCTCTAACATAGATTTGATGTGTTCTCCTCGTTGTTCGATTTAAACATCCTTTCTGTTTTCGTGAATGTAGCCGTGTTGTCGTTTGTTCTTTGATGTGCATCCACGTGACTTATAACCTGCTTTTTTGCTAAATATTACATTTCTCTGCCAACGAAGCAATATACCGCATAATTATTTTCTTTATTTTACTATTTAGATTTCATTTCTTATATTCATCGGATACTTTCCAAGAATGTTACTAGAAAAAATTCTTTTCCCTGCACCAAATCCTTCACATTATACATTAACATCACACGAAGAACATCTACTTTGGATTCCATCTAAGAACTATTCAAATGAAACACCGGCAATCCCGTGTATGCTATATTCACCATCACACGAAGCTCGAGCTTTCATTATCTGGTGTCATGGTAATGGATGTGATATTGGTAGTATGGATACGACATTTACAGCACTTAGTCTTCGTCTTCGAGTCCATATACTTGCTTTCGAATATCCTTCTTATGGTTTATTGAAAGGAATAACATCAACACCAAGTGAAACATCGATTAATAAACATGCTCAATGTGCCTATTCCTTTGTTCGTGATACACTTAAATGGCCAACGAATCGAATAATTATCTATGGGCATTCAATAGGAAGTGGTGCTGCATGTCATCTTAGTGCGGAACAAGAAGTCGGCGCACTTATACTTCAATCTCCTTATACATCAATCAGCAATTTAATTCGAGAGAAAATTGGTGTTTTATCAAGTATAATCAGCAGTTCGTTTTGGAATAATTATGAAGCAATGAAACATATTGCATGTCCAACACTCTTCATACACGGAGAACGCGACAATCTAATACCATCACAGCATTCTCAAACATTGTACGATTCTTTCAAATCCACAGGCAACAAGGAGCTTGTGCTGTTACCCGATGATGATCACAATTCAATATCTGATCCAATTCTTAACATAAACATAAAACCATTTATCGATAAGTATTTCGAATCAACAACAGAATCAATGCCTGAGGTTCGAATTGATCCAGCTTTACGTCAGCCACCAACTATAGATTCCACTTCAAACTCTACTCCTTGGCGGTTGCCGACGTTAAGTAGCGTCACAAATGCGTCAAAATCAATGTTCAACTCACTCAGTGGAAAGCCGAAAGACGATAAAGACTAGATTTTCAACTTTCAAACTCATTTCTATACAAGATTCTTTTCGAAATATGTTTACTTTATATATACATAGATCTTCCTTTTTTGTTCTATATAAAAATATCATTTGTGAAGCTATGATTATTATAGCTCCTGCACAACCGAATAAATAATACGAGGCTATTGTAGCCGTTCCTTTTCCATGAAAATGACTTCATTTTCCTTGTAAGATTGAATTTGAACTGCAAATGGCTAAACACTTTGTTTAATACCAGTAGACCAGTTTTTCTAGAGGTTTGTACCCAGTGAAAAAATTCACACTATATCGTATTTGAAATTTATATTTCGTTCGTTAAGTATCATCACTCTCAGTTCTGTATATGTGCCCTTCTGTTCCTTTCCTTTTCGTTTGATTTACTTCTTTCGAATACAGTATGAATCTATGACAGAACAACACAATCATTTATTTCACTCATAGGAAAAAACCATTTACATTGACGATATGAAAGGTAATGCGTCACTTTTGAGGCACCTTGTACTTTCATATACGCAGTTAAATTTACCACCTATGAAAAATAATCTTTCCTTTTCTTTTCTGAAGGTGAGTCGAAACATTTCACTTATGTGATAATAATACGGGAAATATCCAAATGGGATTCGTCCATCTCGCAAGGTCTATATAAGAAGGAATCGATATGTGTGCTTTGATTCATATTCATATTTAAAGCACATAACATTTGAAATGTAAGTAATACAGTAGCCATTTTTATTGAAAGTTTTTCTTTCCAATGAACAGCATCCTCTTGTCCTAATAGAATTTTTCTCATGTTAAATGATTAAATTATTGGATGTTGAGAATGCTTTCAGTCAAATACCACTGTGGAGATGACATTTGAGTTCTGTGTAAAACATAATAAAAGAATATTATTTTATTTTGTTCAACACTGATCACTATCATTTCGTATTCTGATACTTATCTCTACTGTTTTTGTTTCGTCTAGATAAAATGGGCAGTGAACAATCTCACTCTGAAAGTAGCAACGGTAACGATGTCCGAACTGTTGTGAAAGTATCCATTCCACCCAGTGAACCAAAAACAAAGCGTCGAATTGCTACCGATGACATTGATGCAATCTTGGATGAAAAAGCAACAAATGGAAATGCATGAAGAAATGGAAAGAGCAATTATGTTTGTGTGTCTATTCGAAACAACAAAAAGACATCTAAATGACTTTTATATAAAACTGTAGATTGCCAAAACTTGTTTTTCATTTTAACGAAATGTTCTTGAATAAAAGCTCATCTCTTTTGAAATTCCACAACGTAATATACACTTTTCTCTGATTTATCACACAATGTCAATATGTGACAGCAGTTACAATAGAAGCAAGCTAGCTTTCGACTTGCTTCATTTCACAGGTTTCTGACAGGATAACGGTTTATCGTAACAAATATTCATACAGGTACAAAAGACATGTTTGCAGCCGAATCAGCATGAATCTTACAAGAATGCTGAAATCCATGTCAGCGACGACGTTCTCGTACATCTTGAGCGATACAAGTATTATATTAATCCTACCCTCACTCTCTTGTCGGATATCTGTAGAGCATGTAGATCTTCTATTCTATTATTTATTATATCATTTTCTTGTATATTTTCAAGATTAAAAAACGAAAACATCAACGATGAATATTCAAAGGACTTGTTACTCCAAACAACACTATGTGTGTGGATGTGTTTATGTTGACATCTAGATAAGATTAATCGAACAAACCATATTAGAGAATACACAAACTATGAGAAAAACATCTACTACATTATACATATAGATTAACAAACAACGAGACAAATACAAAGGCTTCTTTCTTCAAAAAGAAATGATATTGCCGACAAAGAAAATATGCAAAAACAAAAACATCACAGTAAAAGCCTATTCTTCCAAGTAATCTTCATTATTAGTTGCATGCCATGTTCGATTTGATGTATCTAAAAGAATTCAGTAGTTACGAAAAAAGATTATTGAAATAAGACATACCATTTGTGGGTATTTTCGATGAATATCTCGCTTTCTGAGCTGATGATGGTGGACGAGGAATGTCTACAGGTCGATTTGGAATACCTGATGATGACGGTGGTCGAGCAAGATATGAATGATTATGTTGAAAATTTCTCGATGTATGTTCATCGCGAAAACTAACAGATGGACTTCCACGTGCACTCTATAAAAAAGACTTTTTTCATGGAAAGATTTCAATAGATCGTTTAACATACGAAAGAGTGACTTCGTCGTAAACCTCCATGATGTTCATTTCGGTCATTAGATCGACCACGTGTTTGATGTTCTTTGCTCGTGTTGAGATCCGATTCAGTTTGATGAAGAACACTTGTCCCTTGTTTGCGATGTTTAGCGATTAAAGATTCAAGTTCGCTATCATCATTATCTAAGTAGTTAAATCGAAGTGTATCTGATGGATTTCGACTAAAAGTCAAAGCAAAAAGATAATCGATCAGAATTAACGAGAATATTTCCGTACCTGTTGGCACGCCATGGTGGATGTTCGACTTTTCGGTTTGCTACTGCTGACGAAGATAAATGAGATTGATTATGTTGATTACGAGTAGTATGGTGCGAACGTGAGGTATTCTGACGTGAAGATAATTGATCATCGTAATAACCACTTTGTGTACGATGAGAATAATCCTGTTAGAAATACGAGGAATTTACACATCGGTATGAAGAAATTGTCAAATGAACTTCGTTTGCAAAAGAAAGTTAGCGAGATATTTACAAATTTTCCTCTGTTCATAGTTTGTACACATGAGTCAATCATCGATACATTTGCATCAAAATACGGTTTTAATGGTATGAATACATTCATCTGATTTACGAGATTAATGTAAGGTTAAAAAATCTCTTTTTGATCTTACACGAATGGGCATTGTTTGCAACGCTTGAATATTGAACGAATAAACGCGTTTCCAGACGTTACTTTCATACGGCGATGGGGTTTGTTTTGTTGTCCAACCAAAACGAAGACATTTCGGCATCCAGATTTGATCGGATTCAGTTAAAAACTTCCAATACCAACAAACCTTTGTTTCAAATAGAAAATCACACATGGAGACTGAAATGAATGTGATGATTTACTTGTGCGCAACGACAGAGACTGCGTGGATCAAGAAATGAAAATATATAAAGACTAAGAACACGTGGAAACAGTCGAGTGAAATCTTGGTGATGCGCAGGAAACCTTTTCGTTAGTAAATTTCGTGTATAGGTCAATTGACGTGGACGAGATTGTGCCATAAGATCATCTAGAGCAGCTCGACGTTGATCATCAGTCCATTTTTCAAACTAAAATTCGATGTTTTTCAAAAACCAAACTCTTGAGAACAATACTCACCCATTTATTAAGCAATTGTCTTCTTTCCTCAAACAACTAAAGAAATAAAACATAGTAGTTTCCTCGTGCATTCAACATTGCGTACCCTTGCGTTAGTTTCATCATCTTGTAGTGGTGTCCACGTTGAATACAAACGACTTTTTCCTTTTCCATTTAATTTCTGTGATGCTGTTGACATACCTGTTCGATCCAATTCCTGTCTTAGAATCGATTGTTCTAGTTTTGCTGTTGTATTCAAACCGTTGGTTGTTGTTTGATGTTGTCGATTTCGTGTCGGTGTCGTTGAACGAAATTGCGCACTTGACGGACGCGCTGGTCGTCGATTACCGGCAATTTCATTGGGATTTGGTGGGTAGTTATGTGAATGTGTTGATGCATTCATTAAATCAGTCGTCATTCTGACCTTCGCGCGTAAGATAGAGAGAAAAAGTGCACGCGATTCATTTAGTTACGAATCCGAATCGTTGCTTAGCAACAACTGAAGAGGAAAAAGTATGATGCATTCTGCATAACACATCAATGCACTTTAAGATACCCAGTTCGATTAGATTGGCTATTTGGAGTCGATTGAATTCAATCGGGATGAAGAAATTTCTTTCTTTGTTCAGTTTAAAAACTAATCGTTCGCCATTCGGTAAAATTTCTCGTTTTAGATGACCGATGAGAAACTTTCGAAACCGAATTCGTCGGCATGGAATTTTGAGCATTTACAACACGAAGATGAATCAGCGAATACAGAGGATTTTTTTTCTGTTTTGAAAAAAAATATCTCGAAAAATGTTTATCTCGACGAACAGACTGACTCAACTGAGAAAAGTTCGAACGATCAACGCTCCGGAACTGTTCGCGTAGATAGTAGTGATCTCATCTCACGTTGTAAACAGTTTTTACCATTGTTAACTGATGCAAATCGGACGTTATTCTCCCAAATGAAGTCTGGCGAAAATGTTCGAATCGAATTAGATTCCGATGAAGACGATAATGAGAGTCGACGAATTGAAATGGATCTTATGTTTTGTCCAAACGAAGAGTCAACCTCTCAATCGGACGACAGTTCTGATGATGAACCATCCAACACAAAATTACTTCCAATCTCTCAGGAAAACAAATCAGTTCGTATTGTTGAACTCTCTTCCACAAATACCGATCAAGCTGGTGCTGACGATGTGAAGAAAACAGATGATATTGTGAATAAATAATTTTTAGTCATCTCGATGTGATTCTTTTGTTCAAAATTTAATAGAAGTCATTTCTAGATATGTAAAACATTATGTCGTTATCGATAACGAATTCTGGGCTGCCTCCTTCGACTACAACATCAACGACGTCGATCGATCCAACCAAAAATGTTGAGCCACTTGCTGTTCGAGGTCGGACGTCCTTTTCTATTGGAAGAGAAATATCCTTTACGCTTTCGATTTTTAGTTATGCGATTATCCAAACCAGCTTTGTATCAAAATATTCCAGTTTACGGTGAAGAAGAATCATCTTCATCAGTAGATGCATTTCTTACTGGACAGTCACATGATATGGCAATCGGAGATGATCATTCAGTGTTAAGTCATTTACTCGTCCTTCCATATAGTTTTGGGTAAGTTCACATTGACTTCTTACGATTGTTTTAATGATTTTCGGCAATAGGAATGTGTTTTTGGGTGAAATATTTTCTGCTATTGTTGCTTTACATAATCAGAGTGATCAGATACTTCACGATGTGATTCTAAAAGTAAGATTGACTGAAAATGAAATGAGCCAATTGCATTTTCTCGATTGTAGACAGATATTCAAACGGCTACGCAACGGATTACTTTGAATGTCACTGATCAAATCGATTCGAATAAACTTGAATTAGCACCTGATCAAAGTATTTCACGGGTTTTGCAACATGAAGTTAAAGAACTTGGCAATCATTCGTAAATAGACAAATCTACTGGGTTATTTATCTAAACGGACGAAATAAATCTTTAGTTTAGTGTGCACTGTGACGTGTACCGATCAGAACGGCGAAAAACACAATTTAAAAAAAGTATTTAAACTACCTGTAAGTTATAATCACGATTTCAATATGATTTACTCAAAATTGATCTTAGGTGGGCAAACCAATTGATCTTAAGACGCGATTTATTTTGGGCGCAACGGTAAGGGTCGTATGAAACTCATTCTTGTCTAATCTTTGTATTGAATAGCATGATGAATATTACATTGTTGCCGATATTCAAAATCAAACGCCAACGATTCTGAATATGACGTTCGTGTTCTCATCATTTGCATTTTCTCTGATGATCTGCTTGATTTTTTTAATAGGACTGTAGATCTAGAGCCATCACCTGCATATACAGTTACAAATATGAGTAATCTTCATCATGAAAATTCCGAAAAGTATTAGCGATGTTTGAAGTCGAGTAAATAGTTTTGTAATTTGTAATGTTTAGTTCACTCTGTGAGCCATGGCGTTTCATTCGTCCGACTGAAACGACAACTTACATGTTTTATTTAAAACCTCGAAAAGACGCCACATTTGAAGAAATCCATTCAACGCCGACCTTGGGCAAACTTGATATTGTCTGGATGTCGGGTTTTGGCGAACGCGGTCGTCTACAAACCAACCAACTTCCCAAACCAGTACGAAGTCAAATCTGACTTTTCCTGTTTCTAATCATTTTTTTTTCTTAGACTCCATCGATCGCTACAACTAACTTAGGATATCTACCTGATTTACGTATATTTTGTATGCGCGGCTTAGGTCAATGTCAAGTTGAAGACTCACAAAAGTTTTCTATAAGAATTCTGAATTGTACACAACGATCGATGGATTTATCGTTATCGTTTGATAATATATTTTCCAAACGTGAACAGTTTTTGTGGATCGGAGTTATTAGTAAACAATTGGGAAGATTAGAGGCACATCATACATATGATATCGATATAGAACTTGTTCCATTAACATGCGGATTGAAAGTATGTTGAAGAAAAGGCAAATTTCGAATATTTTATCTTCGATTTTCTTTTTTTTTGTAGAGAATTGGTGGTTTGAAATTAACAGATTTATCAATGAGACATACATATGATTTCGATGATTTTCATCATCTGTTTGTTCTACCTAAAATTGTGCATTAAACAGTTTCCTTTTTTTAAAATATATTATTTATTTTTGCTTGATAATTTCAAACATTGGTGGAATCAATTTATCTCCCTTCTCTTTCAGATAAATTCGCTTCGAATATCAATTTAAACAACAAAATCATGTCTGCTGAAGGTGACGTCAATCCCAAAGCCTATCCATTGGCTGACGCAAAGCTTACCAAAGATATTCTGGAACTTGTTCATCAAGCACACAACTACGTAAGTAGAACCCACTTGAAACATTGAATATCATTCTGTCGGAAAATCTTTTCAGCGTCAACTACGCAAAGGTGCCAACGAAGCAACAAAAACACTTAATCGTGGTAAATCGGAATTGATCAGTAAGTGAACATTTTCAGTCGAATATGCGGCAAAAACTTCTTGATTTGTTTAGTTATGGCTGCTGATACAACACCGATTGAAATTTTGATGCATTTACCATTATTATGTGAAGATAAGAACGTTCCGTATGTATTTGTACGAAGCAAACAAGCCTTAGGTCGGGCCTGTGGAGTTACGCGTCCAGTGATTAGTGCAAGTATCACGGTTAATGAAGGTTCACAATTGAAACCGCAAATTCAAACATTAAAACAAAATATTGAGAAATTGTTTACATAAAATCAGCAAAACGATAAGAAGAATATGTGTTTTGAAGAAAAGAAAGAAAATGTTTTGTTCTTTTTTTCTTTTTTCTTTTGTTTTTCTTGTTATTTCTGTGTCACCGTTATTTGTGTTTGATGAAATGAAATAAAAAAAACACATCATGTAGGAATTCATTCCGTTTTATTTATGAGGAAATACCCTTTTGCTCGAGAAAATTTCAAATGCAATCTTAGAGAAATCAACAAAATGCACATATCAGTAGCGCTAACGATTGACTGAACCCCTAAGCGCTATATGTTACCTTTCATGTTGTTTTACAGGTACAAAAAGCATTCAAATCTTGTGTTTTCCTTCTAGTTAGAATGATAGCAAGTCCGAAACGTTCAACAATATCATCGTCGTCTTCAAGCTTAACCGATCTACTTCAAAAGTTATACGGAACTATCACCAATCTTAAGTGTAATCACGAAAACGAGCTTGGACAGTTAACTAAACGAATCAGCGAACTGGAAGATGAAAACAAACGTCTACACGCTCTGCATGAGCAACATCCACATTCGATTTTCGATATTGACTATATACCTGCTGATTCGTCGGTAGCTGATCATTTGCGAAGAGATCTCGCAAAAGCGCAAGATCAGATTAATGCTTTACAAGCTACACTCAACGAGAAATGTTCGGAATATGAAGACATGAAATCGAAATACAATTTACAACTTTTCATGAACAAGAATAACGTTGGCCAACAGAATTCCTCATCGGATTCAGGTAAATCCAAGGACTTAGAAATGAAATTTAAGCAAGTCAAAGAGCAAATTGATCAATTTGATCAATGTCATTACGAAAGTGAAGAACAAATTCGTCTTTTGAAACAAATTCTTTTCAACAATGAATCGCAACAGAGTAAAAGTTCATCGCAAAGTTTCTCAGTTAAACAATCGGATTTGTCGCAACAAACTAATTATGTGGAAAGTCTTTTAAACAAACAACAGGAAAAGATTTTAAACAAACTCGAGGAGTTACTAAATCAAAACCCTGAACTTAGCCAATCAATAACGACGAAACCTAGAAAAGGCAGAAAGAAACGATTATAAGTCATTTCGTAGTTTTTTTTCCTTCTTTCTTGTTGTTTGTATATAATATTTAACTGGATTTCCTTTTTTTTTGTTTATTACATCGCCAAATAAACAGTCACACTCAAATGTGGAGTGAAAAGTATTTCTTTTTATTCAATGTCAGCGAAGCATTGCTATGAGTTGAACATCTCTAATGCTTTAATTAGATGCCACGGGTTGGGTTTTGATGTAACATAGGTTTATCCAAGAGAACAAGTGAAATCTAGACTGCGAGAGGATTGCAAGGGCCAGATGACTTGGTACAAAATGTGTTAGCATGAATTGAGCAACTGAATCAAACGCTTCTGTAGTTCGCCTTTGTCTAGATTCCATGTCACCATCAAAATTGAACAACGAATCAATCTGTCTGAACGATAGATTAGTTTGAACTTTGATCCGGAATGTAGCGAAAGCGTTTCTTGAAGTGCGATTGTAAGAAGAATGGAGGCACATCGAGATTGGGTCGAATTGCTCGATGGTCCAGTTCGTCCATGTCTCGTAGTCTTCATCAGTTCAAAACCGATTGTCGACGTCGAGATAAGATGCTAGCTGCGATTCTTGAATGAGACTTAGAAGATTGTTAATAAGCGTCTGACCTTCGTCAGTAGTTAAAGACGTTGATATTTTCTTCCTCTTCCCCGTCGAATTATTCTCGTCTTACAGATTTATTTGTAAGATCGAAAATCAAGTTTGATAGATCAAATGTGTTCTCTTTGACTGTATATCTGGGCCAATTGCATACACTGTGACACGTGTGAATCGTATACATCGCGTATGCTCAATCTGGGTACATTTGGTTGTTGAATAAGTGGCTAATTAGAGAAATCTTAGCACAGTTACGTCCAACATATCGCATGGTCGAATATGCACATAGCGATTTTTTCTCCACGAAGGAATTTCTTGAAAAAAAATATGCAGAAGCATATGTCTCATGTTTCCACTCTATTTTAAATTGAATTCAAAGGGTGGCATATTTCATCACAAATCCGGCAGGGCCCTTTAACCTGATTGTTGTATTCGTGTTAGGGTACGTTCGAATCTATATGAACTTTTTGCTGTGTCTCGTCAGTGATCTTAATCCGAGACAATAAGAAAACCTTTCTCTAATGTTCGATTCTCGATGAAATAATGTACTGAATTGACACCAGATTTCATCTCTAAAACACAAGATTCATATGAATACTGACGATGGAACGAGAGTATATTAATGGTACGACACTTGTTGTATTTTAGATTATCCTAATAAACTTTTATCTCAAGATTTTGTCTGAATCCTTTTTAAGAAACAAATTACGCATCAGATAATGATGGCAGTCCAGAATATATTTATGGAGCCATTATGAAGCCTTGTCGACGTTCTATCAATTGAAATCTACTCGAGTTCGATGCGATTTGAAGCATCAATAATTACAAATATACACAAATTTAATCAATGGTAGTCGATACTTAGTTCGAAAGAAAATTCTGAGCGTTTTTATCAAAGACATCACCTTATCTCATGTATTTTGACAGGTTGTTTGAGACCGGCTTAAAAGAACGTTAGATTTTCTATGATTTAAGGGAAGTATTTTGAGGTCATAGGAGCTTTTTCTTTCTATTAGCTTTCTATTATATAATTCATGACTTCACATGAGCTTCTTGTGTCTTATTCTACTCAATCAAGTGTCATCAGAGCTTTCTTTAGTTTGCCAAACAAATTCAAATTTAATTTCGTAGGATTAAAGAAAATCAATTTTCTCATCCTTTGACAAGAAATAATTGTATGTTTTTTTTAATATTTCAAAAGACTTTTAATAAGCAAAGAGGATTATTCTCAAGTCAAAAGTTGCTCTTCCATCCTCTTCATGACATTGAACTGAGATTGTTGTGCTGCTTTTTTTCTCCTCTGAACAAGAAGCCCATGTTCACCATCAACAATTAATCAACAGATTCGATTTCAAAGAGAGAATTCATATTTAATGAATTTTTGTTTTTATTCAACGTTTATGATCCGATTTTCCGCGTCTTTAAACGACACATTTTCCTTCATTGTCTTCGATCGCTTGCGGAATTGATATTCGTACAATCAAACAATAGACATACTCCATTCGTCGATTATCTTTTGAATAATTTACTTCTTCTCTTTTGCTTGACACAAAAGAAGAAAGAAGAATGTGTTTCTCACGATGTTCAAAAGACGAAAGTCTTCAAGACTTCAATTATCAAGAAGAAAAAAATGAACAACCACTCGAATTTGTCAATTGATGCGCTCTAATGAATGTCATGGGACATACAGGTAGATGACAACTGTGATTGACGTGTGTGCGTGCCACTGTCACGCACATTCATCTCGAAGCTAAAGAAAAAAAACGTAAATTAATTGCCATTTTTTTTTTACTGCACATGTCGCAGAATAGAAGAAAGAACGTACACACGAAAGAACATTCCTTTCGGATTTCTTTTTCTGAGTTAATGTATTACCATATTAATTAGATCAACATATAGAAGAAGAAAAAAAAATGCCATGAGGTAAACAACATACATTCTCTTCGCTTAAATATGATAAGTGTGTACAAAGATGATCAAACGTATATATATACACACACATTTCTAGTCTATGGTAATGTGCGTGGTATGTGAGAGTGTCTCAAGCTTATCTTATTCTTTATGCATATCATTTGATGAGCAAAGTCAATATTGTCAATAGAGACGATGATAAAGAAACACAGGTGTCTAATGTAGTTAAAGAAAAAGAAATCAACGACGAACTTCGGTATTCGTATATGATGCATTTTCGGCGTGATACGCCTGAAGATATCGAATTCAATTTGACGTTGGCATCATAACAAGTTGTTCACACGAGCTAATCCTCTATTTCAAGCTGAAGAGAACAGAGAAGCATACTGTTTGTACTCATAGGGTTGAAAATTTGATGTTATCGAAAAATTGTTTTTTCATTGGCTTAGATGTCTCTTATTTCTGATTGGTCCGAAGAAAAATCAGGTTTTTTTCTTTGCGTTGATATGGAGAAAAAATTTGATTGGATAAAGAGAAAAAGAAAAACATACACATTGCTTGTCAATCAAGAACGACTAACGATCGTCGCGTGATACAGTCGTTTCATTACCGTGGAATAAGAGAAATAGGAGAAAGAGAAGGAGGGAGGGAGAGAGAAAGAGAGAATGAGAGAGAAAAAGATTGTGCGTGTTCGATGTTTTTTTTCATCATCAGTTCTAATCTATTTGAAGTTTGAGACGATTCCTATTCATTCATTCATTTACATTGGTATATCTTAACTAAGACGAAAAAAACCTGGTAAGTATTTATTTATGAGTTTAACCGAGATTTATCTCGATGTTACCAAACATACTGCCTCTGTCGTCTTATTCAATCATAAACGCATGAAATTTGACACGTGTTAATACCGATTGAAGATAGACTTATCCCAGTTAAAGTAGAAAGAAGAAAAAAAGCCAAAGACTTTGATTTGTTTAAGAAAAAGGAAAGCTGAAGATTAGATTTTCATGTGGTTATTTGTCTTCTAGCAATCGTGGCTTCCGTTAATAGTACCAGTGCAGCAGCCAAGTATCCTTCGCCGCCATTAGGTGATTATTATTCGAACTATGTCGCTGCAGCGTCATCCATGGCGGGGAGTGATCCAACTGCATTGAAGTTTGGATATTCTGATCCGACGAAAGGCGTGCAATTTGCTTTTGGTTTTCCTCAACATCCCGATTCGTTTTCGGCATTATCATATAATGGTAAAGTTTATTTGTTCTTCAGTAATCAATTATTCATTTTTTTTATTCTTAAATAGGCTCATCACAAAGAAAACAAAGACGTGAACGAACGACATTTACCCGCGCACAACTTGATCAGCTTGAAACATTATTTGATCGAACACGGTATCCTGATATATTTATGCGTGAAGAAGTTGCATTGAAAGTCAATCTACCCGAATCGAGAATACAAGTATGAAAGTTCATTGCAAGAGACTNGTTAAATCTACACGTGTATGAATAAATGAGAAGGTTTTTTGTTTCTCTTGAAAATGAGACAATGATCGGCACGTTAAGTAAATTGATAGTCGATTTCGATCAGGTGTCGAATTCATATCAACTAGGAATAGTAAATGACCAAATGGCACGTTTTGCGTTCGTTTTGTTTTTCACATACATACATCAGAAATCATTCGTTTTCTCTTTCTCCTCCTACTCAATATGTATTTAGTATGATAACTGTAGATGCACATGTTCGAGAAGAATTCGATTTGTTAGCTCACGTCTCGATAGTCAATTGAGAAAAGTCTTTTTTTTCTTTCGTATATTCATATCAATAAATGAATACGATTTTCAATCGAGAATTTTTATGTCATTGACGATAAGGATCAAGTGGTTTTGAAACACTTAGTTTTGTTTTATCGAATACAAGAGTAGAATAATGTTTGAAGACAAAGTGATTAGATTAAATAAAGAATGTCTGTGATATATATGCCAATGACAGATTTAATAGGTTGATGATTAAAGAAGATTTTCTATTTTCAACAAATAATGACAACTGAGGATTGGTACATGACAAATTTGTCCTTTGAATACAAAACTTCTTACCCATTCAGAACAGCAAAGAAATAAGTCTATGTTATTTTTCGAGACTTACTGACCTAACTTTTGCATTCGTCGGGAATAATTGGAATGGTGAAAATCTCCGAGATGCAATTTGTCATGTGGATTTACGGTAATGGTGAATGGAATAAAGTGTTATTTCTTTTCAAAAACATCAAAAAACAATTTGAAAGTGCATTATATTCTTCGTTGTCGTGCAGAAACAGGAAAACGATATTCTCATTCACAGTTGAACTGATTTCGTGCGTTTTTTGCTAATATAGATGTCGACATCGTTTTCTTTTCTCTTCAATAGTTGTCTCTAGTGGTACACAACGTCGTTTTCACACTGGCTGGTCTTATCAACCATCCGATAAGGTGATCATTTGACAGTCACATCACATTTAAAAGCGAAAAACGTTTGTTTTCATGAAGGACAATCTTTTCTGTATATATGCTAATTAATATTTTATAATCAAAGAAAAGTTAATCAAAATGGGTTTCGATCTACAACGGTTTCCAAATGGTGTTGATGAAGAATTGACGTGTACGTATATTGATTAAGATATTCATGGCAGACATTTGAAAGTATCACTGTAGGTGCTATCTGTGGTGGTGTTCTTCAAGATCCTCTTCATGCTCCGACATGTGAACATGCGTTCTGTCAAGTAAAGTCGATAATCGAGAGTCATCCATCGATTTCGAACGTTTAAAATTTCCTAGGTTTGTATAAATGAGTGGCTTTCACGTGTTCAAACGTGTCCCATCGATCGAACGCCGATGGAATCGGATCAATTGAAACCAGTTCCACGAATATTGAAAAATTTACTTAGTCGGTGAGTTCTAGATTAAAATTTACTTGTTAGCTTGATTATGTTCATTGACTAGTTTGAACATCACGTGTGAAAACGAAGGCTGCACGGCAATAGTCAAGTTAGACGCATTAGCAAATCATTTAGCAGAATGTGATTTTAATCCAAAGAAATTAGTTGAATGTGAAAATGGGTGCGGAATGATGATATCAAAAGATAATGTTGCTGTAAGAAAATCCTTTCGTTTATCATGTTGGAATTCATTCTTTTTTACAATTAAATAGAGCCACAATTGTATTCAAGCACTAAGGAACGAACTTGTTACTGTTAAAAGTGAATTACAACGATACCGAACTGATATGGATTTGTACAAAGCAGAAGTGCGAACACTTCAAGTAAGTTTTTCATTGTTTGCGTTTTCCCGGTTAATCTTGATTTTGTAGGAATTTATTCGTGTTCTTCGAATGAACAATCCGACAATATCGCGAGTGTATGAACGAGTGGAAAATGACGAGATTCTAAGGTAAAATCGAACGAAAATATCAATTGTAATTAATTTCGAAGAATTTAGATGGTCAGTAAGTTTGCAATTAGCACGTGTGACACGTTGGGGTGGAATGATATCCACTCCTGATGCTGTTCTACAAGCAGTTATCAAACGTGCTTTATTAGAAAGCGGTTGTCCAATCAATATCACTAACGATCTTATGGAAAACGCACATGAACGACACTGGCCACAAGGTTTATCGACACTAGGTTCGTTGAAATCTTAATCGAGAATAAATATTCTCATCGATTATGTTTAGAAACTCGACAAGTGAATCGAAGACATTATGAAAGTTATATTTGTCGACGTATTATTGGTAAACAAGCAGTTGTAGTACTGGGATGTGACAATCGACATATGGATCAACTGATGAGTAAGTCAAGACGAGCATTTTGTTTGACAAATTGTCTGTGTGGATTTTAGTTGCAGAACCAGGTATTGTCATGATATTTGCACATGGTGTGGAATAGAAGTCAAAATGAAGATATTTATTTCTATATGCGATTATTAGTATCTGTGTTAATTCGTCGAAATGAATTATGTTCTTTTCTTTTTCTGATATGATAAACATAAATATAAAAGAAAACATTTTATACGATTTTTACGCAAAATGACAACACTCTTCGACTGAATGTGATTATTAATTACCTAAGATCAAGTCTTTCATCAGAAAGATTTCTAAGTGCGATGCCGGCAGTTTTTCACTTCTACTTGATTAATTTTTCTAATGCAAAAAATAGTCTGTTTCAAGTGGAGAGAAAATCACGTTGCTCGCTTTCTCATTTCAGTCTGGAAGTGGTTTGAAAGAGCGGAATAGAAGAATCTACTTCCTGAGAATCGAGAAGTCTGATTTTCTATCGATTGGTTAATTAAGATGTCGCTAGTGAAAAAGAAAACAAATCAATCAAAGAAAATACAATTGATTTTGATTTGCAAATGTCAATAAATAAATGAAGAAAATAAATTTCTTCAAACAAATTCATTTCACTCAGACAACATCTTCACGGAAAAAAATGTAAACAAACAAAAAACAAGATTTAGTCTATGGTTCGTTTAGCTGGTGAAACCGAGTTTTGTTTCCATGGCATGTCGTCATCTGACATTCGAAATCGAAATTACTCTTTCGAGATCAAATTTGGCTCTTATCATCAGAAGGTCACCATTACAATGAGTCCAATTAATCTCACGATGAACACACTACGCGAAGTGGCCATACGGTTCATTGAAACAATGGTTTGACTCGTTAAGAAAGTGAAAATCATCGAGTTGTATTTGTCTTTAGTGTCCGGATCAGAATATCAAACATTTACAAAACCGAATATTGTTATTCCGACATGAACCATCTGCATATGCAACGATAATACCACTCAAACCAAAAGATATTCTTGCGCCGGATACCATCGTTGAAGTAATTATATCACGTAAGTCATTGAAAGGAAAAAAGGAAATTCACACACCTTGAAATGTTTTGTTGATTGAATATCTTCATCATATGTTTTTCTTTAATTAATATATAAATATAATCAAGCTAATTTCGATGTAAATGTCACTAGAAAGATATGCTCTTGAAAGAGTTAATATTCGTAGTGTTCACAAATGTATTTACATTCATGATCAAGCATAGATACAGTCAATCGGATATGCGTGTTTAAGAATGTATAAAGTGGAAGCATAACAGTCAGACGACGAAAATATGTCTGATCTTCCATCATTCACCATCCGTCTTTGTCGACAAGACTTTGCTTTCTAATTGAGAGCAACTATGATTACGTGCAAACTGATCAGATTTCGCTTTCTATTTATCATTCTTTTTCCATGTTTACATAGAATTTCGCTCTTTGTATACCCTCTCTATTCTTCATTATCATTATTTTCCTTTTCTTTATTCTCTATCTATCACTTTCTCCCTCTCTATTAGTCTCGTATAACTTTTCTTGGTATGTTTTCTTTTCTTTTTTTAATCAAAAGCATGCATTTGCTAATATATATGATGTATAAAGAGTGCTTAGAGCTGCGTTCTATACCGGTTTGAAGAAAGGCGAGCATTTCCGTTTTTTTGCTTTTCTTTATATATATTCTATTCAAATCCAGGTAATAATATCGTTTTCTATAGTCAGCTTCTATTGATTTATTTAATATATATATATTTGTATTTGTCAATGATCTCGATGTGGGATCAGGTTTTGATTTATAGGTTTCTGTTTTGCCCTTACTCTATTGACAATGATAACGGATGCTTATCGCACGTTTGCTCGTCTTACACATGTCAATTTGATATCTGTTGCCTACGACAAAGACAACACGTGCTTGTCGAGTATTCGTCACACAGGAGAGCTGAAAAACTATGCCATAGACAAAAGAAGAATGTGTATTTGCGTATGGTGGCATTTCTGTAACTGTCTTTTTCGACTGATACTGCGCGTTGTAACGCGATTATTAACAAATAATCAAAGCAAAGAAGAGAACGAGAAATATAAGCGGATCTATTCTTATTAATGTGTTAGACTAGAATACAAATCAACTGTTTTCTGAAGTTGAGAACTAAAAACGCGAAGAACAAAGACATTTTTTTTTCTTCTTTATTCATTGATTTAACGAAATGATGTTAAAAAAGAAAGATAAAATGTCCCCTTTTATTACAATGTTATCCGCTTGTATAATCAATTTAATTATACGGCTGATGAATTTCTTCATATTCGCTGAAATATGTCCATAAATTATATGCAAGAAACTTCACACATATCTATTTCCTCCAGAGCAGTCTTTTTTCTCTTTACTTTTCCTTTTTTTAACTATTGTTGTTAGTAACTAATATTTACTTATTCATTAGGTGCAAATGAGACGATCAAAAAGAATATTGGATTTTGTCGAATGAGACGAAGAACATTTCGCAAAAAGATTTCATCGAGTTTTTGCCCTTCTCTCGTTTCTCTGCTTTTTTTTCTCCTTCGAGTCAGATTTGATTAATCAATTGATCTATAACGTCAATACTTCTTCGTCATAAACATCGACAGATCGGTTCATTTTGCCTTTCTAGCATACATCATGAGTGACTGCACGCGTCTCGTTCCACATGTCCTCAGTTTACACACATATTTATCACCAACATTTTGTGACTTATGTGGACAATTTCTCTTCGGTCTTTATAAACAAGGAATGAAATGTGAAGGTAACTTTGACTTGTTCTATTTCTTTCATAAAAATCGACCCAGTTCTCTTTTTCAGGATGTGCCCGCAATTTCCATAAACGATGTGTATCGGATTTGCCCGATAACTGTTCGCCTATGGCAAGAAAAATATCCGATGTGGCATGTTCACACGATGATGATGTAAATATTATTCGATAGACTCCTAGGGAATCGAATAGAATATGAAAGAAAAACACTACAGTTGTTGACTAGAGATACACTAATTGCATGCACAACACTTTCGTCCCATGCTAATCCAAGCTGACTGAATTTATGTTCGAATATGTAAATCTCTATTCTGATTGTTTTCAGGTTACCAATGATGTCAAAAAACGTTTAACATTAACCGGCGCGGAATTACCTACTGAATTACCACATTGTTTTTACGTTCATAGTTATCGTTCTCCAACAAAATGTTACATTTGTAAACGTTTACTCAAAGGTCTCGTTAAACAAGGATACCGGTGTAAAGGTAGACGAGCGGAACAAATCGTCATAGCAGATGAAGTATCTTTCGTATTTTAGATTGTAAGATAAGTGCTCATAAAAAATGTATTCCGAAAGTAACTAAAAATTGTCGAGGAATGGCAATGCAAAACAGTAATCAAGGTAAAATTTTATTAGAAGTATAAGGAAAATGAATTTTATGTCTTGTTAATTTCTGAATAGATGATGATGAATCATCTCGTGATACCAGTGATGATTTAACAGTTAATACTCGATTACGAGATCTTTCCTCATCACCCATTAATTGTCCTCCAGATGAAGATGATGATAATGATTCTATTCGTCATGCAAATATTCGTGCACAACGTCTTATTCAAAGTATTAAACGTATAAAAAAAGCTGATGGTGGTGCTCTTTTCTGGGAAGGATGGATGATTCATACACTTGATAGAGACTCTTCTACAGAAAAACATTATTATTGGCGTGTCGATGCTTCGTATGTTCATTGACAAAGTAGAAAAATGTCGAAGATTTCGTTAATATACACTTTTTTAGATACATCACAATGTATCAAAATGAGACAACCAACAAATTCTCTCGTGAAATCGCTTTGGAACATGTTCTTTTGCAATTGAATATAGATGATGAAAAAGAACACTATTTCGAGATTCGCACTGAGCAACATGTTTATTATTGTGGTTGTAAACGAACGAGAAATCGAGTAAGCTTATTACTCTGTTTTTCTTTCGGTTTCATGTTATTTTCTTTCTAAAGCAATACGATCTCACCCATTCAGCTCAACATGCTCGAAATGCTTATACACAAATCCGACAAGCACTTCTAGCATATAATAACGATGGAACTGAAGTTAAGAACGTTTTTACCATTGTCTCATCTCGCGCTCAAACTCGAGACATCAATGAACTGTATAAAATCAATCCGATCGAAGTTCTGGGCAGTGGACAGTTCGGAACTGTTTATGGAGGTTATTCGTTGGAAACAAAAGAGCAAGTGGCGATTAAAGTGATTGATAAGACACGGTTTAGTGAACAGGAAGAGAAAATTCATCGCGAAGTTGATATTTTACAAGAGGTTTCGCATCCTGGAGTAATTAAATTGCATGCCATGTTTGATACACCAGGCAAAGTAAATGAAATATTCTTTACCTTGAAGAAAATAATACATTTTTCTTCATTCAGTTTTATCTTGTCATGGAAAAATTACATTCGGACATGCTGGAAATGATCTTATCACAACCAATAAAACGTTTAAATGAACGGCAAACAAAATTTTTGATTTATCAAGTAAATCAATTCGATAAAAATTGTGTTTAGTTCAATGCATTGGTGGCGTTCGTTTAGGTTCTTGTAGCATTAAGATATCTACATAGTAAATCAATTGTACATTGTGATTTGAAGCCGGAAAATGGTTTGTTGGTTTATTTGATTGGTTATGTTGCATTGTGTTTTCTTTTCAATAGTTCTTTTGGCACAAGCACAAGATTTTCCACAAACTAAACTATGTGATTTCGGTTTTGCGAGAATTATTGGTGAAAAATCGTTTCGACGATCAATCGTTGGCACACCTGCTTACTTACGTAAGACATTTTCTTATTTAACGCAATTTTCGCCCTTAAAGCTCATAATAAAACACCTAAAATATCATGTTACCAGTAAAAACTAACCGACTGATTGAACTCGCGTGTTAGTTGATTGTCTAAATTGACACAATACTCTTGCGTTACATCTCTGAATCAAATATTTAATAAAGGAAGAATTTATGGTAATATAACATTAGATTACTGATAACAGATATGTACTGCGCATTTGAATGAATGTACCCATATTGTTATGAATTGTCAAGACGAGGGAATATATTAGTAGGAGATATTTTTTAGTCGACAGTTCCCAGACAGTGACGTATGGGTGAATATGTAATTCTATTCTTTTGTATTCAGCACCAGAAGCATTGAAACCTGAAATTCGATTGGAGAAAGGTTATAATCGTTCATTAGATATGTGGTCATGTGGTGTGATTATCTATGTTTCGTAAGTGATGTTCAATCGTTGCACAACCAATCTATCGTTGAATATTTAGATTAAGTGGAACGTTTCCATTTAATGAAGACGAAGAAATTGAAGATGTAAGAATATTCTTCGTGAATTCTGATCTGACCTATTTTATTTTTTTAGCAAATTCGCAATGCAAATTTTATGTTTCCGGCCACACCATGGAAAGACATATCAAATGAAGGTATTTTCTAATCTCAACATGATCCAACATGAAAGCTTTTCGATTCTCATAGCCTTGAGTTTTCTCCAAGGTTTATTAGCATTGGATAGTAAAAGACGATTAATGATAAATAAAGTTTTTCTTCAACCATGGCTTCAGGTGGAAATTTCTTTTTCGACATGACGAATTCGCTTGACTTTGCACGAGATTCGATTTCATTTGTTTTGCTGCATGTGAAGGACATTTTCATTTTATATTTTCATTGCATGGAAATTGATGAATTATTTTAGCGATCGATCTTATTTCACATCATTTGCTTCAAGTGAACGCTGGACATCGACTAGCAGCAGCAAGTGCACTCAAACATGCTTTTTTTGAGGTGTGTGCATGGTGTTTTCCTTCCGTTTTGTTCTTCTCAAAACTAGTCATAATATGTCTCTGTAGGATTATCAGTTGTACTGTGATTTACGTAAACTTGAAGACACAAGTGATCGTGAACGTTGGTTGACAATCCCGGAGGATGATGATAAATGGGAGCAATATGCAAAAGAGAATGGTTTTTTTGGTAAAACTTCCGCAGGTCAGAAATCTCTCCTGTAGAAATCATGTTTCATCGTCGTGTTTTTTTAATCTCTTTTCAGCATCATCATCTCTAACACTAACATTTCCAAACAAAAACTATTTAAATGTTTAATCAATTCAGCAACTCGGTTTCTGTTTCTTTTGTGTTGCATCAGATACAAGCAAAAGACAACTACGCATATAAACTTCAGCGAACTAACCGTGTGAATAATCGAATTGGCAATGAGTCATAACTATAATCTTTTCTTTCATTTCTTCTCTCTATATTTAGTCATTTGATTTCTAGTGAATCTTGTTCTTCTCTTTCTAAATGTGTCATTTCGTTTCTGCACCTGTTGATATTTTGTTGGAACTAGTTGGGTTCTTTTATTTCTTTCTCGTTCGTATATATAAATTAATCGGGAAGCCGCATTTCTTCTTGTCTAGATATGTAATGTTTTTATTAAATTCCAGATGTCAACAGATCTTAAACGAACTTTGAATGATTTGACAAATGAAAGCAAACGATTGAAAAATGATTCAGCAATTGATCTAAACTTCGATATTGGAGAAATTAAACATCAACAATCTCATTCATCATCAGGTAGAACAGGAATTTACTTGTAATTCGAAGGATTATTTGTCTTGTAGAATCTTTATTTGAAGATGATTCAATGTTTGATGATGATGTCTTTGAAGATGAACCGTTATCTTCTTCTAAGTTGAATCAAAGTCAAGGTCGAAAACGATTAAACGGAACGTCAAGTTATCGAACGAAGGAAAACAAACCCAAACGAAAGAGTCAAATCGGAAAAAAAGATAATCGTTTAATTGATCAAACATTAAATCAATTACGCGAAGAGCAAGCTCGTATCGACGCTCACTCACTTTCCATTCTTCCCAAACGCATGTAAACTGTTTTATACACAACGAAAACAATTTCTCAATTCATTTTCTTATATGTGTCATGTATCGTTTAGTTAGTTTCTCTATTTTTTCATTTGTTATGGATTGATGACAATTCTATTAGTTTTTTTCTTCTTCATCAGATAAGTCAGATAGATATGTATGTGAAAGAATGATGGGTGATGGAATATAAATATAAATTTATCTTTTTTGAAAAGACAATTAGAAATGACGTTGTCTTCAATTGTTGATTGATAGAAGCTAAACGTGTCATGGAAATGTTTATCGGTTTTTTGTATCGATAGTTAATTGATGTATTTTGTTTAGGTGATACTAAATGTCAGAAGATATTTAATGAGTTTTATTAATAGAATATCGAGGTATTGTTTATTTAGGATAAAGTTCTGGAGAAATTTTACTCGGATTTATTTCATTGAATGTTTTATGTCAGAATGTGAAGTCAATGGATGAAATGTATCTGGACAGTTTTGCGGAACGAGATTAAAATATCCTTATTTTGATCTTTATAGATGGATTCAATGATGTTGTGAAATTGATTGAGACGCAAAAGCTGTTCGGTGAAAAAAAAAGTAGTTCTGTGAATTGACATTTGGTTAATATTTGCACATTTTATAACTTTTTTGCGTTCTTTCTTCCCGTAAAAAGACACACTTGCTCTTATTCAAGGAATTGAAAACACGTAGGGCACTGTTACTACTTGTGAAGAATTGACTTTAAAAATTTGAATTTTAATACGAGGCAAAGGTATCAGTTATCAGTCCATTCTGAAGATCATAGATCTTATTCAAATCTGAAATCTCCCACGATCAACTATTTGCTAAGGTAATTAATTTTATTGGAATATTTAGTATCATCATTGATTCATGTCTCTGCATTTTCGATTTCTGTACAAATCAGTTATGTTGTGTGTTTCCCAATTCAGTTGTTAAAATTCAACTTCTACAGAAACGAGTGTCCTCTATCCCATGCAATAGTTGTAAATATATGTCCTCAACGTTTATTCTTTTCCTACTCACCATGCAACTGTAAATTCATGATCCTTAATGGGTTTTCTTTTTCTTGAATAGAATCGATAAAACACCCAGTTATATCGAAATAATTGCCAGTCAAATGTATGCAACAGTCACCGAGAGCAACATGCATTTACATTACGAACAGCGAACAATACGTACTTGTCAAAGACTCGTGATATGTATATGTATTCTTGTAACAACGATCTCTTTCATCTATTTTCTCTTTCAAAATCAACGAGTCAATTCATTATGGACACCTGTTCACGTCTGGTATACACCAGAACAAAGAATTAAACGACCGACTTATGTTAATCGTGATCATGGATTTTGTGGTCCCTGTCCTACACATAAACTTTCATCTGATGCATGGCAATTAATTGATCTTGTTCAACGTCTTGCTCCGAGAAATCCATTTCTCATCAACATTGGGGCCGCATCAAATTGCGGCGGCCGTTTTGATCCGACTTATCCTATGCTTACAAAGATTAATTCGACGTTCGGTGCACTTCTGATTGATCCCAATCCGAATCCTAGTCTTTTCTCTGCATATCCAAATCGAACAAATATTCGTATAACACATGATTATATTTGGACAGAAACAGTCGTCGAAAATATATTTAAGAAATACAACATTTCAAAACAATTCACTGTTCTCAAAATCGATATCGATTCGTATGAATGTTCGGTTCTTGAAAGTATTCTTCAAGCTGGCTATCGTCCTCAATTAATTCATACAGAATTCAATCCAGTTTTTCCACCACCTGTGATTTTCAAGCCAATTTACAATCCTCTAGTGAAAAATGACTGGCAGCCTGCACTTTGGGCAAGTAATAGTCCATTTTATGGGTGTAGTTTAACGGCACTTTCACAATTACTTCTTTCGTTTGATTACATACTTGTCGAAGTGGACTTTTGGGATGTAATTTATATCGAACGAGAATTAGTTCGATCACTTGGAATTCAGATTCCTGTTAACGATCAAGCTGCCTATGATTATGGGTTTCTCGGTCATTCATGTCTTCCATATTGTCGTCAAAATGTAAAACTGTACAATAATCAGATCGAAAATGGTATTAGATCCGCAATAAATCAGTCGAACTTTACCAAACATATGAAAACTATACTCGATCATTATGCACCAATATCATTAAAAACAAAATCTAAACATCCATATGAAATAACTGTATAATATATCTTCTAGTTCGACAGCGATCGTAAAATATCTCTGTGAGATTCGATTTATTGTGAGAGAAAAAGAACGAAGTTGGCCAATAGATTTTTTACGAAGATAATCATTGACATAAATTGAAGCTTTCATGTGTTTCTTCGATTTTTCAATGAAAGAAGACAGAACTATTTTGTACATCTATCGAATAACACAATTCATGCTGTTTCTAAAATAAATGAGAATAATCTACCGTATGCTTTACACAACCACTGGATCTTTCGAGAAACCATGAAAAATCGATTTTTCCCAAAAGAACAACATTCAAATCATTTTATAACATATATAGATTTTTCCAAAGTAAAGGATATTTTGGCCGCAACTTGCGAGAGAATGGTTTCTTTACTGTACCCTTTTAAACATACTATACAGTTCATTAAAAGAACGTAGAATGCGGTAAGGCACATACTACCTTTAAACAAATGATTCTAGAACAGGATTTCAACGTAAAGCCATGGACCTATTAAAAGACCCGGGTCTTCTATTTTGTCATTTCACTCACAACTTTTAGAGGGGTCTTCTATTATGTCCTCTAAAAAGTCATGTTTTTATAGATGTATAGATTGGATTTTCTGAATATCACTTATTATCATGCTATTTTATTATAAAAAAAATATTTTTCATCTATCTGCATTAATGTATAAAAAAAAACAAGTGCGCGTTCTACTGATAAAATAAAACTTCAGAAAAAACATCTATCTTTTTACATATTGCACCCTATATGAAACACTTAGTTTACAACTATTCCTATACTTCTATCCATAATACAAAAAAATATAGCAAAATCTGACTATTGCAGACGAAAAATTATAAGGGTCTTTTAATATGTCTTTTACATAATTTAACTAAGGGGGGTCTTCTAATGTGAGGGGTGTTTTAATATGTCCATGGCTTTATTGCAGACGAAAAATTATAGGGGTCTTTTAATATGTCCATGGCTTTAGTACCATTGTCTTATGATCGTTGGATACTTGTTTGAAATTTTCATCATATTTTTGAGCAAAAACGAATTCGAAGCAAATTTATCCTCGCTGTTTATGAGTCATCCTCTCAGCACGTTTCTCTAGTAAATTTTAGTAGTGAATCTTTACGAATGAGATAGATTATCACCTTGTTAGGAAAAAATGTATTCCCAGGGTATAACTCGTTGTCGGAGATAAAAGCACATTCTTCGATGTTTCCCGACGGATGAGAAAAATCTCTTCCTCGCTTATATAAGTGAAAAAAAGAAAAAGAACTCTTTTCGCTAACGTGATTCTATGTCATACCTCTTTTTCTTTCCTTTTCTCAAAAAATCCTATCCTTTGCTCAGTTCATTCTGGTCGATGATAAAGTATCTTCCTAGGTTACATTCACTAATACTCTTCGTCACATCCCAGAGCACTTCAAAGGAAATTGATATAAATCTATTCATCGTATTTAGGGGAATATTTTTACACGTGACTTTTTTTGTTTCTTTTTAGCTTGTTGTTCATTAGTGAACGCACAAAAATCATATGGAAGTTTCATAACTAATGTATTATTATATTCGTTGTTATCGAGTAACCATCATGACAAGTAAATCAATTCACACAGCATTTAAATTTCTTGCCAGACAACATTTTCTAATCTTTGCTTGTTCGTTTATTTTACTAATTAATCTTATTTTCTATCTCAATAAATGGCACTATGAATTTAAATATCCAAATAGACATACAAAACTTTTATATCTAACTGCTCGAGAAAACAATACTTACAATGATGTGATTTCAGCAGCAAATTCGTTCGATATTGTAATTAGTTATTATTCCGAAAGTACTGATTACGTTGCTCAATATGTTCGTTATTTAAGAAATGTTGCAAATTTAAAGAAACTTCGTCCACGTATTATTGTTTACAATAAAAACTCTCGAATAAATAATCAAGTTTTGAAACTTCTTCTCGATGCTGATATCATTCAATATCTACCTAATTTAGGTCGAGAAGGTGCAACTTATCTCTATCATATCGTCACAAATTATCATATTCTTGCTAATCACACAATCTTTACTCAAGCAGGCGTTGAAGGTCTTACTGGTAGTGGTTTAGCTGATTGGTATTTTGATCGATTAGAATATCAATTCAATTCATCTGTTGGTTATATGCCCTTAGTGAATAGTAACATGATAACAACATATGATTGTGGTACACATCGAACAGGAAATTTTCCCAGATTAGTACAGATTTGGTCAATGCTCGAACAAAGTTTATGTCCACCTGGAGGACAGGCAGTAAGTTTTCCCAGTGAGCAAAAGTTCTCGATAAACTAAAATTTGTATATATATTAAGGTTGCATTTCGTGGTCAATTTCTTGTAAGTAATAAACGAATAAAGAGACGACCGTTACACATTTATAAATACATCTATGAGCTTATCACAGTAAGATGAAATTATTTTAAATGCAGATGCATGTAGCTATATTTGAAGGCAAACAATTCGCATTGGCTTCATCGTGATATTCGCTCGTTGTTTTTTAAATCAACACCAGATAATCCAATATTTGGCCATACGGTCGAACGTTCATGGACAATTTTATTTAAATGTTATCAACCTGATCTATACGAACGATGTCAACGGAGAGAGTGTGCATGTTTTGATGAGTCTTAGACATTTTTCTCACTATTTATTATTTCTACGGTAGTATAAGAAAAAAGCAACACAGTAGTCATTCACACTAAAACAACTGGAAACTAAATTTGATCAATAAGATCACTGAGATCATCGTATTGACTCAATAAGTTTTCATTTTCAGCATTAGCTAAATCAGTGCTATCATCCGTAACCGCTAATTGTTCCATGGCATCGATGACATTCGTATTATCTGTACTAACATCAACAATATCAATTTGTTCACTTTCAGTTTTGATATCGTCTGCAGGAATGAGTCCATCGGTTGATGTTAATGCATTGTCCACTGATATTGTCGCAGCAGATTCAACTGTATTGAGTTGCCCAAGTTGACTTGGATTTAAACCGATAGCTGCCGCCGCTGCTTCTTGCAATTGTTTCTCTTTTCGAACCATAGCGTTTGCAAGCGATGCTGAGGATTTCACTTTGGATTCAACAACAGGCTCGGCTTCGAAATCAGATTTTAACCATTCAGCCATGTCAGAGAAAAGGAAAACACCATGGAGACTGGGATTAATTTGACACGGAAGAGTTGTACTAGGTTCGATTGGATCTAGTTCATCGATTAACTCTTCATCTTTGTAAAATTTATAATCAATACAATTAGCTGTATATTTTTGTTGATGTACACGATAATGATTACGTAGGCGAGCGGCTGTCGGCACGTACTGTTTACAAATTGAACAAACGCGAGAGTGAAGTTTTGTTTGTACAGATGGACAATACGAATCGAATGGCAAAAACAAATTATTCGTTCGTTCCATGACAATGCCATGAAATTGAATACGTTGAAATAAAGTACCATAATAAGGTGAGATGAGATTTGTGGCGGCATTCGACGAATCGAGTTCTGCTAAACTAACGCCAGCAGTTGAACGATCAAATGGAACGGGTGGTGGCAGAAAACGATGTGGGAATACTTGAATATAATTTGAACGCCATGGACCACAACATTCCGGTTTTGTACAACGAATTATTTGTATAGAATATTGACTTTGAAAAACATGTGTGGCACACCAATATCTACAACAGTTTATCATCAGAAAACAAATTCGTTCAAAGTGAAATAACATACTCATCGATAGTAGTAACGGGTTTGACTGGAATATCAGAAATAAAATGTGGAGATGGAGCAGGCCGATTGCGTGTGACACGAAGATGAAGCGGTGTTTCTTCTTCTTCATCACAAATACTATCGATGATAACAATACGATTTCAAACAATATACTAAATTCGAAATTAACTTACTCATCAACAATTGTGTCCAACGTAAATTGACTATCAATTAATCGAATAGTATCATCAATAGTTTCTGTTGGTTCAACATATTCTGCGTAAACAGGATACTGATCAATCATATCCATATTCCAAACTTCTCCGAGAACGTCACCGGCTCTTTTCAAGTTGTTTTTCTCTAACTCACTATTGATAGTCACACCACTCACATTCAGATGTGTACCAAAATAATCATGAGGTAAAACTAAACCAGTTAAATCTTGTGACAAAGATGCTAAACGTCGTTCGACAACATTGAATGCTGTTTGACCTGGCGCTTGCGCCACAATGAACAGAGCATCGAGATTATATTTTTTGAATTTATTTATTGCTGAAGTCAGTGTCGACGGCAAGCGTGTGTAGTCCGTAGGTTCCAGACTATCCACACCCATGATAATAATTGGTTTTATCGTTCCAATATGATTTCGAGCAGTTCTTTCAAATTCTTTTAATTTAACTATACAATCAAAATCGACATCTTCGCTTTCGGAAGTAAACCGATCATATTTTTCTGATCGAATTGAGATATACGTTGGACCTGCATAGTTAAGAACACCACCCTCATCAATAAAACATGATGCATAGACTCTAGAGATGAATTGATGAAAGATGATTTTTCAATCGACAACAACAAAACATACGTTGGTTTTAATTGATGAGGAATGCTCGATGTTAGATTTGTTGTACTTGTTTGATAATCTAAATGCATAATGAACGGTGAACGTCCTCTAGCTGATGGTCGACCAATTCGAACAGAAGCTTTTCGATCCTGGATCAAGTAAAAGACACATTCATTGCCAAATGTTCCAGCTAAATCTTTAATATGTTGTAAAGTTGCATTGACGAAATGACAATCTAAATAATCAGTTTATCGTTTAGCGTAGTATTGCAAATGTGGTCAATTTGTATTACCTTCGTGTTTCACTTGTTCGATTTCTTGATATTTTCGAAGACGAACAGGTTCCGTATTTACTCGTCTTTTCCCATCTTCACTGAAAATTCCTGCTGGTATTAATCTAACGACAAACTGAAATTTAGAAAAAAGAAACATTCATGTTTGTTGTCTCCTTTACCGATAATAAGTCGATGAGCGTCGAATTTCAAAACCACGTTCTTTAACTTTGAGCCGTAGGTCATCTAGTGATGCGCACGGTGTAGGATTCAATAATCGAGGATTGACTTCAGTTGCTCCACCAATTCGAGCAATTTCTTCCATTGTTTGGATTAAGTCTGGACAAATATTATCAATTTGTACACGAATTGCTGCAGGTTTGTAAAGTGCTAAGAGTTCGGAGGCAATTTCTGGATCGGCAGCGCACAGTGTCTCGACATAGCGTTTCTTCCGTTGACGATACCGTGCAGACGAACGTTGTTTCGATTGTAGACGACTTAGTTCAGCTTTGCGCTCCTTTTTCTGTTGAAGTAATTTCTTTAATGTTTGATTTGAATCTGCTGTTGATAAACCCATATTCTTCACTTGAATCAAACTAGCAATACGTTCGGAGATCTCCTTAATTTCTTTTATAACTCCTTCTTGAACGGGAGTTTTGATTCGACTCTCACTTGCAAGACGTCGAGCTTGAATTTTAGCAACACGCGCTTCAGCTCGTGCATGTGCTCTTGCAAGCGAACGAGCTACCCATGGTTTACTAGGATCATTGAATTCAGAAAGTATCATCGAATCACGTTTGGTAAATGTTGGTTCAACAGGTATGATAACATCGTTTTCTAATTCTCGTTCATACGGTTCATATTCATCATCAGACGATAATGTTCGTTTCCGTTCGTTTATTCCTGTTGTTGTACTGATCGGTTTTTCTGGCTTCGGTGGATTATCAGTAGTCGTTGCCTTGACGGTGTCTTGACTTTCAGACTCCTTGGCAAGTTCTAAATATTTTTCGATTTCAACTTTAACCAATGGCGCATTATTTTTTATCTTGTTCCATTCAAGTTCAGTATTGTAATGGCATGCCTATGAAAACAAATTCTCTACGTGATACAATCATAGGTATTGAAGGTTATAATTACGTATTTGGTCATACCAGGATGACCTTTCTTATATGCATCAGCAAAAGATTTGAATAGAGCAAGCTGAGCGTTTTTCGAAGCCATTCTGATGTTGCCGCTCTACTAAGTGATCTAAAGCAAATGTTTCTATTCTGTTCAGTAATATGAAACTACCAGTGTGTATTATTTTTTTCTCGTTGTTTCACTCGACTTTCGTATTTCGTTATGAGTGTATAATTTATATGTGTACACTGCAGAGAAAGAACGTAAAATGATATCTCGCCTGTGTTCATCTTAACCACCATGTATTTGAACACGACAAGAAGAGAGAGGATAAAAAGATACTGCGTTACAGTTTGAAATTACACTCGAAAAAATCACATCTCTTGGCGACTACACCTTAACTGTACGCAAAAATACTCATACAATAACAGAAATCATGATTTCCTCAATGTGATGCTCATTTATTCAATACGAAAACATCACTATGTTACATCGTAAGGTGAATTCCAATGCTATTTATAATATAAACATTAATTGTCATTATCTATGACTGATTTAACAGATAAGTTGATGGGAAGAAAAGCGTATTTATATTTTACATGTTAGTTGAACTTCACTTACCGGTAACATATGAGCTATATGTATTGATAAGCAAATGAAAGTGTATATGCACGGCTTGTTGTTTAGTAATATGTGAAAAGAACGAAAAAAGACGATGTGACCGTGTCGTGACCCTGATTTTTATGCATTGAGCACCGAGAGCAAAACATATTTATTGTTCACTGTTCAGCACAGTTGATAACTAGTTTTTCTTCGATTCCGAACCAAACAAGATGTCTTTTTGGTGCTAGTTATCTGTCTGTATTCTCTAAACTCTTGAAAACCAGAATAAAATCACTTTTATCGTTCTTGAGCATCTTTTTGTGTTTCAAACAAATTTATTCCTTTAGCATTAATCAAACTGTTTCTAATTTTGATTTACAGCGAGTTTTCCACAAAGTTTTCGTTGTTCCTATTCCACAAGAGCGACATCTTTTATGCAATAGATGTAGTATTAATAAATCTATAACAACATTCGTTATGTGAAGGTTTTCTTGGACACATTTTTACAGATATTTTATATTCGATATGCGTTGCTTCATGTCGATTAGCAAAACTTTCGATCGAACTGAGGAGGCATATTTAAACATTTTGATTGGTCGACATAGAATAATCAATCAAAATGGAGCAAAGAATTCGATAAACAAAGACTCACCATTATACGATCATTTTCATTCATTTTTGAAAATTTTTTAAGAGAAATCGATCTTCATCCAAACCATGGCTTCAACTTCTGGCGAAAATCCTAATGAAAGCGAAACTCCTGAAGCATTGTAAGCAAAAATTCTGATCTTTTCCCCAAAGTTATCTATCGATTAAGAGAACAAAAAGGCTTTCAATCCCGTCCGGAAACACATAACGGTGCTGAACGTGATCTCTATTCTTGGACACAAACAATCGGTGATATCGATGTTCGCGTCAAAGTAAAATTAACTTTCGATATCGAGCTTTTCATCGAATCGATTTGCTATGTTTAGATTCCGCAAACGATTAAGAAAGGCAAAGAAGTGAAAGTTACTTTGGCAAAGCAACATGTCAAAATTGATTTAATCGAACCAACTGGTGCTCGAACAATCATTAATAGCGATTTACCATGGCCAATACGTGCCGAAGAGTCAACATGGAGTTTAGTTCCCGGTGAACATATTCATGTAAATGAAATTTTTTACAAAACATATGTGTAAACTTTCGTTTGACGATTAGATTTCGATGGAAAAAGCGATGGAACGTTGGTGGGAAAACTTTTTGGTCGATGAGAAGAAAATTAACTTGAAACATATTCTGCCTGAAAAATCAATGGAGGATCTAAACCAAGAAGAACAGATGAAAATCCATCAAATGATGTATGATCAAAGACAAAAAGCCATGGGTTTACCAACGTCAGAGGAACAAGTAGAAAAAGAAATTTTTATGTTGATTTTTTAATGTGAAATTCTGATTTTTGTTTAGAAATATCAGGATATAATGAAACAAGCGTGGGACGCTGAAGGATCTCCATTCAAAGGACAACCTTTTGATCCTTCTCTAGTTCAATCGATGCGAAAATCAGAATAATTCTTGTTAATTTTCTTTTTATGTTTCTTTCAGATGGAGGAAAAGCGCAAAGCATTTCGAAAGCAAACAACAGGCGTGAAAGCTGAGCGACGAAAGAAAAAGAAACAAGATGAAGAAAATCCCGAGTCAAAAAAAGCAACAACTCTAGAAGAAGCGAAACGTCGTAATCCAAAAGCGTTTAGTATACAAAATCCCATCAAAGCTCAACAAGAATTTCGACGGTAATGCGACGAATTTGTGTTTTTTTTGTTCCAGTCAATCGAAAACGATTTGATATATATAGGAATCAAGATATCAAAGAAAAACGAATACACCTGCCCGAAGTCGATCGAACGCCGCTTGAACCACCGCCTGTTGTTGTTGCCTTAGTTGGACCTGCGAAAGTTGGCAAAAGTTTATTAATGAAATGTTTAATTAAGAATTTTACAAGACAACGACTAACTGATATTCGAGGACCAGTCACAGTCGTTTCAGGACGAAAACGTCGAATTACATTTATTGAATGTCGAAATGATATTAATTCAATGATTGACGTTGCAAAAATTGCTGATCTAGTAAGATATGTTCTTCTGTATCGGTTATGATCGATTTGTGTTTGAATAGGTCTTGCTTTTAATCGATGCAAAATTTGGTTTTGAAATGGAAACGTTCGAATTTTTAAATATTGCACAAATCTATGGTTTACCGAGAATCATGGGTGTTTTAACTCATATGGATTTGTATAAAAAAATGAATAAGCAATTGAACAAGCGTAAAACTCAATTGAAACATCGTTTTTGGACGGAAATTTATCATGTAAACTTTTCACTGATGTTTATTTTGGACTGATTTGGAAATATTTCAGGGTGCGAAATTATTTCTCATGTCTGGAATGAAAAACAACGAATATATCCAACGTGATGTTCAAAATTTAGCAAGATTTATTTCTGTAATGAAATTTAAACCATCTACATGGAAAACCTCACATCCATTTGTTGTTGCCGATCGGTAAACTCTTTTTCTGATGTCTGTCTTTTGCTTCTATTTATCGATTTCTAGAATGGAAGATCTAACAGAACCCGAACTGATTCGAACGGATCCTTTGTGTAATCGTACAGTATGTCTATATGGTTACGTACGTGGATGTCCAATTAAATCCGATACACCGATTCATATTCCAGGTATGTGAATTTGAGTTTTCCTTCCAGGAATGAAGATGTTTTGTCTTTTAGGTTGTGGAGATTATAAATTGACCAATATATCAGCTTTGCCAGATCCGTGCGCACTGCCAGCGGATCGATCGGGAAAAACTAAACAAGCCCGACGAGTTTTGAACGAAAAAGAACGACTTCTTTACGCACCATTTTCTGGTGTTGGTGGGATTGTTTATGATAAAGATGCTGTTTACATCGAATTAGGTGGTTCACATTCACATCGACCAGCAAATAATAACGAAAAAGTAAAGTTTGGTTGAATAGAAAAGAATGTCAATGAACAAAAGATGTTTTAGACCAGACCAATCAATGAATATGTAGCAAATATTTTATCAACGAAACAAACAATTGAAGAAAAAGTGGCATCGAGTCACTTGAAATTGTTTGCTGATAGTGAACCAGTCACAGCTGAAGAAGAGTAGGCGAAATTTGCTACTGGTGGTATTCACATTAGTTTTTATTATCGGTTTTCTAGACAAGTCCCAGAACGAAGAAAAGTTAGATTTGAAACAGAAGATGAAGATGTTCCTGAAGAAGATGACGACGAAGACCAAGAGGAAGATGATGAAGACCAAGGTGAGGAAGAGGATGAGGGAGAAGAAGAAGAAGAAGAAAATGATGATGAGGTCAGTACAGAATGGAAAAATAGCAATCAATAATTGCTTTTATGCTCATTTTTAGGAATCTGAACATGAAGAATTCGGTAAGTGGTTCATTTATTTGTGAGTTATATTCTTATGTATTGGTTTCTCAGGCTCGTCATGGAAGGAAAATATTTCGAAGAAATTTGCAATTAGTTATGTACCGAATAAAGCTATCAATTGGACAAAACTTGTCTATGGTAAGCAGTGAGCGATTCAATGTTACACAAAAGTAAAAAATTTGCTTTTATCTGATATGTAGAAAAAGGAGGTGAAGATGCATCGGTTGAAGATATGAATTCAAACGATAATAATGGAGAAGTTGGTGGTTTATTTCGTGTATCTCGTCGGAAGAAGATCAATGTTAATGATCAAGAAGATTATACATTAAATAATCAAAGCGAAAAACGTAATTGGGATTTAGATGATGTAAGATCTATGAAGGAAGAGAAAAGAAAAACGAAAAAATTTTTATTTGTAGGTTTGTGAATTAATTCGTGATTGTTTTGTAACTGGAAAATGGGAGAAAGATAAAGATGCTGCAAAATTACTTGCCGAAGATGATGAAATGAACGATGATGATGGTTTGTTATTCGTTTGATTTGTGAAGAATTCGAAAAAGACTTTTGGTTTTTAGAAGATTTATTTGGTGACTTCGAAGATCTTGAAACAGGTGAAAAGAGTGAAGAAAAAGATAACGAAGAAATGGAATTCGATGGTAATAATGTTAGATTTCTATTGAATCGTTTCGTAACAAAGTCATTTAGATGACGACGATGATGAAGGAGATGAAGATGGCGGTGGTAAAGATGACGAAGAAGCTAAACTTCGATCTAAAAAAGCAAAATTAAAATCTACATTCGATGCTGAATATGATCAGTCGAAAGATCCCGACTCGAAATATCTCGATGAACTAAAAAAAGAAGTAGAAATACAAACGAAAGTATGACACTCACTTTGTGAAACTTCTTTTCAAAATATTCCATTATTTGTCTAGTTGAATCGGTCTGAATTCGAAAATATGCCTGATGATGTTCGTGTTCTCTACGAAGGTTATCGTCCGGGAATGTACGTTCGTTGTGAATTAACGCAACTTCCTTGTGAATTCGTTAATAATTTCGATCCCCGATACATAACCATTCTTGGCGGAATGCCTGTAACAGAATCTCATACAGGCTACATTCAAGTTCGTTTGAAAAAACATCGTTGGCATAAGAAAATCTTGAAAAGCAAAGATCCATTGATCGTTTCATTGGGTTGGAGACGATTTCAAACAATCCCATATTATTTCATTCAAGATCACAATATGAGACATAGACTGTTGAAATATACACCACAACATATGTATTGTCATGCGATATTCTATGGTTTGAAATGAATTTTGTATCGTATTCATCAATAAACGAGTTTGTTTATGAATTGTAGGACCGATTACTCCACAAAACACAGGTTTTATTGCTGTTCAACAAACTGCCGGACGTGTAAGTTCATTGGTGCAATTTCGATGTTCAATTATTGGCTGTTATTTAGACGGACTTTCGAGTAACAGCAACAGGTGTAGTTATTGATCTAGATAAATCTACGAAAATCGTCAAGAAATTAAAACTTATTGGTACACCGTATAAAATATTTAAGAAAACTGCGTTTATCAAGGTGAGATCTTTTGAGACGAATATTCAAAATGAATCCATGTTTGGTTTAGGGAATGTTCAACTCGTCATTAGAAGTAGCAAAATTTCAAGGAGCGTCAATTCGAACTGTCAGTGGAATACGTGGACAGATTAAGAAAATCTCCAAAGAACATCCGGGCGCATTTCGTGCGACATTTGAAGATAAGATTCTCCTCAGTGGTAAGAGAAAACGTTGTCTAGACAGATTTGTTTTTATTCTCGTTTAGATATTGTCTTCCTACGAGCATGGTTACCATTACAAATACCGAAATTTTATACACCTGTAACTAATCTCTTGATGAGTCCAGAACAAAAAGATCAATGGCAAGGACTTCGGTAAGATTTGTCAGAGTTTTTCATTGAGAAAAACATAAACTCGATTTTAGACAACTTGGTCAACTTAAACGTGATATGAATATTCGTAACGAACCGAGTGTTGATTCCCTTTACAAGCCAATCGAAAGAAAAGAACGAGTATTTCGTCCATTACAAATTCCGACACAACTTCAACGTGACTTACCTTTTCATCTCAAACCAAAACCGACCGAAGCTACAACAGTGAGAGATCCAATCGAAGAAAAACAACGTGTTGCCGTCATTCTGGAACCACAAGAGAAAAAGGTACACTTTATCCTCTCGCAATTCGACATGTTAACAACGAAATTTTCGTTTAGATCGCTGATATAATGAAAATGTTTACAACAGTCTATAAAGATCGTTTGAAGACGAAACAAAAAAATCAAGAAGGTCGTAATGCTCAATACCAAAAGCAACAAAAAGTTCAAGAGTTAAAACGATTACAAAAGCATAAACAATTGAAGAAAGTGGTTTATAAAAAACTCGGCCAAATGGAATCGAAAAAATCGAAAAATAACTCTCGCCATAAAAAAACTGATAATACCGATGAATAGTTTTGATTTATTAAAAAAACTAGCAATCATTTGTCATTGTTATCTCTTTTTTGAAAGAGAAAGTTGAATTGTGTGTTTTGTTTTCTAGATGACTACTGTACTTCATCAGCCTACGCTTACGGAAAGTCTTACTTTACTCGGATGGAAATTAAAACGCGATGCAGAAATTCGAGGTAAGCATCTTACGATTTCCAATCGAATTGTATTATAAAAAGCCGTTCTAGAACGAAAAGATGAAGCGAATTTCGAATGCGACGTTGAACCAACATCTACATCCTATGCAGCATTTGAATATATGTCAACAACCGATGATGGCTACGATCCATATGCTAGTCTGAATGTTGATCTTTGTCTCGAAGTTGATGCATTGGATTTGAATAATACAAGTCAACAAAATAATGATGATTATGATCCGTATGAAGTTTTTATGAGAATGAATACACGTCGAACAGCTAATGGACGCGAACGACCTCCACTTGCAGTCTTACCTTCGCACTCAACGTCACCTCTAGTCAATAATTATCGACATTATAATTTTGCTGATGACGATACACCAGTTAAATATCCATTAGCCATTGGACATGTCGACCGCCGAGTAAAAACTCCTAATGTAATACGAAGTTCGTTTTGCAGATAGCAAGAATCATATTTATTTCATGTATCTAGATTCGTGGTGGGTACACAAATCGGCCATCATTTGAAGAAGATCGTCGGTCTCGTGGCGGAATGACTAATCGGCCAGTTGTCCCACCTTCTACTTCGTCCTATCGTCAACCTTCGACAATGATTCCTCGTCGTGGTGCTCCAGCATCGTATAGTGGTACACGTGGTAATAATTATCAAATACGTCGTAGTATTCCTCCACCACCACGTCTTTATCCTCGTTCAGAATATCCACCTAGTGCATCGTCGAAACGCGTTACATTTCGTCATTCAAATGATTTTAATTCAGGTGATGATTTTGACGAAGATGAAGAAGACGATGATAGTCTTGAAGGTGAACTTCATCAACCAATTCAACGTCGGAATAAACCGCCACGACGTACAGCTGCTCGAATTGCTGTTCAACGCTTTCGAGCTGGTCATCTTCGTTCGTCGATTGCTGATGATGATCTCGATGATGATATTGCACCAACGGTTACCGAAATGGATATGCTCGAAGATCAAGAACTCGATGATGAAGAGAATGATGAAGAAATGAATGTACAAACAGCAAGTACAAAAACAATGTCATCACCAGCGAAACTATTACCTCCTCCAGCTGCACCTCCTGTTAAACCGACAGGAGGAACGATTAAATCGTCCTATATTGGTAATATGCTACCAAGTTTCTACGAACAATTGCCTGAATCGAAAAAAATGCTCTTACAAGATGCAACCATTGATTCATCATCCAATAGCATAATGAATATTGATGGATCAACAAAGAGTCAAATCGAAATTGTTTCACCGGGAAAGGTAAAAGAGAGTTTCACATACGATCTCTGCCATTATCTGTTGTTATTTCTTTTTCTTCTCAGAAACAAGCGGGCTTAACAACCGAACATATCGAAGGTCCTGGTGGCGAAGAGATAATCGATGAAGAAAATCGTTTGCAATTCCGCAATACGACCATTGCTCAACCTAATAAACGTTCTACAGGTTATCAAAATTCCAAACGGTACTATGACAACGAAGATGAAGAAGAAGAGCAACAACAAATGAGAAAGCGTAGTCGTCCGAATGATGATGATTATTCAGTAAATAGTAATAATAGACAATCACAATATGCAAAACAAAATCGATATCGAAAATATGAAGATGATGAAGAGTACGATATCAATCAAGATTCACAACAACAACAACAAGAAGAAGAATTTCATCAAACAATACGAGTACCTGCTCGACGAGGGTAAAATATTCTTCTTCATAATTTCCTTTCACTAAAAGCCTATTATCTTTTATAGTCGACCACCTTCTCAACATCACCACCACCAACAACAGCAACAGCAGCAGCAAGAAGATCCATCGAAAAAGTACGCGCGTATTATCTCTCAATTCGAAGAACAACACGGTTTGAAATTCGGTGATATGCGTGTCTTTGCACCTAAACTTCGTTTACGCATATCCAGTGTGAACGTCAATTGGATCAATCTACCACCGATACCTAAATTACCTAATAAAGTTCACCAATGATGAACAAGAGATTTTCTTTACGTAGCCGTCTTTGCTTTTCTTTTAGCAAAATGATCATCAACATTATCTTTGTCATTGTTATCATATGTATTCATTACGGTTCTTTTTGTCTTCTTTTTGTTTGTACATAATTTACATATATATATATCATCTTTGAGAAGAAAAATGGATTCTTTTTTTTGTCGATTGTAGATCAAAAATAAAACAAGGTATATGTTTTTGTTGGTATTCTAGATCAGTTTCACACGCGTTTTCAACGTCCCGAGTGAGCAGAAAAACGTTCCAAGATGTTTATGACAAGAAGTGAATACGATCGTGGTGTGAACACATTCTCACCTGAAGGTCGACTTTTTCAAGTTGAATATGCGATTGAAGCAATCAAATTTGGTACAACAGCTATCGGAATCATGACATCAGAAGGTTCGGATATCGTTAACGGATCTCGAATTTACCTAACCTCACACTTTTGATTTAGGTGTAGTCTTGGCAACTGAAAAACGTATTACATCAGTTCTTATCGAGCCACGTAGTATCGAAAAAATTGTTGAAGTCGATGCTCAGTGAGTGAAGATAATAATGTGAACATTTCTCATTCGATGTATTTCAGTTGTGGTTGCGCAATGTCTGGCTTGATCGCTGATGCTAAGACTTTGATCGATAAAGCTCGTGTTGAAGCGCAAAATCATTGGTTTACTCATAATGAACGCATGACTATTGAGTCTATCACTCAATCCGTATCAAATATGGCATTAGCATTCAGTGATGATTCCGATGAAGTCGCACCGATCTCACGTCCATTCGGTGTGGCACTTTTATTTGCTGGTTGGGATGAAAATGGTCCTCACCTTTTTCATCTTGATCCATCCGGTACTTATACAGAATACGATGCTAAAGCGATTGGATCAGGTAGTGAAGGTGCTGATCAAACACTTCAAGATGTTTATCATAAATCAATGAAATTACCGGAAGCATGTAAACATGTTTTAACAATTCTTAAACAAGTCATGGAAGAAAAATTAAATGCAACAAATGTTGAAATGGCCACTGTCGATGCCAAAGGCTACCGTTTATTTAAAAAGGAAGAAATCGACGATATTATTAAGAATATGTAAACGTCAATTAAACAAAGATTTAGCCAAGAACATCAACCTTCTCTTCTCTTTTCTTTCTTTTCTTTTTGTTTGTTAAAATGATGCCATTGTTGTGTTTTTAAAAAAAAACAACAGACAAAGAGTGAAAGCAAAACGTGCGAATCGATCTTTATAGATTTTCTTTTTAATTCAAATAGATAACTTTTCTTTCCCCAAAAAAAGAAAGAATGATTATCTTTATGGTTGCAGAAAAGCCTTCACTGGCTTTGTCAATCTCACAAATTCTTTCCAATGGTCAATTATCAACACGAAAAGGATTTAATAATGTGTGTAGTATTCATGAATGGACAGGAAAATATCAATCCAACCCGTCCGCACGGTTTCGTATGACATCCGTAGCTGGTCATGTTTTTGGTATTGATTTCGTTCCGCGATATAATAATTGGGATAAAGTTGATCCAGTAAGATGTTTCCTTTTCTTCGATATTTTGTAAAAGAATTTCCTAGGCAGAGTTGTTTGCTGGTGAAACGTTGAAAAAAGAAGCATCGCCCAATCATCGTATGCCGAATTTTCTGGAGAAAGAAGCACGAGGTGCAGATGTGGTCATTCTGTGGTTAGATTGTGATAAAGAAGGAGAAAATATTTGTTTCGAAGTCATCGATTGTATTAGTTCGTCGATTAATCAACACGTTCGTTTAAAAGGATTCAAATGTGGAAAATTTCCTAAAGTTTTGTTTGCAGGCAAAGATTCTTCGAGCAAAATTTAGTTCGATTACCGATAAGGATATTCGCCACGCTTTTAACAATCTTGGCTATCCGGATAAAAATCAATCATTATCAGTTGAAGCTCGACAAGAAATAGATTTGCGAATTGGTTGCGCATTTACGCGCTTTCAAACGCGATATTTTCAAGTAAGCATCACAAATTGTTTGCTCTCAGCAGGTTTTGTTTGCGCTTAGGGAAAATATGGAGATTTGGATAGTAGTTGTATATCTTATGGACCATGTCAAACGCCCACACTTGGTTTTTGTGTCGACCGGTATGATAAAATACAATCATTTCAATCGGAACCTTATTGGTTACTGTCTGCTGAAGTAAATTTTTATTTATGAACTTTTTGAGAGAAGTTTGATTTTCTTCAAGATTAAGCATTCAAATGGAAAAACATTGAAACTCCATTGGGATCGTGGTCATCTGTTTGATAAAGAGATCGCTTATTTGTTTCTGAATACTATTAAATCAGTGAATAAAATTCGGTAAATCAAAACTGAATATTTATAAAAAAAAAATTCCATTTCTTCTTCAGAGTTATTTCTACCAAAACAGAAAAGAAACATAAAGGTCGTCCCAATGCTTTGAATACAGTTGAGTTACTCAAAGTGGCCAGCGCTGGTCTTGGTACGATTGATATATTCATTCAAAACACGAATCAATCATGTTCGTTTAGGCATGAGTCCACATCATGCTATGCAAATTGCTGAGCGTCTCTATACATCCGGTTATATTAGTTATCCACGTACAGAAACCACACAATATGCTGATAATGCTGATCTTAAGTAAAACATTTTCGTGAAAACTTCTTCTTGCGTAAATAGATTATTGCATTCAGAGGTGTCATTCGTGAATTGTCAAACTGTTCCGGTTCAGATTGGCAGAATCATATCAAAAGTTTGCTTTCCGAAGGACAATTTACTTCGCCAAAACGTGGTAAAGATGTCGGTGACCATCCTCCGATTACTCCTGTAAAATCAGCGAATTCAGCAGCCGTTGGTGGCGGTGATTATTGGCGTTTATATGATTATGTCTGTCGTCATTTTATTGCCACAGTATGACTTTCCACACTTCAATAGTTAACGTGTTTCTTTCTTTCTTATATGAATATAGGTTAGTCCTGATTGTATTTATGAGGAAAAAACAGTTTTGTTCGAAGCAGCAAATGAAGTGTTCTCATTATCTGGAAAGAATGTTATCGAGCCCGGTTTTACATCGATCATGCCTTGGAAACGTGTATCCGATGATGATCCCATACCGATGTTCACCAATAATGAAGAATTTACTATTGAAGATATGAAGTTAGATGAACGACATACCACAGCTCCTGATTATTTAACTGAAAGTGAAGTGATCTCAATGATGGAAAAACATGGTATCGGTACTGATGCAAGTATTCCTGTTCATATTAATAATATTTGCGAAAGAAATTATGTCAAAGTCGATAATGGTCGGCGTTTGATTCCAACATCATTAGGCATTGTGCTTGTTCACGGTTACCAAAAGGTAAAATGCAAGGATTTATTTCAGAATAAATATTCATTTGATGATTTAGATTGATCCGGAATTGTCATTGCCACATATGAGATCATCTGTTGAAACAGAATTAAATGAAGTTTGTATTTAATTTGACTATGTAAAAGAGAATTTACCCTGCTTTGTATTAGATTGCTTTGGGTCGTGCAAATTATAAACAAGTCGTGACACATGTTCTTCGAATCTTTGAACAAAAATTTCACTATTTTGTTCAACATATTCTGGGAATGGATTCACTCTTTGAAGTGTCATTTTCATCTTTAGCTGCTAGTGGAAAACCATTCGTCAGGTAGACTAAACTTTTTCTCCTTCGATCGCATTGAAGTTGATCGTTTTCTTCTAGATGTGGAAAGTGTCGTCGATATATGAAATTGATTGAATCTCGACCAAGTCGTTTACATTGTGAAACATGTAAAGAAACGTACAATCTTCCGCAGAATGGTCTGATCAAAGGTTTCAAAGAACTTCGATGTCCATTGGATGAATTCGAACTGGTTCAATTCGTTGGAAATAACAACGGCAAAGTACATCATTCTTCCTGCATGTCGTGTCATTCAGTTGATGAATTTCTTTAGAGTTTTTCATTGTGTCCTTATTGTTTTAACAATCCGCCATTCAACGACATGCATAAAAATGCTGGCTGTAATGAATGTACACATCCAACATGTCGATATTCACTCGGTCACAATGGCATCTGCGCTTGTTATATATGTAAACAAGGTGTTTTTGTCTTAGATATATCATCTGCACCGAAATATCGACTGGCTTGTAATAAGTACGTACTTACTGAACGAGGTGATGTTCGTTTTTGTAAAATATCGATTTAGATGTCCGTTTGTTTTGACATTACCTGAAGCGATTCAAAAGGTTACAGTGAAAGATGGAGAATTTTGTAAACGATGTGATACAGCTCTAGTCAATGTTGAATTTAACAAAGTAGGCGATACGAAGAATGATCATAATGACTTTGATGATTGTTTTTGAAGGAGAAAAATCCCGATTTAACAAATTTAACATCAGCCTGTATACTTTGTCACGAATATTTTCTCGAAACAATCCAAAAAACAGTTACTTATATAACAAATATGCAAAATCGGCCAAGTACAGGTCGCGGTGGACAAAGAGGTGGTCGTGGTCAAGGTCGCGGAAGAGGTGGCGGTCGTGGTGGACGTGGCCGAGGAAGAGGTTCTTCACGAGGTGGCGGTCGAGGACGTGGTCGGGGACGAAATTAATGAACGATTTCTTTTGTTCTCGTTATTTTATTGAACTTTTTTCTTAAACAAAGCTATTGTTTTGCCTGAGGTTCATTGTTTTGTTTTTATTTCAGATTGCTCAAAATGACGACGAAACCAAATCAACCAGACTCTGATGTCGAAGCTGACTTCAATGCTCGTGCGACTCAACTCGAAAATTCCTTAACTGAACTAGAAACTTTCCTATCCCGTCTTGATTCTGTCTCCTATTCCACTTTACACGAAAGTTTAACTCCAGTCGATCAAGCACGATTCGACCTCACAGCAGCTTACACATTAAATTCGTTAATGTGGGCGTATCTACGAACACGCGGCGTCGATCCTAAACAAACGCAATTGAAAAGTGAATTAGAACGTGTGAAATCTTATATGGACAAATTGAAAGCTGTTGTAGATCGACAAACAGCTTCAAGAATTGATAAACAAGCATCGACAAGATTGATGAGAAATGCTCTTTGGCAACAAGCACATGCGAAGAACAAAAAAGATGAACAATAAACACATTCAATGTTTCTTTGTGTTCTGAAGAAAAAATGTTTTTGTTATTAAAAAAGAAATTTCCAATGAAAAAATGTATCGATCTGATTGTTTTATCAACTTGTTTCTCTACGAAAAAATAATCAGTCTATCCAGATGTGAAGTTCTTCATAAATCATATGCATACTTGTCTGTTTTACATATAAAATTCTCATCAAATATTCTGTTCGTTCTATTCATATGTATATCGAGATAATCCATGCATTAAAATGATGAAAAATACGAACAATCTCAATTAATATGAAACATTGAATCTATTATTATTGAAATCTATAGAAAATATTTCATCAAATTCATAGGATTGGTGATCACATAAAAAATGAACAATACATATAAATAAATTTTCAATCCACTATTGAGTATCGTTCTTTCAACAGTATAAATGAAAATACAATCGTTGATCATCACACAGAATATGAATAAATCTCACCAAATATTTGTTCAATTATGTTAACATTTCGATTTCCTTTGCGATTTCATCCAATACTGAAATTAATGACGAGAGATTTGAATAGTTTATAGAAAGATTCTGATCGATTATTCCGTTTCCTTCCGTTGACACAATCAATTCGTGCACGATGTTCTACGTTGAACATAATATGGAATAATTTCTACCACGACCGTAAAAATACATTTATTCGACTATTCTATCGATTGAATATAATCAATGTATGTGAAAAATAAAATATTCTATGTTTACAAGGAAGATGAACAAGCAAAACCGAGAAATATTCAGTCAGAAATTCTATATTTTCATAAAGACATATTCATTGACAGTTTTTGTTTATTGATGATAACGAATATGAATAGATCGAACGACAAGAATATCTTTTTTCAAGTACTTTCACGATCTTCACTCAAAAACAAACTGCTCAAGTAAGTATTTTGAATTATATCATAGATGAATTATCTGTACCACGACAACAAGGAAAAGTATCTGAAAAATTCTATTCATATATTAACTTGATTCATAAGTAATTCACATTTAATCTATACACTATTCAAAATGATGAGTTTTTCGAATTTTTCTGACAATATTTCTATTCAAATATCTTATTCACTCATAAAAATATTCTTCACATCAATGAACGATATCATAATGGACTAATAAACAAATATATCAAAGGTTCACCATGTGCAGCACAAGTTGCGTTAGATTCTTGATTAAATAACATTCCAGCTAATTGAGTCAGATTATACATTGATGTAGCAGTATCAATGACATCATCTTCATTTTTTTCATCAGTAATGGTAGTCTTTTCATTCATTGTTACAATTGGAATAATTAATAGTAGAAAGAAAAGTATTTTGATGAAGTACATTATGAATATTCTGCAAGAAACGTTGTCTGACTAAAGGATACCTCTGTTCTACTGAATTATATACACAAAATGTGACTGTGTACATTTGATTCATTACACGAACGCAAGTAATCAATCAAGCGTGTCCTTTCAACGCACATTCGTACGGAAGAGAAGAATGAACTATTTGTATTCCTTACATGATACATAGTTGACTGTAGAGCAATATTTATGTGTCTTTTGTTCAAATACACAGGTTGCTACTGAACAAACATATTGTATTTATTAGGTGAAGAAGTATTTTACGATGAATATTCAATGAGTCGAGGACTATGGTATTTGTCTGAAAACTATCGTTATTTAATAATAGTAATTTGTGTAAAAATTCTACAATAAATTTAACATTTATTGCAATTCATTTCGAACGATTTTTAACAAAGATTATTAAGTAAATCAGTAACGTCTATACGTCGAATTTGCGAACCATTTTTCAAAACAACTGTCCAAGTGCTAATTACATTCATTCGTTTCAAAAAACACCCAAGGCATTGCGTCACACACTAGACTTCATAAAAGATTGCTCTTTTTCATAAATCGAACAAGTTAACCATGTGTCCTACAACATTTTTGAAAACTAGTGTATATCTCTGGTAACTCTGATAATTCTGTCGGTTCTAACAGTGCAAAAACTGTTTTCGTATAAAGGTTATACGTAAACGATGATATTACAAATTGACAATTCAGAATTATAGAACTGAGCTAGGTCTCCTGATTACTGAGAAACAGAACTACGAAACAAATGAATAGATTTACTTTCTATGAAAGATAGTGAAACTGCGCCAACGACAGTCTAATTGTAGATGTCGTTAGCGGTAATAAAACAAATAGTCTTCCTTTTGATTCGTTGGTGTGATAATCTATTCGCAATGCACCAGATAGAAAGGTGTTCATCTCTTCTGAAAAACTGCTGTAATAGATTGTAAGATTGGAAAACTTCGTGAAATTCGGAAGACCAATCGTGACACATAACATATAAAATATATATTTATTTTAGATTAACGAATTTGTCAGAAAAAGATTCTTGAAATGGAACTCTTTTCGTTTGTTGACGATATTAGGTAATAAGATGAAACTGGTTCTAAGTGATTTAATAATCCGATTTGATTTCTATTTTAGACGTATGAATAAACGACAGGTAACAATAATGAATTCCATCGATTGAGCGTATAACAGTCATTGCTTTAGGCTATATATCAAGTACTCAATTTTGGAATGATTGTTTCTACCGCCTTGATGATATGGAAAGGACTTATGGTTGTAACAGGTAGTGAAAGTCCGATTGTCGTTGTACTAAGGTAAGTTTATTTGAATTGAATTGATCCGATATTGATGCATACGATTACGTTTTTTAGTGGTAGTATGGAGCCTGCTTTTCATCGCGGTGATCTTCTTTTACTTACGAATTATCATGAAGAACCTATCCGCGCTGGTGATATTGTTGTTTTCCGAATTGAAGGTCGAGATATTCCAATTGTTCATCGAGTTCTAAAAGTCCACGAAAAGTCTGTTTTTTTTTCTCTTTGTCGTTGACAAACCAAAACCTTTTGTATGAATCTTCTAGAGATGATGGTTACGTGAAATTCTTAACTAAAGGTGACAACAATCAAGTTGACGATCGTGGCCTTTACTCTCCAGGACAATTATGGCTCGAAAAGAAGGATGTGATTGGTCGTGCTCGAGGGTATTTCTTTGAATACTTGCTTTAAATCATGTTCACTTTTGTTCTATTAGATTTCTTCCATATATTGGCATGGTGACGATTGTAATGAATGACTATCCACAATTGAAATATTTCGTCTTAGCTGTTCTTGGCTTCTTCGTTTTAGTGAATCGTGAAAACTAAAAGCAATATGGATCTAATTTAACTATTCATCAAAAAAAAGAGAAAAAAAAATAAGGAAAAATACTTCTAGTTTATCTTCTTGTTCGTTGTTGTTGTTTGACTTGATCAGAAAGAGAAAAAAAAACACACATTTGATTATCATCTCATGTCCTTTTAGATACAATGTCATCGAAACCGAACTCATCGAAAGGAAGTTCACGTTCGAATAATACAATATCGCAGTTCGATCGTGGTCCCGTTCGAATTCTTAATCATACTTCACCATTAAAACAATCAGAAATCATCTCCTTACAACTGCTATTTTTCGCATCGTTAGAAGTTCTTTCATTAACATTAACAAACAATGATTCAACAAAGTCACGTCCATTATTTCAATTATTATTACACATTTTAACAACTAGTGGAATCCTTCCATCATCAATGAATATCTCCGCTATGGCTGTGAATCAGTTAGATTTTGTTAGGAATTATGTTCGAACTTTACAGGCGGCAATTCAAACAGCTTTGAATATCATTCAACAACCTCCATCAACAACAGATGGGCCGACGATTATCAGTATGTTAGAGAGAGATTTTGCGAAAATTTTACTTATGACTCCAACACCGCCAATAACGCCACCTTCAAACATAAGCATTGACATCCCTCAACCAGATATTCAACTAAAAGTTCCATTACCGTTAGCCATGAATGGAACGGCTTCCTCAAATGGTTTTGATAATATTGTGATATTGCGGTATGCGAGAGATTTCTATGAACTTGGAAGAATAGGCAAAGGTGCTTTCGGTAAGGAGAATGATGAGAAGTTTTCATTATAAATGTTTGTTCGTTTTAGGATCAGTCTTTCGTGCGAAAAATCGTTTAGATGATTGTACTTATGCAATAAAGAAGATTGTTTTCAAAGATAATTCCGATCGAACACGTCGACAAGCGAATATAGCGTTACGTGAAGTACGAGTTTTAGCATCGTTAAGTCATCCAAATATCGTTCAATACCATTGTGCATGGTTGGAACTAGTTCCCTGTGAAACATCATTGCATCGACCGCGATCAGCATCACCACATTTACAGAAACAAAAATCTTTATCACATAATCATCATTCAGATTCAATGGATGAATTAATCGAATTTAAACACACAGTTTCGTCAGCAACGGATGATGAAATCCAATTGAATCATTCGTCAACATCACAAGTTGATGATGAAATCAGTGAGGTAAAAGACTGATTGTTTTCCATTGATTTTATATGAAAACTTTCGTTTGTTTTAGACATCGAATTTGGAACAACAAAATCAAAGTTTTAATACTCATAGTCACCGTAAATCTCAGTCAGATGGTGCTAGTTCGTCTATCAGCCAATCACAAATCTTCTATCAACGTTCGATATCTAATGGAAGTTCATATAATAAGCAACTAATTCCATTTCAAGCAGCTCAAAAACAACTTATTCCAACGACGACTGCTCAATCAGAATACACCAATTCTCGACTTGTTCTTTTCATTCAGATGCAATCGTGTGATACAACTCTATATACTTGGCTACGTCATCGCGATCAAGCGATTATTGACAAAACACCCGGTGTGCCCAAAGTATTGAATCAATTAGGTCAAAACGAATGTTGGCATATATTCAAACAACTTCTATCTGCAGTTCAGGTAAATTCGATGAATTGATTAAAAAAACTCATATCTAATCGATACCTATGTTCTAGTATCTCCATTCCCATTCACTTGTTCATCGTGATATCAAACCAAAAAATATTCTTCTCTCTTATGAAGCAAAAGATCAATCATCTGTTCATGTTCGTTTAGGTGATTTCGGTTTAACAACAATATTTGGTTCAGAACTCTCACCAAGTTCAGCCCCACACTTTCAAATAGGCGAATCTGCAGGTGTTGGCACACCTCTATATGCTCCACCTGAACAATTGAATTCCCGTCATTGTATTGCCACATGTTATTCCGATTCATATAGTTTAGGAATTGTACTTTTTGAATTATTTAATATTTTTGGTACGGAATCCGAACGATGTCATCTCCTAGCGGACTTACGTGCTTATATGGAAGTGGGCAAAACATTTGCAGCAAATTATCCATTCGAGACAAGTCTTATTGAACAACTAGTGCAGATTGAGACCGAAAAACGATTGACTGTCGATGAAATTTTAACGAAATACTCTCAAGAGATTCAACAACGAATTCGAAAACGACAAAGCTTAACGAAACAGATGATTATTGACCAATTACAAGAAACCTTAAAAGATAAAGACAAGAGAATTCAAGAATTAGAATTGGAATTAGAAAAAACTAAAACCTAGATTTCTGTTTTGTTTTTCCTTGATTAGATCAATTCTTTATATTTATTTAAATACTAAACAGGAACAGAAACGACTTAGATCTGATAACTTTCTAAAATACCCAGTTTTCCATGTGTGTATATTTCGATATTTTCTTAATATAATAAAGACAAACGTCAATTTGTTGTTTCCTATTTCGGAATTTCAGAATTATAGAAAAATTTCCGGTAGATTTTTATCCAATAACTATTTTATCCCATATGGATCACTACTGCATTGTACGTGTAACATAGTCTACAGATAACCAACGAAAGTACCAAAACACGTATTATTCTGTATCATTTCTTCTCTTCTTTTTTGTTGTGGAACAGAAGGAAAAGAAAACTGATTCGCAATTTTCTGACGAATGATCGCCTACTAAAAAATGTTTTTCGCTCGAGCAAAGTACACCAGTGTGTAACAAAATATGATCAGGCATGTTAGTTTTCGGAATAAAATAGCTTATTGTAGTCGTTTGAATAACGCTGGACAGACCAAATTCAGATTCACTCAATCCAATCGTCCTCGCTTCCCTTGCGTATGCGTTAGTGTGGTATTTGCCTATACTCCTTATTCAAAAAGAGAAATTTGTTAAATTTTTCGAAGTATTCTACAAGAAAGAGACGAAATGCGTTTGATTTCAATCGATCTTTATTCACATATACTAAAATGTTAACTTAACATAGAAATTCTTTTCTTTCTGTGTTAATAAACGCAACCTATACGGGTTCTTTTCAATCGATTATACTTTTAGAAAGTATTCTATGGTCAATGATAAGAAGAATTTTATCAAATTGCTTATCTTAAGTGGTATAGTTCTATACGTTCTATTCACATTAAATAAACGTGCGAAAAAGATGCATTTCTCGATTGAAAACCAATGGAATTCCATACCAATCACTGATCACGAACCAGTTCGAATTCATCTCTTATCCGCCGATGATAAAAATCATCTCTTAATTGAAATCGATGCGCCATTTTTCAACGACCCAGCTCCACCGACAAAATCTTCGACACCTGGTTCATATCCCGAACTATGGAACTACGAAGTTGTGGAACTGTTCTTTCTATCATCATCAACAAATCATTATCTTGAATTAGAATTTTCTCCTCATGGTCATTATCTTGTTCTTCTCTTACTCGATCGTCGAAAAGAATTGAAACAAATGTTACCATTACCATTTTATCAAGTCGAACGACCTTCATCAACTCGATGGATCGGTCGCGCACGTATTCCTCGTTCATTATTTCCCGCTCATGTTGATCGTTTCAATGCTTATGCTATTCATGGTGAAAATGACCAACGAACTTATGAATCTCTTTATCCAGCGCCGAGCGATAGTGTTAAACCTGATTTTCATCGCTTAGAATTCTTTCGGTCAATAGACTTCGAATCATTATTAAACATCGGCGAACATGATGGTGATTCATGGCAGAATAACTAATGTCTCATATGTAAATTTTGATTTTATAAACGAAAAGTGAAGTTGTTGAAGTGTGTAAACGAACAGTGATTATAAATTGATCCGATTTATTTCATATTCTATATAAAGAAATAAAAATTGACTTTTCTTTTCAAAAAAAAAATACATGCCACCGAAGTAAGTAATGAACACAAAATCGGCTCAACACTACGACTAATCATCAGTTGTTTAATTTGTCAAATGGACATCTTGTCTTTTGTTCTTTGTGTTTAAGAAGTGTCCATCAACGTAAAAGTTTGTCAAAGCGTTATTCAACATCGACAATCCATGATGATTCAAGTGATGAAAAAGGTGAAGATTGTTACTCTTTGATTTGTTCAAAGAAGTTTTTTTCTTCTACCTGTCGTTCTCCATTTCACTCTCTTCTATTGACTCACTTAAACTAAGCAAAAAAATTGAAATGATTTAACACAAACAACAACATTTCTCACTCACGTTTGCTTATTGACGTTGTTAACGACGAGAACAATGACATTGTTCCTTCGTCGTCCACACAACAGTTTTTCTCTCTCTCCTTCTTTCAATCATTTAACTTCAAACTCGACAAAACTTTTTTTTTCAATTTTTCTTCTGGTCTTGTTAACGATTTCACTGTAATTCATTATGAAATGACAAGCAAAGCAGCACGTATCAAATCAACAGCAGCAAATGCTGCAAGTAACGCTGCGAAAAAGACCGACTCAGGTATTAATTATTCCAACAGGAAAGAGAAACACAAAGCAATTATAATTATATACTTCTTAATTGATGAAATATTTATTTCAATCTCTTGTTTTTTTTTGTTGTTATTTATTAGCTGAACCGTATCATTGCAAAGGAAGATTCTTCGAAGATTTCGATGCGTTATGTCGACAAGCACAAGTTACTTTTATGATTCCAATTTTTCCACGAGCACGAGTGCCGGGAACTCCAATGGCAACTTCATCAACAACAGAAGTCAAAGACAAGGCGGCTCCGAAAGGTGCGAAAGCAGCTGCCAATAAAGAACGAGAAGCTGCAGCGGCGGCGGCCGCGGCGGCTGCTGCTCTCCAGCAGCAACAATCACATATAGACGGTGATCTCGGAGAATCCTCTCGTGGTTTGTTCAATCTTAAATATCTTTTTCTTTTCCTACTCGAACGTGTCCTTTAGAGGAACCAATACCTAAAACATATACTTCTTGTGACCATCTTAAATATTTTACACCGAAAATCCAAGTAGAAACGGAAAATCCCGATAAACAAGATACTGTGACGGAAATTCATATCCATGCATGGAAAATTGATCGACAAATCTTAGATATCTTCGCTCAATCCTTTCCAACACTAGATCGATTACATACACTTAATTTTTGGCACACCGGTTTTACTGATGACACTCTGAAACAATTAGCATCTTTCCTTCCAAAGTGTCCAAACATTCGCACGTTAGTTCTCGATAATAATCCGATTCCATTCGAGCGCTACGATGTGCTTTTGATGGATGATAACTCTCCGATTGTAAATTTATCTCTTCGACATTGTCGAATTACCGAGCGTGGTGCTGCATCGATTGCTCAAGGTTTAGGAAATGAACGACGACAAAACAAAAAACTACAAACACTTAATTTAGCGTACAATTCATTAGGTGATATCGGTGCTGAATATATTGCACGAGGTTTGAGGTTTAATCGAACATTGCTTGTGCTAAATTTAAGTGCTAATGATATTACTGATCAAGGTGCTCGAAAACTCGCTGAAGTACTCAGTAAATTTCCATTAACACAAGAAGAATTGGCCTATCGGAGAAAATTAATTCTATATTCATCATCAGAAAACGCCGCTGGTGCTCATTCAGCGCGGCGAGGAGATCGACGAACGTCGTTCAATTCAAGTCCAACAGGTGTGTCGAGAAAGAAATCAGGCTTGGCAGCCGCGACATTACCCGCCAAGATCAAAGGTGGAACGGGTACAACGGGTGGCAAAGTTTGTCTCTTGAAAGGTTTTATTCAAACATTGTTTTTTCGTGAATAGGCTGATGGTAAAGAAACCTTGAAAGCACCAAAAAAAGAAGATAAGGCCGCGAAGAACAACGCAACCATCGCTGCTAGTAAAACGGCCAAAGGTCCTGCTGGTAAACCAAGTACCGAAAAAAATCCGAAACTATCGAGTACAATGAAAGCTTCGGATAAGAACGCAGGAAATCGTTCGGCGACACAAAGTGAAACTGAAGTAAATCATTTCGTTTTTCTTTCTCAACTTGTTTCTTATCAGAGCTCTTTATGCTTTACATATTTGCACAATGATGTTGTATTTTCTTTATGACTATTGCAATTTTTTACAGTTCAATCTCGGCGAAGGTATTCCATTACTTGATCCGAATGCCGTGCTAGTCGATGATGATTTTGTTCTCCCGGGAAATCGTTGTTTACTTAGTTTAAATCTAACAAGTAAAAAATGACTTGTTTTCAAAGTTATGAAATTTATCTTTCATTTTCAATAGAAAATCACATATCTGCAACAGGCGTCGAACATTTTCTTCAAGCAATACGATATCAAAAGACGTTTGCTGATTTAAATTATTCGACACGAAATTCTTCATCAGCTGGGAACCCAGCGAATCCCAGTCAAGGTCTTCTTCGACTTGAATTACAGGTAAATCGAAAAGAGGAACCGCCTTTAAGTACTCTTGTTTCTTCTCTTTCAGCGCAATGATTTTGTTACTTCCGAATGTGAAGCTTTCGAAAAGATTCAAAACTTGCTCAAAAACCGTCGTGAACCTATTTTCAAAAGCAAAGAACCTGAAGAGATTCCAACCAGTGGCAGAGAAACGGCTGGCGCTTCCCATTCAAAAACCCGCACAGGTTCCTATTAAAACAAAAAACATTTCATACCAAAAAATACCGAACTTGTCGTTGTCTTCTAGGAACGAAACATTGAACGAACGCTTGTGAGACCAGCTTTCGTGATAATCTCAAAAAATGCATTCAATCTCGATTTGAGGACTATCACAAGAACTGGCCACATTTCGAAACTTTCCAACAAGCGTTTCATCTTCTAAACTTACTATTTCATCTGTTGTTCGTCGTCGCATTTCGTTTATCACCCTTCTCTTCTCTCTCTCTCGCATGATATATTTATTCCTCACCACACATATACAAAGTAAAAGAGTCTTATCTTAAGTGCACAACAATCTTTCTCTCTCTCTCGGATGATGACAGTCAGTCGCTTTTTTTTTCGTCGTCGTCGTTTAGCCTTCGCGTTTTTTCTCTTCTCTTACTTACACAGATATACACGAAAAATGAAAATGTGTGCGTGTGGGTTTTTCAGGATAAAAAACGAAACGAATACTTATTTCATGTATGAGAAATATTTGATTCTGTCTGAGAGAGAGAGAGAGAGAGAGAGAGAGAGAAAAAAAAAGTCGAAAAAGACGTGCAAATGAAGATATGTTATGAAAACGAAGGAACGAGAAAAATGATAATTCACAATGATAACAGCTATATTACTTAACGCAGGTGATCTATTTACTTTTCGAATGTGAAGACAGCTGAGACGATAAAAACGAGAGAGAGAATTATATCATAAAATCGACAAACTTCTTTTTTTTATAAGGCTATTGAGACAACAAAGGCCTTTTGAAATGAAGAAGAAGAAGAAAGACGACGATGAAGAATTGATTTTATTGTCGTTGTTATTGAGATGAGCACTTAAACTATATCAAATATGCAAGAAGCTAATCCTTTGGTTAAATAATCGTTCGATTTATCTGAACAAAATGATGATTAATCAGATTGTCAATGAATATCACATGAGAATTTCACTATTCAGATGCATTTTTTCATTGTTAATGAGAAAATGATTCGATTGTATGTTTTTCTTGACCGGCAGATATGCGAATTTTAAGAACGAACATTGTTGAAAGTCAGTGATTGATAAATTTCTCGTTATCAGTTGATCGAGTGTCGTTAGAATCGATGATTTTGTCATGTTTATTAGATGCATTCGAATGTTTTGAACAACAAATCGATTTATGTATGTACGATTTCATATGACAGAAGTGTTTTATCAAGAGTTAAGTGAATTATGTAATCGTAGAGAGATATTCGTTGATTAAATTTCAAATGATATTCGAGATTTCGAAGTGCGAACATAATCGTTGTGACGCACATTGATTCTGCAGAATTTTTATTAAGAAAATGGAAGTTGTATTGCAATTATCTATGGGATATCTACGAGAATAATGTTCAAAGACTTTAATTCGATGAAAAACTACATGAATCCTGGTTTCTTGCCATTCAGAACATTGACTGTGAGGTAATGATGCACTCTTATGTAGGAAATGATTTCCTATTGGATGATAATTATCTTCATAATAATAGAAAAACATCTTTTTAGGTGTTTTTCTCTCGATGAGATACGAGATTTCGTTTTAGAATTGCACGATTGAATTTTGGATGTAAATCAATGATGAAAACGGTGATTTTATACTAAAGATTTTTTTTTCTTGTTTTCCTTTCACTTTTTGGAATACAGACAGTGAAAACAACACAAACAGAAAGATGACACCGGTAAAACTGGTTGTATAAGAGAAAAACTAAAAGCTTGAGATATACTAAATTTTTGTCTGCTCCAGTTGAATTTCAAGTCGCTTATTCATAGATCCATCGTTCAGCAGTGTGTGGCCAGTTAGCGATTTCATCTGGACGGAACCATAAGTCAATTTCACGTTTGGCGGCTTTGTCGGAATCGCTACCATGAACAATGTTACTAAAATTTCCAAAAAAATCCCGATCAATCAACAAACTTCGACGAAAAATTCTCTTCCTTACCGTCCGGTAACAATAGCGTAGTCACCACGGATGGTACCAGGTTCAGATTTAGCGGGGTCAGTAGCACCAAGCATCTTACGACCAACTGTGATAACGTTTAAACCTTCCCAAACCTACAAAGATCAGAACATAGAATTTTTTTCTAAAAGTATAGCTTCAATGCATCGTCATACCATAGCAACGACTGGTCCACTGCCGATGTAGGATAAAAGTGGTTCGTAGAATTTCTTGCCTTTGTGTTCTTCGTAGTGGCTTTCGAGTAAAGCTCGTGGGGCCTAAAAAGAAAGTTGTTTAGTTTCACAATACAAACTCGATTTGAGGAAACTATTACTTGGATCATTTTAAGGGCAACGAGTTTGTAACCACGTTGTTCAAAACGGCGAAGGATATCACCGACAAGTCCTCGTTGGACACCATCGGGTTTAATCATGATAAATGAACGTTCATTAGCATCAGCCATTTTTTCCGAATGAAGGTTTGACGACGTTAATTGATCGAAAATCTACAAGTAAATTTTCAAATTATTCACAAAATCTTCCACTGATGATCGGCCTCTATTTTCATTTCATCACAACGTTTACTTTACAGAATGTCTTTTACACAGAGTGAAAGTTTAAGAATATAAGAGAGAAAAACAAGCATTATAGAAGTGTGTAACCCCTTTTCTCTTGGAGAAAAAAAAACAAAACGAAGTGGAGGGTTCGGAGTGCGATAGAAAAGACGAGAAAGAAAGAAAGAAAAATAAAATGTCTACTCAGCTGGCTAGAGGACAACAATATATACACGTGCTGACGTGTACACCAGCAGCATCGTCAAACTAATGAAATCGATCCACTGCCGTTCGGAATAGATTCCTCCACTAACACTTTCTACAATAGATGGCAATAAATTCTAAAACCAAATAAACTAACCTTTCCATCGCCGTCGGTACACGATGTATCGTCATTTGATTGTTGTGAACATTGTTCTTGTTGCTCATCAACGTAAACATTCGCTGTCGATGGATCACAACAACTGTGTGTGATTAAAGTTAATGTGATTAATAAAACAATCAGACCGAACATAATTTTTTCACTCTCTTCCGAGAAATATCTAACATACAAATGCAATAGTTGGTCACAGATGCATTTCTGAAGAAGAGAAAAGGAAAAAAGCGGGGTGATACGATCGATTCACTCGTGATGGAGCAGTCTAAGTCAGAAGATATAAATATCTTCGTTTAATTGAAGATAATCAGCTTTTTCTTTTTATAGAATATGACAAGAACGAGGGTTTTGCTTTTAATTCGTTGTTTATTCTTTTATAATTAGAATTGAACTCATTATTCATATGCACATAATGAAAATAAACAAGAAGAGCTTTGCAGATGCCATTCAACAATCTTTGTTTTATTAAACATCCGACCGCAAACATGTTGATCATCGCTGCGATCTCTTTTATAGTTTTTTTTTTCAAATATCTAAACAAGTGAAAATAAAAAGCAACAGTCCGTATAGATACATAACATCGACATCGTTTTCTACCTTTGATTGTTCATCTTCCGCTAGAAAGGAAACATATAAGATCTCTGCGATGAGTGAAGACGGCGACTTACACGAGATAAGGATCCATTTCAGCTGGATATGGATACGATTTGACTTTTCGAGATTCGAGCATTTGATGAATGAAATCAATTGAAATCGGCCCGTCAACCGAATGTTTCCAGCGTTTAGAAAATCGTGTTTGTGGACGATTCAAGCAGAATTGTCTATAAAAAAAAGTTTCCTTCAACAAGAACGAAATTGTTTCGACAATATTCACATACGATAGTTCATTGATACGAATAGCTGCAGAGATTTCATCCTTCTTTTCATATTGCGACAGATCACTAAAATCAAATGATATGCTTTCATTCTATTCGAATGACTCTTTACCGTTTAGAAACTTCTTCACATGATTCGAAGAGATTGAACGCAGGCGGTTCTCCATGCTCTTTGATAAAAACACTGATGAAATTTGTCATCTCTTCCGAATCTTTTGTTATACTAAACAATAGGTATTCTGTCGAGTTTGATACGCATTCAGAACTCAACATGGTTACCTGCATAAGTAAGCATGAAAGTCATGTTTTTTGGAACCACTCGTTTCCGTTCCGCTTTTAGTCAGTGGTTCATTATGATGATTATGGTGAATTTTATGGCTTGTAGATAGAAAACGATTCATATCAGGAAATGGCATTGCAAAGCGTTTTTCTCTAAACAAAAGCGATTCAATCAAATTTTAACGAGTTGGTCATTAGTAACGTACGTTGAAGTCATTGTCTTCGATGTAGGTTTTTGTTTTTGTGGTAATCTAACGAAAATTTGTTTGAAACAGATAGATCAAAAGATTTCCTCCAACTTACTGTGAAACATATGAACAAAGTTGATCAATTTGACTAGGGGAGAGATTAGCAAGACTAAAAAGACGATTTGTCAATGAAATTTGTTGATAAAAGAGACACACTTACTTAGTAGAAACAGTCAATGGGTAAGTGTAAATTGAATCTTTAATTGTTAACATAAAAATACATGAGAAAACAATAGTAAAGAAGTTCATGGTGTAGTATTTCAAGAATAAAAAATATTAATCTAAAGTAAAGAAGAATTCTTCTCTTTCTTAGAAATATAAAAATGTGAAAGAAGTTAAAACATATATTTCCGTAGATGAAGTCGCTTTTTATCACGGAATTTTTCGTCATTATCGAAGATATGTTATGTTCTTTCAATGATAGGAAAATCGTGCATAATTTTTCTACTAATTTCTGTTTCTTCCATACCTGAGCGTAAATATTAAATAAAAAAAAATACGTAGAACAATTGTTTTGTTTCGTAAAGAAATCTCACCCACTTTATTGATCAATCTTTGACGTCAATCGACGAGTTTAATTTGTCTATAAATTAACATAAAATATTAATTTAATTAAACATACAAATATGTGTAAATATACCTTCGTTAACAACTTCTGGAGATGTCTTGTCAATGTTTTCACAGAGACTATTTCGAAGTTAGTGACAAGCATTAATCAATTGACAATTATCTAAAAATGCAAGTCAAGCAAAATGGAAAAATTCCTAGCTATTATGTAAGTTAAAGACTCTATGAAGAGAAAAAGAGAGAGAGAGAACATATAGTTTAGAGAAAAACATATAATTTAGTTCGATGCAAATCTAAATGAGTTATCTGAAACAGCCTGTTTCCCACGCCTCCCACGTATTGACGAACAGCTGTAGATTTCAATCAGATGTCTAACGATACCTGATAAAAAAATAAGTGCTAATCCTGTCGAGTTGTTATCGACGGTCATGGCAATATTACTATTTATGGCAATTTCAACGCGAGAAAATATTTGATCTATTCACTCTAAACATGACGTATTCAATTGGTAGAAAAATTCGGTGACATATGATTTTTGAGAAGTGAAAACACCTGTTAAACGCATGCTTTTTCTACTCACCAGACTATGCATGACTTAGCAGACCAAAACCACGAGTAATGAAAATATGCTTTGAGTAAAAAAACAATCTTGCTTGTAGCTCAGAGCATCTGAGTTAAAGAAACACCAGTAATCTCTTTCGTAGTAGTTTTTACTTTATATCTATTAATTAAAAAGGAAGTAGGAACGGCGTATCCGCTGTATTCTTCTACATGAAATCACAGGAACCATGAGCATCCTTTCCTCTTCTGTGTGAAGAATTCTTATCGGATGCCTGGGTGTCATTCACAATTTCGACGGAAAACTTGTTGTTTTCGACACAAAGAAGTTGACATATGCCATGATATTCATGATCTATGAAAGTATTGCTCGTTTGGTATAATCAACAGATATTCAGTTCCATGTCTACATTGAACAGATCCATGATTGACACGAAGCAAAGAAATTCCACAGTTAATTTTGTTTCTTTATAAAATTATGAAAAGTAATTTGACAGAGTTGATTCGGTGGAAAAGGTTATAGAGATGTAACAACGACAATGATGTAATACAACTGAAAAACAAATCGATGCGATCTATTGAACTTACTTGGGCTTAACTAAAACGACAGATTTTCTTTGTATGACAGTTTGCCAGAGAGGAGCAGTGGCTCTATATAGATAACATAACACTCTCTTCATTGAATTTATTTTCAATTGCAAATGTGTGCAGTGTCAGTGCCAAAAAGTTCATTAATTTATGACGATGTGAGTATAATTAAGATACAAATGTAGGCTGCAATGAATGAATAACATTACAATGAAAATAAGCTAACATTTGTATTCTTCTCATTCAAGGTTTTTACTACACAATCTATCGGTATATATAGATAGATAGATAGATAGATATTCCATTAGCAAGAGATTGAAGTGTTTATATCATGGGAAATAACGCCTTTTCTTTAGGGATATGTAGCTGTCAGAAGTCTCACTAGTACCGCTCAAATTAGAAGATGTCACCTTGAATCACGTACTTTCGGTCTGAAATTTGCATACGACACTTTGACGTCGTTGTTATTGAGTAGGAATTTTATCAGAGTATTATCTAGTGTTCTGAGGCAAGTATCAAAACTGAGTTATTTATAACATCGTAATTGTATATATAATTCAAAAGATTTTCACAGTTGATGTCATCTGAGGCGTCAATTTGACACTCGGATTGGTTGAGAAGTAATGTACTTATGTTTCTATTTAATCTCAAGTAGTGTTCTCAAGAATAGTTTTATTTTTTGAAGAAAAAAAAAGTTTTAAAATTTCTCTACATATGGGCGGACATCAAGTTCTTGGGTCCATGTTGACCGAGGTTGAACATGTAATTGCCAATATGTTTCAGCAATCTGAAAAAAGAAGAGAAACTCTCATAGATCCGTTCTAAAAAGGAAAATATACAGCCGTACCGCATCGCTATTTAAAAACGAATCGATATCCTTGTCAGGTTGATCTAAGAAGAGAAAGTATAGATTTCGTACAAAAGAATAGAGAATAAGTATTACCTTTAACTTGTCGAGGCGTATTGATTTGGCCGTCGATGATAACATGAGCGACATGAATACCTTGTGGACCCAACTCACGTGCCATTGATTGTGCTAAAGCACGAAGAGCAAATTTTGGCGCAGCGAGACAAGCAAATTTCGATGAACCGCGAAGACTGGCTGTGGCACCTGTGAATAAAATTGTTCCTTTTCCATTTTTAACCATTGCCGGCAAAACCTAAAATACATCCTGTTCGCAATTCATGCCATTTTCTCTTGACTTACCTCTTGGCTAGCTGCTAAAGCACCAACGACGCTGATATTCAATGCATTTTGAAGTTCTTCCGGTTTCAAATCCAAAATACTTTCTTTATAGAGACAACGAGATGTGAAAATGCAATTCAACGAAATTCATTCATTTACTGTAAATAAATCCACTTGGATTGTAAAGTAAAACTTCAGGATCGTCGCCAAGCTTTGTTCGAATGGTATTGAAAGCATTTTTGATCGATGAAACATCACTTGCGTCACCTTTCACACTCAAAACTAGAAGAATAGAAATTTTCTTCTTTATAAGCACATATGAAGGTACAAGAACAAACAACAACCACCTGTATGACCCTGTTGTTCAAGTTCTTTTTGTAATGTTTCTAAATTGCTTTCATTTCGTGCAATGAGTCCAATAGAATAACCACCGGTAGCAAATCTGGCAAAAATCAATCAAAACTCGAAATGAAAGTGAACAGGAAGAAGTAAAAGATTATTTACCGTCTGGCCAATGATGCTCCTAAGCCTGGACCGACACCTATTGTGTAAAAAATGAAAATTGATCAATTATTCAATATTTCATCGGTATGTTACCAATAACTACCGCAATCGGTTTCTTTGCAGCCATTTATTTCTATCTCAAAATCATGTACAAGACTAACGATTACTTATTTATATAGAGCAAGTCAAAAGTGCATTGTCATGTTATGATGACGTATGCATATTATGTATGTTATCAGTTAACGCGCATTTTCTTGTCATTTAATGCAAGTTAGAAGTATAAAATTATTTTCAATATGCAAACATATGAATGACCAATTCAATAATTTAAATGAGTAGCTATCTGCTGTGAAAAAAGACGTTTCATCGACTATCTAATAATAAGTAATGAAATACCGGAGGAATGTGTTTTGAATTGTACTGTATCGTATGATTATGGTTTCTTTCTCCGAGAAGATCATGCGTCTGATTACAGACATAACACATCTGACGCAGAGTATTTTAATCACTTCGATAGTCATTAATATTCGAGAAAGGGAAAGATGTTCAGTGGAGTAAAGTTTTTTTTTCTTTTAACGGTTACTGTTGTATTGATGTACTTTCGTCTGTCTTAGTTTTTATTTATATTAAGGAAGATTTTTGTCCTAGAAAGAGGTTCCATAGACGTCAATTGTATTTCTAAGAGGCAAAAAACATCCACGAAAGCATGCAGATTATATGTAGAATAGAATCTTCTTGAATGTGTTTTCAAAAGTAGGGACAATTGAAATTTTCTACTTTAATTCTTATAAGAATATTATCTTTATGATGAAATAAAGATACAAAACAATATTGCCGTGTTGAAAACTCGAAAATTAAAGAAAATTTATTGATTTTCTCTAATGAAATCTTTCACTAATTTGATAGCTATATTCGGTTGTTCCATTGGAAATAGATGTTTACTACTTTCTAATAACAAATCCTTTCCTTTCCTAAAGTATTTCACAAGATCAGGTGCTGTTGGAGATTGATCTAATGCAAGCACAGATTCACCGGGTAAAATTCGTGCTATTTGGATTGGAATATCATGAATGTGTTTGGATTGTTCAATTAACGGATAAATATTCGTATCCGGATGTATACCAGACTGATAAATTGATGCTTCACCTTCAGGTGAACAATTAAGTTTACAATTATCATCCAGAGCGTAAATACAATAATTACGAAGAACGTCTTTTGGCCATTTAGAGAATGTTCCTCGTTTTTCCAATCGTGATATCATATCTTCAACAGATGACCATTGATTTTTTCGTCGGAATATATAATCCGTAGTTGATTTATCAATATTTTCATGTTCATATATCGAACGAGGAATAATCACAGGATCAATTAAAAGTAAACTGTGAAATAAACGTTTTTGTGCTATGACTGCTGCGTATGTTAATGCATAACCACCAACAGAATGACCAATACCGATCAGATTTTTACTCGAAAGATTCAATGTTTCAATAAACTGTAGAACATCTTCACCAAACCATGGAAAACGATACGGAGGTGGATGTTGTTGTGATCGTCCGTGACCTCGAAAGTCTAAAGCAATGACATGGTACCCTCGCAATGCATTATTAATGATACGATCGTAACATCGTCCATGAAACGAAGCGGCATGGCAAAACAGAACGGTTGGCTGATGTCCTGTCCATTCCCAGTAATGTAGTTTAAGAGAGTCAGATTTTGTTTCGCCGCTGTGTGCAACTACAGGACGATTTTTTAAAGTGAGAAAGTGACTGGTAGGATTTGACGACAGCATTCGTCGAAAGGAGTGTGAAATAGAAGAGATCATCTCGTTCTGAAAAAAGGAACACGTTGAAGAATAGAATGAATAATCATATTGTGAATTATTTAGATGTATGAAGAGAAATCAACACAATACAAAATATCAATTTAAAATGCATAGATAATAAAACAGTGTATTCGTATGACGAATGTGTTAAAGTTTCGAAAGTTCGTTCTTTCGAAATATTTCGTTAAGAACATCGTTCAGTAGTTGCGGATTTTCCATAGGAAATAAATGCGTTGCATTTTCTAAAAATATCTCTCGTCCTTGTTTGAACGACTTGACAAGATCAGGTTCGGTTGGTGATGTATCGAATCGACCTATAATCAATGGTAATGCTGTTCTTATAACATAAATCGGAGTATATTGAATAAATTTTGATTGTTCAATGATCGGAAACAGATTTGATTCATGTTGCATGGATGATCGGTACATTGAATGTTCTCCTTGTGCACTCAATCGAAGTTTATTATCTTCATCCAGCGCGTACGTGCAATAACTTTGCAATGTATCTTTCGGCCATCGTGAGAACGGTTCGCGTGTCTCCAATCGTGATATCATGTCTTCCACAGAAGACCACTGAGTTTTTCGCCGAAGAATATATTCCAAAGAAGGATGATTTTTATCACTAAGACCATATGTTGAATGTGGAACTATACCGGGATCAATTAGAATTAAATATTGAAATAAACGTTTCGACGCTATTGCTGCCGCATACGTTAAAGCATAACCACCAGCGGAATGGCCAATACCAATCAACTTCGTTTTTGAAAGGTTTAATGTTTCAATAAACTGTAGAACATCTTCACCAAACCATGGAAAACGATACGGAGGTGGATGTTGTTGTGACCGACCGTGACCTCGAAAGTCTAAAGCAATGACATGGTACCCCCGCAATGCATTATTAATGATAGGATCGTAACATCGACCATGAAACGAGGTTGCATGACAGAGAAGAATCGTTGGTTGGCGACCTTTCCATTCCCAATAATGTAGTTTTAATGAACCAGAACTGATATCCCCGGTACTCTGGACAACCGGACGATTCTTCAAAATGATAAAATGACTAGTAGGATTCGATGTCATCGCAGACGATCTTAATTTCCAATCTGAAGAAGAGATATTCACTGATTGAGCATATCTCTCCTGGGAAGAGAGCAAATTTTCCAGTTGTATAGAATAATTTTATTCGAAGAATGAGATCATTAGAAAATTGTATTGAAATAACAGCAAACATGAACATAATTGAGTGTAAAAAAACGAAGTCACACACATGCATGATAATATAGAACGACTAGAGTATAAGATAACAGAACAACCGGAAAGAATAAATAGCACACTCATTGTTCTATATTTTGTAGATATTCTCATTTATAATTCCGATTTATCGATGAGATTGTATTTGAAAAGTAATTTTTTTATATCAGGATAAACTTGACGAATATTAATCTGTGGAGAATATGCTTGAACAACATTTCCATTCGGATCAATTAAATATTTCCAAAAATTCCAATTTGGTGGTTCAGTTTTTTCTAAATCAAATTATTCCATCTTTCCAAAAACAACATCAACACAATCGATTTACCACTAAGAAATCGCCAAACATCTGGTAATTCATCTGCATTCTCAACTTCTTCTTTAACAACAGCACCTTTGGCAAAGATAGGAAAATTAATATCAAACATATCTTTTGCCCAAGCTTGAATATGTCGATCGCTCTACAAAATTCAACAAAAATTCCAAAAAATCTTTCCAATAGAAACCTCCTACATTCGGTTCTTGATTTCCAAATTGATTACTCGGAAAAGCGAGTACTTGAAAAACATTTCGATTTCCTTTATTCAGTTTCTCTTGAATACCAACAAGTGCTTCATAATGCGAATCTGTATATGAACATTCACTTGCAACCTATTACACACAAAGATAAGATAAACCAATGAATTACCGACAAGAACAATCAGTCCCGCTGATAATAATCATCACAAATAAGACTGCATGCTGAGTCGATATACATAATGGAGAGAAAACGTATCAACCATCTAATATTTGCTTTTCTTTCTTTTGAACAAAAAACAAAACTTACGTTGACAACTAATGTGACCTAAAAATAAGAAAAAATGTTTTCTTTCATAAGTCTGAATGAAGAATTAACCTTTCCACGATATTGTTCTAATGAAACATTGTTTCCTTGCCAATCTTTGACTGTAAATGAGTAGAAATCTTCGCTCATAACATTGGTTATACCAATGAATAAAATCCAAATGAAAATCATCTGAAAAATCGAAATTTTAACGACAAAAGAAATAACTTCGCATAAATAATCGATCGAGAATTTTCTTCTCTCCTAAAAGAAGTTTTTCAATGATTTTCCCAATGTTTTATTATATTGTTCCAAACGTTGTTTGGTCGATTTGAGTGACTCTTCAATTTTCTTATCATTCGGTTCCAATTGATTAGCTAATTGAAGATCTTTCATCGCTAATTCATAATCATTGAGATTTTCGTATGCTGAACCTCGACGATACAGTGCTTTGACATAATTAGGGTTAATATCCAACGCGGAAGAACAATTTTCAATAACATTTTGATAATTTCCATAGATTAGTTGACATGCCGACATATTCGAATAAATTGAAAGAATTAATTGATTAAATTTTTCTAAATATTCGCTTGAAGGTTGATCATTGACAAAATTTAATATGTAACATAAAGAGCGATGATAAAGTTTGAATGCTTGAAGATATGATTTCGATTGAAAAAATTTATTTGCGTTTTCTTTATGTTTCAAAGCAAATTCGTAGAGATTGTCGAGTGAAAGCGAATAAATCTCAGGTGAACGTTCAAATGATAATAAATGAACAACGATATTGATCGGAGTTCTAATAGGAAAATTTGGAATTGACATTCGAAAAGAATGGAATTGTACTTACGAATCTGTTGGCAATAGGAAAGTTATTCGAGAAAATTCATTTTGTTTCATGGTAAATAAACTTTTGTGTACATAATTACTGATAATGGAAGAATAGAAGCCAAGTTGAATGTTGATTTCTTCATTCAAAGGAAGAAGATCCACATAAGTATGTTCTGCTAATGAATAATCATTTGGACAAAATTCGACTTTTATTTTACATTTTGAACCTTAAAAAACAAATCGTTTTTATCCAAAAAGTTGAACCAATCATGTCTTCACCTTCATTAGGAGCATTGAGACCTTGACCTCGTTCGATAATCGTTTTGGTGAATATTACATCGTCTGGAATATTATATTCTATCATTGAACAAATAATCTAAACAAAAACGATTGAACAATTTTCTTTTACATATTCATCTATCTAAACTTTCGACCAAAATGAACGAAGGAAGATAATTATGTCGATCGATCTATCATAGGAAGAGATTTATTTATTTGCCCTTGACAACTACGTATGAGATGCTGGATAGCATAAGAACAAGATGTCACTGACCATCAATAGTGATACGCGTTATGATTAGAAAATGTCTTTATCTTGATACTATGTTTTGTGCACAATTAAACGTAGATATTCTGAAAGAAAAGTTCATGACGTTGTGAAAATACAAAAAGAATCTAGAGTTTGTTCGTAATATTGTACAACATATTTGCTTGTCATGAAATAATATCTCTATTAGGCACTTGTGTTTTCGCTTTGTGTGACCATTGCAAGTTGAGTCGATGAGTAATGATTTTATTTTAAAAAAATAACAAAACAAAAGTTACCTTGCCAACCAAGTTTCTATAAATCTAAAACTATAATAGGTTTTGAACGAGAAACATCAGCAGTAATATATGTTTAAATAACAGCATGGTAATTTTATCATGAGCTAATGAATGATTGAGATACATTACAGTTGAGCATTGATACTAGTCTTATTACACTTGACTCTATCAAACAACAACGAGTACGCTTGCGTTCAATTTCAATTTTGTTTGAACATAGATCTCCGTCATTGTTAATAGAATTTCATAATTGTTTCTTCAGAAATGTGTCATCTCGGTCTCTAAACTTACATATTTGTGCAACAATCTTCGTTCGATCATCGTTCAAGATTCACCAAGAGTAAAACGATTTCACTTGATCAGTGGTTTTTGATTGCAAAATGAAAGAGCTCAAAAATTTGATATGTGGAGAGGATAATCTTAATTAAGTCTGATATTAAATCAGAACTCTACTGTTGTTCATCGATAAATATTGTACTTATATAGTTATGTTCTGTAACTTGTTCGAAAGTGAAAATAAAACGCTCAAAACATGTTTAGACAATAAGTACATTCATCTTACCTCTAAGATTTCGTACTTATAGGCATCACTCTATGATAGGTCGAATAATTTCGTTTTCTTGTATAGATTCAGTTGTATTTAGATCCAAAAAGGTGTTTATATGAACGCATTAACAGTAATCAATAAAAGTTACTGCTGTAACGAAATCAAATGTGTTATTCTGAAGTTTTTAGACAAACTTATGCAAAAAAAGAACCTATTGGATTCTTCTAATTAAATGGAATAGCTGTTTGACGTCTACTTGCATTTTCTGATGATATAAACGCTTCAGAGAGTGTGAAGCATTTGCCAGACAATTTATTTTGTCTAGGCATAGTGATCGTCTCACTAAGTATCCTTTTCCTATCAATTAAATTGATATATATTCGATTGTGTAACAACTTGACGATCAAAGAAAATTGTTGTCATTCTGTTTTAGTGTCGGAAAATGTTATTGCGAAATTTTTTTTGTAGAATATAATATTCTTATAAAATATTTATAAACTACACATTTCTTTTCTTCTCATTTCCGTCTCTTCTTTTTTTTTCGACGTTGCGAAGGAAGAAAAAATCTTACAGAGGTATATAAATTGATAACAAAACCGTATGTCGGTCGTCATACATTATTGTTTTTCTTGTCCTTAATACTATAAAATTTTCCTTGGGTTTCATTTTATTATTCACTAAATGGGTCACAGATATTGTCGACCGTTACCATGTTACCATGGATATGCGTCTTTACCACCCGCACGGCGGCCTTGTTGTCGACCAAGATCTTCAAATTTTCTTTATACTCGAGTATTTAGAACAAATTTTGGACCTCGTCATTATATTCAACGACATCGAAGGTATTGATCACTTTATATTTACAAAGGAAGATTCAAATGATATCTGTTTTCCAAATGTTAATTAACATTTGACAAATTTTTGTTATTTTTTACAAATATTTTATGTCATTATAGTTATTGGTTGATTTTTCTAGTGAAATATATGTCTATGATCTACAGACCAAACGAAATAGTTTCTTTATTTAATTAAAAAGCATGAAACAGATATTTTCCATATTTATTTGGAATTGAGAAAGAAACGCGATTGGAATAATATCGGATTAAGCAAACTACGACGATTCGCGCTTCATAGGAAATATTTTCTCACTTGCGAAAGATACGAGTGTATCTTCGCAATCCTTGATATATGACGTCGTATTCGTACTCATTATCATATTTGATTCAGTAATAAAAAAATAGAGCAAAGTGCATTTTATCTGCATGAATTGAGAGAAAAACTTTTAACTCTTTGCTCCCAGATATTCTACGGAAGTAACGGTATATTATTGTAATTTCTTACTTTCTTAAACAAACCAATGATATATTCTCATCTATGAACTTCCTTACAGAATTTTATACTGATAAAAAGTCTTTCCTACTGTGTAAAGAAGTCGCATTTAAGATTATTTATAATTAAGACTATTTCACATCCGACGACTACTGTCGAACGGATACATATCATGAATTATTAGTTATATCCGAGTAAAAAGATATTGGTATTATACTTCTTACTACGATGATGATTAATGACGTAGGTATTTGTAAAATTATTCTTGTTTACTTGATATTTATGCTATCCATGAATTTCTACGACCTGTTTCGCAATACCAAACTTCTAGAAAATACGATAGACGTAAATAATCCTTTTCTTTTTTGTTGACAAGAATTCTACTCTTTATAAGTATGGATTCTGACACGGTGTAATTAAGTTTTACAACACGTCGTTATGAAAATCCAGGTATGATGAAAAGTTCATATCCGTTCGTATAATTTATATAATCATAGTGGCCTGAAGGTGTTGTAAACAAATTATACATGGAAGATTCACTTTCGGATATAAAGTTGTCATTATTTGCAAATCAGGAAATGGGAAAAAAAGACTTTTTTTTCTAGGACGATAACAGAATTCTCAAGGTTTTTTTTCAAACGTGTTCTATGGAAATTCCTTAGAGTTAAATGTGTTTAATCTTCTCATCCACTATTGTAATCTGACAATGCTACGAACGTAAAACGCGTAGTTTTTTACTCGAATGAACATATCACTTGACATCTAACGGATGGCGCATAAAGAACCGGACTTTTTGTTTTGCCTATAACTCAGCTAGTTTTCTTTCTATCGGATCCAATTTTTTTCCAAAAGATTCCTCATTCAGCTTTTTTTTTAAATCTGTTCTTTTATTAATGCAAATAATCTCCGTTATTTTCTTTCAAACGATACAATCTCTTCGTCCAACTTCTTTTCTAATTCGTTGAACAACTTGCTTCAGCTCTTCAATTAAGGTCTTCTTTGACTGAGTTTTGTTCCAGTTGACTTTGTGAACGAATTCGTCCCCAATAAAATAGTCTAAAGAGTTCAAGTCGGGAGAATTGGGCGGCTAATGATCCTTGTCAATAATTCTATGAAAATGATCATTGCACCATCTCTGAGAAAGTTTGCGAGTATGAGGCTTAGCACCGTCCTGCTGGAACGTCCAATCATCGTCAAACACACTATTTCCATACTTTAGAGTGCCAGAAAGCATTTCATCGATATATCTTTGATGACTTATTATGCCATTATCCAAAATAACCAAAGCAGATACGCCTTTCGAACCATACTTTTTGTTCGAATAGTACGAGATCGACCTGGAGACGTTGATAGTTCAATAGAGCCGGTCTCGACGATCATTTTGCACCATTGAAAAACCTGAGTAAGACTAATGACACCTTTTGAATCTCAAAATATCTTGCTGGATTTTCTTCGTTTTGATGCTTGGAAAGTACCAATCTTTGAAGGTCTTTACTTTTCATGATAAAAAATTTTTCGTCGAAGAATCTGAGAAAAACGAGTGTATGATTTTGTAGAGAATTTGATGAAGGATCTTTTAGAAAAAAATTGGATCGCTATGATGAAAACTGGTAGAGTTATAGGCAAAACAAAAAAGTCCGGTTCTTTATGCGCCACCGGTTAGAATAAACAAGGTTCTACATGGATGATATTGTCATTTTTACTTTTACTTCCACAATCAATGAATTCGAGTTCTGTTGAAATCTTTCAATAATGATCGAATCGAACTAAATGAACAATTGAAAACTTGGCATTATATACTTGAAATAGAGATATGAAATGAATCTCATTCCAAAGACATATTCTATTTGACGACGAGCTTTTTTATGTAATATTTTGTATAAGAATATGACTTCGTGGAAGTCATATTGGATACCACATGGAGTTCATAGTTCACCGTAGTTTAATGATAAAAAGAACATCTTCGTTCGTGTTAATGTTATTTATTTGATTATTGAATATAAAAAAATGAATGATGATATTTATATACTTGTAAACCACGGAAGTTCCTTTCTGGAAATGGAATTTACACTTGTGATATGATTAGTTGGTCAGACATATCGTCATCGATTTTAGTCTTGTGTTAAAGATCGCGAGATCACTCGTTATTCTATGTTTTATAGGAAAAATGTGAAATACTAATGCACCCAAAACACGAATCCAAAAGTAATCGATCAGTTTTATACATTCTGGTGTAATTTCGATATAGCTTCATAATCTCTCTCCAAAAGAAGACAGAAAAACAAACAAAAAGAATTCCCTTTTCTATTGATAGAGGCATATAAAAGAACTTTTTATACGTAAATTTCGCATTCACACGTATTTCGTTTATTGAAGAAAGAAATAGCTCACAAAGATCAGAACTCTGTAAAGTTGTAGCTATGGTGTTTCTCTTCTTCTTCAGTTTGTTCAACACAAGTCGCTCTTATCATTGATTATCTCCATGATGATATCGAAGAGTTGAGTAAAAGAACGATCTCAATTTTGTTTTTGTTTCGCTTTACAATTAGCTACAGCTATCAGCAGTCTACTATTGATTCGTTTTGTAACAACAGACGCTATACAGCCAGTCTGAACATTAATAACCCAACCTATGTCAACTTTAAAGGTAATTACGTATCTCAAATGTTAGCTCTTCTGAATACAATATACTATGCAGTTTTTTCCCTTTTCTGAAAGAAAGGGTTATAGCGACATAAATACAGTCGTGAAAATGCATAAAGTTTGTTTGTTTGCATAATCCAATCAGATTGCAGCATATTATAAATCAATGAAATTTATCTATAATCATCAAAGATAGACCACTGGTGAGGTAACCAAGGTCGAGGATCTCGAATCTGATGCCAGTTTTTCGAGACTTCAAACAGCTAATTAGTTAATTACTAATTAGGCAATGAAAAATTTTTTGGTTGTTGAGTAAGACTCGATCGAAGGGTAACCGGGATCGAAGATATCGAATATGGTGTTAGTTTTTCTGTAGAAAAATTCTGTTCTGTTTTTTCAGAAAAAGTACGATTTTTTGCAAGGAAGATTTTTTGTGGGCGATAGTGTTCGAAGAAGCAATATGTAGATCAAAACGAAATAGCTGATTAACGTCCGCCTGCTGGATACTCATACTCATCAGCAAATTGATAACATTACAATTATATAAACAGTTATATTACACAAACATTATCTGCTGCTAACCACTCAAAATAATACTTCGTCTAATAAATATTGTTTTGGACAGTCACAATGGCACAAAATTGGTGATTCTTTAATAGGGAATGAAAGGAAATGGTTTGATTGAATTTGAAGGGGATTTAAGCTAGATGAAAAATGAAAGTTGGACATGTAACGGCTAGCCGCGAGTGGCCGACCGGAGGCAGACCGACGAGCGACCAGGCGTTTGTTTGGGTGGCTTAGAAGAGATAAAATAAGTGTAAGTAAATTGATTTTTGATTGTAAATAGTGGGAAGAGAGTCGATTTGTAAATCTTTAGAAACAATGTTCCTTTTGCTTACATCTTTGGACAAATGAATTGAAAGCAGTTTGACATGAATAAAGTAGAAAAGGATTAAAAGAAAAGAATGTGCACAAAAGTGGCTTTAATTCGAAGCGGATTAGAGTGAGATATACGTTAGAGTTTTTATTTGAGTCTTGTAATTCTTTCAGAACAGGGTCAGCGGATCCAACAGATGAGCGCTACTTGTTGGTAGTAGCAAACGAAACAATTAAGTTTATTTTTGACTCAGATTGACAAATACATTCAATGAAAACTAATTTACAATAAAGGAAAATATGCATTATAATCTTTCAAGCCAAGAGATATAAGTAATATCAGTTGTTCCAATCTCAAGTGAGGTAAGATGATGCTATTGAACGATTTCATCCGACTGAATTACTACCAGATGATTTCTCCACATTATTTGACTGCGGAGTAGTATTCCAAATACAAAAGGTTTTTTACCAATGGAAAAGCTTTAGCTATTCTAAGAAAAAAGAGCGTATTCAAATGACGTCCAGTCAGCTACATATAGCTCAATAACGTAATTGAACACGGTATTTGTAAGTATATTGTCAATAAAGCAAAACTTTCCAAAGTCAAAGGGTAACGTATATACATGATATGTAATTGAGAAACTACGGGTAATAACACCTGATATTTCGTGATATCCAATATTCATGAAATTTCATTTATAAGATGCGTTGGATTCATCCCATGTTGTCTGTTTTTAACCCCCTGAGAACGGATAACGTATGTATACGTATGGATTGAAATCAACTCATAATTTATTTGCGTATACTATTTACGATATTTTAATGGTCTATGTCGCTATATATATCGTTAATGTATTATACTATCATTTGTGTAGCATGACCTCTTTCATCGTTTTTCTTTTTGTAGTTATATTTATCACTTCTAATTTTTCGCTATGTCATAGTCCACTGCTATCATTTATCGTCTATTTTTTATTTATCCTCGCACACATTGCCTCTTGCATCCACCAGAGTGTGTAAAGTCTTGTTCGCTCTATTAAAAATAATTCTGTCCTCAAGGAGTTAATGTTACCAGTGAAATCAAATCGTGGAAAATAATTTTAGTAAGAGGGACTATGAATGCGCATCGATTAAGAAATAAAATAGATTTTCAGGCAAATCATATGAGCAATCTGTATTTCAGCAAAGGAAAACCGATGCTGAAGTACTAGAACAATGTAGTTCCATTCGTTTCATAATTTATTGCAGAAAGCATAGAGTAAAATACTATGAAACCTATATAACATAGCACGCTTTACATAAAATACTATCCTCCACAGCCAAATAATACATCAGGTACTATTTTTGCCCTTCGTCGTAACTGCTCGCATTTGTATATCACAGTTATTATATTGTAAGAAACTAATCGGAAGTAAGCTGATAGCAGGACTATGGATGTTTTAAAGTAAGATACTACAGCGTTCTTGCAGATTTCATAATTATCGTTAAAACCATCTGTTTAGGGATATTGAAAAACGGCTTAACTTTTCCAATAAGCTAAACGTCTTATTTCGCAAGAGAATTGATAACATTTGCTCTTTCGAATGTTTTCCACGTTTTCTTATTTATTACAATACTATGGGTGATTAATTCATCAAACGAATTCACGACAGATTGTTAGAGCACCTCGATGATGGAGCTGTCATTCTATTTATATGAAAGATGGTGAATGTTCTAACTCACCCTTCAACACAAAAACCAGATACGCAGCTTAGGGATAGCAATTNCTTCAAATAAATGACTTGAAACTGTATCTAGAATAAACAAAACGAAAAGTAGTTCTATAAACTGTGAAAATGAAAACTTACGATTGAATGAAAGAGATATATGGTTAGGTGTTGATGTAGATGATACACCAATAATTTTTCCTAATCGTTTACTAAGCAATAGGATAAGTCGATTTCCTTGACCAAATTGTGATGTAACTACTGTTCCATTGACTACTCCAATTAATGAATGACCACGTTTGAAATCAATGATTTGTTGTGGTAATTCAATAGCAACACGTTTTTGTGCTACACGTGTATTTGCACCTAAATGTGGTGTACGAATGACACCAGGGTGTTGAATGAGTTTTAAATCAGTTGGTGGTTCTTCAAAGACATCCAAAGCAGCACCACTACAATGACCAGAATTGAGTGCATCAAGAAGTGCTGTTTCATCAATAATACCATCACCACGAGCAACATTAACTAATTTAACACTTTTTCTACATTGTAATAAAACTTCCTCATTGATTAAATCTATTTAATTAAACAAAAACAAATAGTATAAAGAGATTTCTTTTTGGAGACAAAAACGTACGATGAGTTCCTTGCATTAATGGCACATGAACAGTGATGTGATCTGCTAATGACCAAAGATCCTTTAATTCAAAGAATTCTACTCCAAATGTTAAACTTTGTTCTGCAGGGATAATTGGATCATAACCAATCGTCTAAATTATTTCAAAAATCACTTTTCTTTCATATTAAATGATTGCATTCGTTTTGCAATTTCTCGTCCAATTCTTCCTAAAGCAATACTAGCTAATGTTTTACTATTTAATTCTTCACCCATAAATGTTGATCGTTGTCAAGTACCTGATTTTAATGAAGCACAAGCATTCGGAATACTTCTGAAAAAAAGGATAGAAAATATTTGTTTAGTACAAACAATAGTTGTTTTGTATTGTTTCTTATCGAACCAAAGAACAAATCAAAGCACAAGTATGTTCAGCAGTTGAAAGAATGTTTCCGCCAGGAGTACTTAATTACGAAAAAAACTAGATAAGATATGGAAGAAAAAAAATTGATGATACAAACTTCATAACAAGAATTCCATGACGAGTTGCTGTATCTGTATCGATATTATCTGTTCTTGTTTCTCCACGTCCAATTAATTTCAAACGAGGTGATCCTTCAATAACAGCACTTGTTACTTTAGTTGCACTTCGAACAGTTCAAATATCAACTTCCTAATCAATGAAGACAAGTCATTTTTATCTAATAAGAAAAAAAAACAATCAATCATACTTGAACTCGTTTAATTAATTCTTCTTTCGATTGTTTAGCTAATTTAATATCTTTTTCGACTGAAAATCCATTTGCCACTAACATATCCATTCATTGGAAAGTGAAATCATTAATGATTAAAGGACAACTGTTATAATGATTAGAAACCATTGAGAATTGGCAAAGATAAAGTAAAGAAAAAGAGAGAATAGTTTTTGTTTTGACGTATCTTATTTATAATCATACCATTTCAAAGTAACAATGAGAGGTTCATGAAGTTGCTCTGGCAAAACTTTAAAAAAAAGATGACTGTCGTTGCTTGTTCACCTAAATATTCATCTGTATTGGAAATGAATTCTGCAGCAATGTAATCAATTTGATCCGATGATAATGGTTGTTCATCGTGTACTTTTTCACCACGTTCTTTAGTTAATGCAATTATTGAACGAGCAACATCGTATATTGTGAGACTTGGATTATATGTTTGAATAAGAGCGGTTAATTTTGAAAACTTTTCTTCGCCGTTTAATGCATAAAGATATTCATCTCGAGCAGCTCGCTTTGACAAAGTTGGTTTTATGTAGTGAACCATTTTGTTTCGAAGTTGTGTAGCAATATTACCCATTTGAATGAAGTTTGCATTTTTTTTCAATTTCATTTAAATTCGAAGCATGAGATGATTGTATCGGTGTGAAGCTAGCACGAACAAATGATATGTTAGCTAAAAACTTCTTTACTAAATATGTCCCGTCCATGAAAACCACACCATTCGACTCAGAATTTAATTCTGCATCGAATGGTGGTACTTTTATTCACGGGACAAACTTTGGAAAAATTTTTATTCCCTTTTCTGAAAGAAAGGGTTATAGCGACATAAATACAGTCGTGAAAATGCATAAAGTTTGTTTGTTTGCATAATCCAATCAGATTGCAGCATATTATGAATCAATGAAATTTATCTATAATCATCAAAGATTGACCACTGATGAGGTAACCGAGGTCGAGGATCTCGAATCCGATATCAGTTTTTCGAGACTTCAAACAGCTAATTAGTTAATTATTAATTAGGCAATGAAAAATTTTTTGGTTCTTGAGTAAGACTTGACCGAAGGGTAATCAGCGTCGAAGATATCGAATCTGGTATTAGTTTTTCTGTAGAAAAATTCTGTTCTGTTTTTTTCAGAAAAAGTACGATTTTTTGCAAGGAAGATTTTTTTGTGGGCGATAGTGTTTGAAGCAGCAATATGTAGAATAAAACCAAATAGCTGATTAGCGTCCGCCGGCTGGATACTCATACTCTCATCAGTATATTGATAACATTACAATTACATAAACAGCTATACTACACAAACATTATCTGCTGCTAACCACTGGAAATAATACTTCCTCTAACAAATGTTGTTTTGGACAGTTACAATGGCACAACATTGGTGATTCTTTAACAGGGAATGAAAGGAAATGGTTTGATTGAATTTGAAGGGGATTTTAAGCTAGATGAAAGAATGAAAGTTGGACATGTAACGGCTAGCCGCGAGTGGCCGACCGGAGGTAGATCGACGAGTGACCAGGAGTTTGTTTGGGTGGCTTAGAAGAAATAAAATAAGTGTAAGTAAATTGATTTTTGATTGTAAATAGTGGGAAGAGAGTCGATTAGTAAATCTTTAGAAACAGTGTTCCTTTTGCTTACATCTTTGGACAAATGAATTGAAAGCAGTTTGACATGAATACAGTAGAAAAGGATTAAAAGAAAAGAATGTGCATAAAAATGGGTTTAATTCGAAGCGGATTAGAGTGAGATATACGTTAGAGTTTTTATCTGAGTCTTGTAATTCTTTCAGAACAGGGTCAGCGAATCCAACAGATGAGCGCTACTTGTTGGTAGTAGCAAACGAAACAATTAAGTTTATTTTTGACTCAGATTGGCAAATACATTCAATGAAAACTAATTTACAATAAAGGAAAATATGCATTATAATCTTTCAAGCCAAGAGATATAAGTAATATCAGTTGTTCCAATCTCAAGTGAGGTAAGATGATGCTATTGAACGATTTCATTCGACTGAATTACTACCAGATGATTTCTCCACATTATTTGACTGCGGAGCGGTATTCCAAATACAAAAGGTTTTTTACCAATGGAAAAGCTTTAGCTATTCTAAGAAAAAAGAACATATTCAAATGACGCCCAGTCAGCTACAGATAGCTCAATAACGTAATTGAACACGGTATTTGTAAGTATATTGTCAATAAAGCAAAGCTTTTCAAAGTCAAAGGGTAACGTATATACACGATATGTAATTGAGAAACTACGGGCAATAACACCTGGTATTTCGTGATATCCAATATTCATGAAATTTCATTTATAAGATGTGTTGGATTCATCCTATGTTGTCTGTTTTTAACCTCCTGAGAACGGATGACGTATGTATACGTATGGGTTGAAATCAACTCATCATTTATTTGCGTATACTATTTACGATATTTTAATGATCTATGCCGCTATATATATCTTTAATGCATTGTACTATCATTCGTATAGTAACCTCTTTCATCTTTTTTCTTTTTGTAGTTATATTCATCACTTCTAATTTTTCGCTATGTCATAGTCCACTGCTATCATTTATCGTCTATTTTTATTTATCTTCGCACACATTATCTCTCGCATCCACCAGAGTGTGTAAAGTCTTGTTTGCTCTATTAAAAATAATCCCGTCCTCAAGGGGTTAATGTTACCAGTGAAATCAAATCGTTGAAAATAATTTTAGTAAGAGGGACTATGAATGCGCATCAATTAAAGAATAAAATAGATTTTCAGGCAAATCACATGAGCAATCTGTATTTCAGCAAAGGAAAACCGATGCTGAAGAACTAGAACAATGTAGTCCCATTCATTCCATAATTTATTGCAGAAAGCATAGAGTAAAATATTATGAAACCTATATATCATAGCACGCTTTACATAAAATACTATCCTCCACAGTCAAATAATACATCAGGTACTATTTTTGCCCTTCGTCGTAACTGCTCGCATTTGTATATCACAGTTATTATATTGTAAGAAACTAATCGGAAGTTAGCTGATAGCGGGACTATGGATGTTTTAAAGTAAGATACTACAGCGTTCTTGTAGATTTCATAATTATCGTTAAAACCATCTGTTTAGGGATATTGAAAAGCGGTTTAACTTTTCCAATAAGCTAAACGTCTTGTTTCCTAAGAGAATCGATAACATTTAGTGTTTCGAAGGTTTTCCACGTTTTCTTATTTATTAAAATACCATGGGGGTAATGAATTCATCAAAATGAATTGACAGCAAATTGTTAAAGCACCTCGATGAGGGAGCTGTCATTTTATTTATATGAAAGATGGTGAATGTTCTAACTTACCCTTCAACACAAAAAAACAGATACGCAGCTTAGGGATAGCAACTTAACTTACCTTTAAATGTTCTGGTTAACGTCACCTCTGCAGTAAACCGTAGCTCAATTTTATAGTTTTTGGCTTTAAAAAGAAATCAAAGATCATGTGACTGTTTTTTTCTCAGGTTGAGAAACGATCATTTTTGTTTTTGTTTTATCTATCATCGAATAAGATTTGAAAAAATGAAACAAACACACTGAGGGATGCTGCATGAAGCTCTATCAGCAAACTACAATCATCTGTTCTTTTTAACTAAAAAACGTCAAATGTTGCAAAACGATCAGTGAAAACTGACTGGGTAACATTTAGTGTTCTCGAAGACAAAACATACATAATCAAAATAGATCTCTAATCTAAGCTGTACAGTTTTTATATTCCATTACAATTTTTAGTTAAAAAAATTAATTTAGAAATGTTAATTCCTTTTCATGAAACTAGAATCGGTTTCTAAAGGAGCCAAAGCCATAAAAGATGTCGTGTTTTCAATTTTTTAATTTACCATTGTAACTGTGAAAACAGAATTCACTGCGCATACGTATTCTAATGCCATCTATCTGCGCACGCCAACACTTCATAACAGTTGAAATGATTACACGTCATTTGTTTTCGTCAAAGACATATATATCTGCATCATCACCATGAATTACTACTGATAACGAACAAAACCAAATATTTTTCATCGCTTCCAGTCTCTACGGTACAGTCTGCTGCACGATTGAAATACAGCATGCACACATTTTCAACGTTACCTGTCGAACTAGTTTATCGAATTATGGATCATCAAAATGGCCGGACGCTATTTTGTTCAATGCAAAATATCTGTCGACGGCTCAATCAGATCCTGAGTACTTACCAGCGATATCAAGTAAGTTTACTTGGTATTTTAATATTCTCGTCGACTGTGCTATACATAAGCTTAATGGTATTTGATGTCGTAGATTCCCTCATAGGACAACCCAAACTAATTTCATAATTCGCAAACAGTTTGCTAGGATGAGACAATCACAGCCAGCAGTCATATGCAATCAAGCATTCCTTCACTCGCTCCCTTTTGTTCTATGTACATTGAAGATACATCCGACCGATACGCGACCATGAACGAGCAAAACGCTTACTTATGCGTTACCGTTTCCGCGTTGCACTTCTCGACACAAAAATTGCATCAATTACAACTTTTGAGGGAACTCATCTACTCAAGCAAACAACACTGTACAGTTCTTTGACCTATGGCAATATTCATTCTCAACACGCGTACATCAAGTCCAGCTCCTACATTTCAGAAGACTAGGACTTGGATATCCCAGGAGCGCGTCTTCAAAAGAGAAATCTCATTACCACCTATATATATTGAAACTTATGTCCTACTCTTTCCGATTCTATCCTATCACAGTAATCCCCTGTCTAGATTCTCGACACAGCACTTCTTTCCGAAACAACAACTAGCCTGATCTTCCACCCGAAGAATTCACATCTACACCCAACTCCTTAAAAATCTACCACACATAACTATTTCAAATCACACACATACCATCCAAAGTGCCATCAAAGGTTTTCTTTACTACTTCTGCTTTTCATTACGTACTACTTCAATCCAGACACTCACCACACTTGACCTCAGTTGGAACCGAATCGGTGCTGACGGAGCACACAACATTGCTAATGCGCTGAGAACGAACACGGTAATATTCATCTCATTTCATAGAAGATGGAGCGCTCAGTCTATATCACACCTACAGACACTCACCACACTTCACCTCAGTGGGAGCAAAATCGGTGCTAAAGGAGCACAACACATTGCTAATGCGCTGCGAACGAATACGGTAATATTGATCTGATTTCATAGAAGATGAAGCACTCAGTCTATCTCACACCTACAGACACTCACCACACATAATCTCAGTTCCAACCAAATCGGTGATGAAGGAGCAAAACACATAGCGGATGCGTTGCGAACGAATACGGTAATATTGATCTCATTTCATAGAAGATGAAGCACTCAGTGTATCTCACACCTACAGACGCTCACCACACTTGACCTCAGTTGGAACCAAATCCCTGATGAAGGAGCACAACACATAGCGGATGCGTTGCGAACGAATACGGTAATATTGATCTCATTTCATAGAAGATGAAGCACTCAGTGTATCTCACACCTACAGACGCTCACCACACTTGACCTCAGTTGGAACCAAATCCCTGATGAAGGAGCACAACACATAGCGGATGCGTTGCGAACGAATACGGTAATATTGATCTCATTTCATAGAAGATGAAGCACTCAGTGTATCTCACACCTACAGACACTCACCACGCTTAACGTCCAGGACAACCAAATCGGTGCTCAAGGAGCACAAAACATTGCGGATGCGTTGCGAACGAACGCAGTAATATTGATCAGATTTCACACAAGATGAAGCACTCAGTGTATCTCACACCTATAGACACTCACCACACTTAACCTCCGTTCGAACCAAATCGGTGCTGAAGGCGCAAAACACATTGCGCACGCCTTGCCAACGAATACGGTAATGTTGATCTGATTTCATAGAACATGAAGCACTCAGTGTATCACATACATTCAGACACTCACCACACTTAACCTCGAGAGGAACCGAATCGGTGCTGAAGGAGCACAAAACATTGCGGATGCGTTGCAAACGAGCGCAGTAATATTGATATCATCTCATAGAAGATGAAGCACTCACTCTATCACATACATACAGACACTCACCACGCTTAACCTCCAGGTCAACCAAATCGGTGATGAAGGAGCACAACACATGGCGGATGCGTTGCGAACGAACGCAGTAATATTGATCTGATTTCATAGAAGGTCAAGCACTCAGTCTATCTCACGCCTACAGACACTCACCACACTTCACCTCAGTTGGAACGGAATCGGTGCTGAAGGAGCAAAACACATTGCGGAAGCGTTGCGAACGAATACGGTAATATTGATTTCATTTTATTGGAGATGCAGCACTTAGTGTATCACATACATACAGACACTCACCACGCTTAACCTCCAGGACAACCAAATCGGTGATGAAGGAGCAGAACATATTGCGGATGCGCTGCGAACGAACGCAGTAATATTGATCTGATTTCATAGAAGATGAAGCACTCAGTGTATCTCAAACCTACAGACACTCACGACACTTGACCTCTGCGACAACCAAATCGGTGATGAAGGAGCACAACACATTGCGGATGCCTTGCGAACGAATACGGTAATATTGATCTCATTTCATGAAAGATGAAGCACTCACTCTATCACATACATACAGACACTCACCACACATAATCTCAGTTCCAACCAAATCGGTGATGAAGGAGCAAAACACATTGCTAATGCGCTGCGAACGAATACGGTAATATTGATCTGATTTCATAGAAGGTCAAGCACTCACTCTATCTCACACCTACAGACACTCACCACACTTGACCTCAGTTGGAACCGAATCCGTGCTGAAGGAGCACAACACATTGCGGATGCGTTGCGAACGAACGCAGTAATATTGATCTGATTTCATAGAAGATGAAGCACTCAGTGTATCTCACACCTACAGACGCTCACCACACTTCACCTCCGTTCGAACCAAATCGGTGATGAAGGAGCAGAACATATGGCGGATGCGTTGCGAACGAACGCAGTAATATTGATCTGATTTCATAGAAGATGAAGCACTCAGTCTATCTCACACCTACAGACACTCGCCAGACTTGACCTCAGTGGGAACCGAATCCGTGCTGAAGGAGCACAACACATTGCGGAAGCGTTGCGAACGAATACGGTAATATTGATCTCATTTGATAGAAGATGAAGCATTCAGTGTATGACATACATACAGACACTCACGACACTTGACCTCTGCAACAACCAAATCGGTGCTGAAGGAGCACAACACATTACGGATGCCTTGCGAACGAATACGGTAATATTGATCTCATTTCATAGAAGATGAAGCACTCAGTCTATATTACACGTACAGACACTCACCACACTTCACCTCGGTGCGAATGAAATCGGTGACGAAGTAGCTCAACATATCGGAGATGCGTTGGGAAGGAATATAGTAAGATTGATGCTGTTGTCGAAGAAGTTTGTAATTTCTGTTTTGTCTCATTCTTAGAGCGCCAAGATGGTATAGATCTGGCTTTAAATTCAATCGGAGAACAAGTGATCGTGGATCTGATGGCTCTTTGTGTAGATCGGATCTTTTTCGATTGAGAACTTAGTCGATATCATTTGTTGTGTGGTTATCGTGACATTGATGAGTAATAAAGGTATAGAAAATGAATCTTGTTGTGAGAAGTGAATGTTACCTGAATGGTAATACTTTTTGTTCTGTGAGAAATGCATGTGCATTAGTCAAAATGAATGGTTTAGTTACGAAGGTATAACGGAGCAGTGTTTGGTAGAAGAGACGCCATAGTGCGGTGCGTGTATGAGTGATCCTCTCGGTTTAGAGTTTGTTTCTGAGAGGGTATGATGGACAAGACAACATTACTGTAGACAGCTCGACTATACTGGAGATATAGAAGAATGGGGTCGATGGTAGTACAGCATGTATGCAGTTCAGATGTTATATCTACTAATGGCAAAGTGATCAGAACGTGGTACACTGAATGGTAGCAATTCTTCATTATAAGAAAGCTGTTGCATGCTTTATTCCGAAGCCTAAATGTATTGATTGTTTGATGAGGAGGTTTTGTTTCTTTTTGTGGTTCATTTTTGGAGAGAGTAGTATAGGTCGGTTATGTATGAGTTCTATGGTGTGTTTGAAAAAAACACTGTTATAAACTGACTAGAATGACATAGTGAAGAGAGAATAATTAAAAAATAGCACACCCAATCGCTCTGTTAGATTAATTATTTCCCACCATCAGCGTAGTCTGAAAACAAGTTATTTTGTCGAATATGATCAGCACTATTCACTCTTGGTGCTTATCCATGTTAAAATATCAGGGTAGTGTTTTTACAGTACTTTATCGTGGAAAGAG